GGACATGCTGGTTTCATATGAGAAGGGATTCTCATGGCAGTGTGTTGTCAGTTTACTTACTTACGATGCTCTAGCAGGATCGGATGATGCTGCCAAAGTCGAGAAACAATGACTTGACGCGATAAACTGCAAAACGTAAAGGTAAAGTGATATAGTTTTTGTTCTTGAATGTGAATGTATAAATATAAAGGGTACATTTTCATGTCAGAAGTGGGATTTGAACCCACGCCCTCGTGAGAGGAGCAGAACTTGAGTCTGCCGCCTTAGACCGCTCGGCCATCCTGACATCATATGTTCATAATATTAGATTTTGATTTTTATCAAGCAATGGTTGAATGCATGAAGCATTCAACCACTTGGCAATGCATGCTGGAGTGTAACATAATATATAAGGCCTGAAAGGTCTAGCGATTATTCAGCAAGAGTTGATTGAGCTCCATTAATCACTACTACAGCAATGAAGGCTGCTTTAATGTTGCTTCTAGTTTTTGCCTTTGCCACTTTCCAGATAGCAGTGTCTTCTTCTTCTTCTTTGGGTAGAAGGGAGCTCAATGGTGTTGCTGATCAAGACCCATCAGTGGAGCCATCATCCAGTTCTCTAGTGCATCCTCCTGAGATGGATGATCATGATCATGGAGATGAAGTTCATGATCATGAAGATGATGGAGGTCCTCCAGTCCATGGGTCTCACAAGCACAGGAGGAGCAACAACAACAACAACAACATCAACATCAATATCAACATCTGCAGAAAGAAGTCTATGAATCATGAAGATTCAAAGAACAAGGACAAGGAGGACAAGAAAGGGTTCCATTTTTAGTGTAAAAAGGATGGATCCTCTCCATCATTTGTAGATCAATAAAACCAGAAATTCTTGTCTTGAGGAAAGTAACTGAATATTCCTTACAAAAAATACAAAGGCCTAAAGTTTTAAACGGTCACAATTCCTCAAGCCCTAGTAGGGCATGGAGATCAGCGAGGAGCAGCGCAGGAGAATGGAGGCGAATCGGGCGGCCGCTTTGGCCCGGCGCCAGAGATCTTCTCAAAATGCGGAAGCTTTGGCGAATTCCGGTGAGAAATGCGACAAGGCACATCTGGTTTCTCTCGAGATTTGCTCGGCAAGCGAGTTTTTCGTAGTGCCACCGCATTCCTGTTGCTCTGATGTACTTCGCCGAGTGCACCATTGGCTGGAATCGGTAAGTCTAGCTATCGTTTGAGAAGAAAAAGAATTTCTTCTGAAAGTTCATGGTTTTTTTTCCCCTTTGTAGGTGCCACCATTGTGCTGGAAATCATGCGATTATAATCGCTGTCCAGTCTATAGACTGAGAGACTACGAAGTCGTGACAGACGTTTTGCAGAGGTTGCCTGGAGTGAAGTTGGAGCACATACCATTGAGCACACGCAATTCTTTGAGGAGCTGCTCTCACCAACTAAGAAACGCTGACCAGTGGCTTCCCTTCCACCCGAGGCATGCTCCAGACTCAGTCGTGGACAAGCTCTTGCTAGGCCTGCCTTGGAAGTTGAAGCAATACTTGTTGCCTTTTCAGTGGGATGGTATTCGATATGGTTTGCGAAGAGGTGGACGCGTGCTAATTGCCGACGAGATGGGGCTCGGAAAGACTCTTCAGGTAATCTTCGAGTACGGTTTCTGTTGTTCTCATGACTTGTTTTTTGACACAGGCCATCGCCATCGCGGCATGCTATCTAAACGACGGACCTTTACTTGTTGTTTGTCCCGCTAGTCTACGTTTGGTCTGGGCCGAGGAACTAGAGAGATGGCTTCCATTTCTCTCACCTTCAGATGTTCATCTTGGTACGTTGATGACTTCTCTTTCCAAACGTTTGATTCTGTCTACCTGTGCAGTGTTTGGACGAGAAGACGATTTAAAAGATCTGAAAACACCAAAAGTTGTTGTAATATCTTACAATATGCTAAGACGGCTTCGGGAGAGCATACTTCGTTGCAGCTGGGAGACGGTAATCGTTGACGAATCACACAATATCCGATGCTCGAAGCGTCCTACTGATTCCGAAGAGGTACGAGTTTACTTTTATTTTTTATATCGGCTGAATAGTAACTATAGACTACAGCGCTGATGGAAGTGGCTCGAGCTGCGCCAAGGGCGGTCTTTCTTTCCGGTACTCCATCACTCTCTAGGCCTTTCGATATTTTTAACCAAGTTAACGCTTTGTGGTAAGAATGTTTTCTTTAATATTTAACAAAGAAAGCTCATCTGCATTGTTTACAGGCCGGGCATATTGGGAAAAAACAAGTATAATTTTGCGCGAAACTACTGCAGCTCAAGTAGTGATGCAGCGTACAAGGTGTCAACTGTGTTATTTTATGACGTAGTCTCACCATTATTTTCAGGATTACCAAAGAGGCGTCCGGCTGGAGGAGCTAAACATTTTGTTACGAGAAATAGTTATGGTATATATGCCACTAATTTTTAATTTGTTTGAAGTTAACTTTACTTTCTCCTAGATACGAAGGCTGAAGGATCAGATTCTGACGCAGCTGCCTCCAAAGCGAAGACAAATTATACGATTGAGACTAAGCTCCGGCGATATGTTGGAAGCGAAGGCTTCTATTGATGCTGACGGAGGTAGTTGTACACTCTAAATTTGTGTCGATGTCTTGTCTTGACTATCAAATTCTACAGACGAAAGACAGCTGAATACGCAAGAAATTGGAATCGCAAAGCTCAAGGGTGTGACGGACTGGCTCTCAAACAATCCCTTTTCTGCCGTCAAAGAAGAAATGCAGAAACTAATCATATTTTGTCATCACCATAAAGTTATGAACTCGCTACAGGTTTGTATCTTATTAGTAAACTTTAGCTTATAAGTTGCTGCAACAGGAATTTATCGTAAGCAAAGAAATTGAGTTTATTCGGATAGATGGGCACACTGATGCGAAAGACCGTCAAAAGGCTACAGAGATTTTCCGGCAAAAAGATGAGGTAAAATGTTTTATCTAGTTTCCCGTTGACACGTTACTGGAATTGAAGGTAAAGGTGGCTATTGTCGGGGTCACAGCGGGTGGTGTTGGGCTTGATCTGTCTGCTGCACGCAATGTGGTGTTTGTGGAGTTGCCGAAGACTGCATCAGAACTTGTACAGGTCAGTTGCATTTTAAGTCATTTGCATTAACAATCGGTTCGTTAGCAGGCGGAGGACAGAGCACATCGAAGAGGTCAGAAAAGCGCAGTTAACATTTATATATTTTGCGCTAAGGTATGTTTCTCTTGAACTTATTAGTCGAGGTTCTAATTTGCATGCTGCAGGAGACATCAGATGAATGCCACTGGCAATCACTCAGTAAAAGTCTTGAAAGGGTAACTACAATGACGAACGGATCAGAAGATGCTATACCCGGTTTAGAGGTCTAGAGTTCTCTCCTGGCATGGCTGTTTATTGACGTGCTTGTTTGGTCCAGGTGGAAACTCTTATGGATCAAACAGAGTCAGGTGATACGAAAGCGTGCAGTTTGCTACGGAGATGTCAGAACAGTCTGCCGCCGGATGAAGTCCCAGAAGGAAGACGGGTTGTGTCTGAAACCGCGCAACAAAATGCGTCCAATGAAAGCTGGAATTTTGATGCACACTTGTTGATGTTTGAGGTACATAACAGGTATCACGTTGTGATTGAAATGTCACCGGCTTTTTTCCAGGTAAGCTCGAACACTGGCCGAGTTCATCTGTACAAGAAGTCGCTTGAAGAGCCGCCTGTCGTGACCGCCTTAAGTGAGAATTTCAAACCCGAGGATTTAGAGAAGCTGGAACAGATACCAAGCACCGAGAGGAATTTGTTGCTGCCAACCTGTCTCCTTGAGAATACTTCTCTTGTGGACGCCTCAATGGCTTTCATTCGAGAATGGAAGACATTACGACCGGTTCATCGAAAAAGGCTGTATGGAAGACCACTGCAGCTACCTTTATCAAGGGCACTCAGCCGCTTAACTGGAGCTCAAGGGGTATGCTTACGTTTTAGCAGAAGGATGTACTTTTCTCACCTTTTTTTCTCAGGGATTGGTGAAAGGAGGAAGCAAAAGGCGGCGAAGGCCAATCGGTGAACTGGCTTGCCCGTTACCAGACGGAGCATCGTGGAGAGACATTTATTTAAGCGGCAATATGTCTTCCAGACCGATCTTGCAAGCTTGGACGGCAGATGACAATCCTCTGTGCAAACTCTGTCACAGGCCATGCACGTAAGTGTCCCACGCAATTTTGCAACGCTTATAAAGCTCATCACAGGAGACAAGATTCAAGGGAGCCAACGACGTTGGAGGACTTGTTCTGCAAATCGGATTGTTTCGAAGAATACATGACGAAGACTAGCAGTCACTTTATGCGTGAGGTACGTGTGGAGTAAACATTTACTACCTACTGACGTTGGAGCTACCATTTGCAGAAACTGTTCCGACTGGAACGCGGCGTATGCGTGACTTGCAATCTAGACTGTCATGCCTTGGTGGAGTGCATCCGAAATCTCGATGTGAACTTGCGAAGCGCCTACATTCTTAAAAAGGCCCCGGCTTTTGGCACACACGAAACGCTGTACGTTTACTGTTTCTTCTTGTTCCCCATCTTCTTATGCATTTTTGCAGGCTTCAAAATCTTGTCGAAGATCCAATCGAGGGGAACGCTTGGCATGCCGATCACATTGTACCAGTGTTTGCTGGCGGAGGTAAGAGGCTAGAGACAGTCAGTATGAAATACTTACAGCCTTGCTTTCCAGGAGAATGCGACCTGGAAAACATGAGGACTCTTTGTGTAGTCTGTCATGCACAGGTAACTAGCGAGCAATGCCGGAAAAGGCATGCGTCCTTTCGCAAAGCGCAACGAGCTTTACAGTTCACAGTGGAGAGACTCCTTGACAATAAGCGACTAAAATCAGAGGTATGGCTTCCTCCGAAAGGGAGATCATCAATCAAGTGCTCCACTTTGCAATTTACAGGAGGTGATTCTTTCAGAAACCGATGACGACAAAGAACTTCTGGGAATTGAAGTTGCAGGGAGTGCATACTCTAAGCAAACAGGATAACGTATAATAAACTATCACGTCAGATAAACCAGCGGTGGAGGGCATGGCTATGGCAACAACACTGCCGTGCTTGGCGCCCGGAAGATTTCGGAGCCGAGTATTCCCATCATGCAGAGCGAACGCTGTTCCTCCCGACACAGTCGAGACAGAGGAAAAGACCAAGGCGAGCTCCAGTCCCAATGTTGAGAAGGAACTCTCCAAGGTAAGCAGAAAGATTGGTCTCAAATTCATGGCGCTCTCATGTTTTTTCGCCAGGCAGTGAAGAAAACAGCCGCTACTTTCGCTCCTCGTTCGTCCACTGCAAAGAAAAACCCGGCCGTCCCAGGCAGCGTTTTGTACACCGTTTTCGAAGTCCAGGGCTATCTCTCGATGGCTGTTGGAGGTCTCCTCGCGTACAACTATTTGTTCCCTTCAGACGAGCCTGATATTGCGAGACTGATGGGAATGTGGTCCGTGTGGATGTTCAGTAAGTTACCATTCTTTCTCTTTCTCTTTTTTTTCGTTATCTGATGAAAACTTTTCTGCTGGGTTTGTAGCAATTCCATCGCTTCGCGCAAGAGACTGCTCGTCTAAAGAGAAGGATGCTTTGAATTATTTGTTCTTGGCACTTCCGCTTGTCAACGTTTTGCTCCCATTTGTGTGGAAATCGTTCGCGGCTGTGTGGTCAGCCGATGTTGCGGTATTTTTCGCAATCTACGCATGGAAGGTGAGTTGTTTCGTCTTTCTAATGGTTATATTTTTCTTGACTCGGCTATGGTGATTCAGATGGAGTGGCTCCAACAAAACGAATCCAAAGACAAGCAATAGTATATTAGCTTTGATGATCTTTGTAAGTTTTTAAAGGTTTTGTACAAAGGGGAAAGTATAGTTATTTCGGGTAGCTCAAATTCTAGGGTTCTTAACGGCTCAAACTGTCATGGGTATCGAAGGCGATGGCAAAAGGAGGGCCGACGAGACGCGCATTCGCAGGCTGCAGAAGATTTTAGGCAGCAAGCGCGCCTCCCCTACTCTCTCCGGTGAGTGGCGATCGATCGCGATCCATTTTATTCATTCATCTTAGGCGAGAAAATGCGATCCCAGGGTGCTCGGAAGTAGAGAATGATCCGATTAAGAAGCTCAGCACCGCGACGCAAAGCGCCCTCAATGATCTAAAGCTTGGTAACGATCGATTGGAAGTTTTGAGAGCTCGATCGAAAGTTTTTTTCCCACACGTTTTTTTGTTCTTGTCTTCAGAGGTTTCTAAGATGAGGAACGATTTGGAAAAGCTCACAGAGGAAGTTCACGCAGCAAAGAAGCTCGAGGCTGTAAGTTTCAAAGAGGAAGTTCTGTGCGTGATGTGATTTTTCTTTTTCTTTTCTTTTTTTTGTCCAGGAATCTAAAGGGACAGCGTTAGACATGGAGAAGCGTTTCACTGCTCAGATGGAGGAGTTCCAAAGGAGCCTTGCATCGCTACGAGGAGAGGTACACCTCTAGCGTCCGGTTTGATCCTCTAACCAGGCTGATAATCTCTCTGGTAAAAGGAAAAGCAAATTCTAAGGCGTTGCTGTTGAAGGATTTGCCAGGGACTCAAGCGTTGACAAGCTCGCCAAATCTAAGGAAGTCAAATGCGTCCAGTCGAAACATCGGCCCAACAAAGAGGTAAGGCGATCGTTTCTTGATGGAAGAACGCATTTTCAACAAGCTGAGACTTTTTCATTTTGGCAGTCATACCATCAATGGCTGCTCTTCGGATGTTCACAATGGTAAGTTTTCGATTATTTCTTCTCCTCCTCGTTCCATTCTAAAGCTTCGTTTTGATCTTTGTAGTTGAAGCTCAGAGAAAGGATGTTGTCATCTACACAAACCCGCAACACATACAACGAACCGTTGCTGCTGTTCGTGGATGGCTTCGAGAATGTGAGCGTGCTTTTCTTCTTTTTCTTCTTTCATTTTTACGATCTCAAATAACACGTAAAACTCCTGGTAGCTCCGACTCCACGAGAATCAACGAGCAAGGATCAACGTCACGAGGATCCTCTCATCCACATTCCCACATCCTCGTTAATGAGCTCCATCCGAAACGAGGCAAAGCTTTTCAGCAAGCACCACAAGAAGGCAAACAACTTGTCTCGGAGCGAGTCCCAGAGCCCGAGCACACAAGTGGAGTCCATCTCCGAAGCGTCGGCCAGCGTCAAGGACACAGTGCCCCCGGCAATGCGAATCCTGCAGAGAAGAAACATGAGAATGGCCGACTTGCTTGGAAGGTTTGCTTTTCTTTGTTGTTCTTCTCCTTTGTTTTGTTTCTATGATTCTAACGCGGAAGTCTTGTGCGCAGCAGCGAATCCGACGAAGACTGACTGACTCTTTCCATTTGCGCGTTGGAGGTAAGGTACGTACGTCCTCTTGCTTTGGCTTTTTGCCTTTAGAAGAACAAAGCAAAAGTGAAAGCTAAAGAACACTACTGTTGCTAATGCTGTGCTAAATGATCATCTCCAGCACTGAGTGACAAAGATTTGGCAAAGATGAAGGAACAAAATCGAACCCACGGGTACTTTTCTCTGTCAATCTCATCTCTGATCCAACACTGTTGCTATCGACAGCTGCTGATGATAGTCTCTTTCGCTTTTGCAGTGTCGATCGATCAAACAAAGCAAAGCCTTGAAAAAAATGGAGAGAGAAAGCGAAAAAAGAACAAAAAAAAAAAAACAAACTCGTAAAGTTACTGCTACGCCAGAACTGGTTGACCACTTGTTAACACGTCGAAGTTTCTAAAGTCAAATACGCAGGGACTTTTCCCTCTTCGTGGAAGAGAGAGAGAATAAACAATCTTTCTTCTCGCTAATGTTAGCTATGTCCGATCAACGAAAGAATTTCCCTCTCTTTCGTAACTCGCGGCCGGGGGATCGCAGCCGTCGATCCGCGAGCGTTTAAAAGGGGGCCGGGGAATGTAAATGGGAAAAATGGGACGGTTTAAGATTAAAGAGGGGCCGCAAACACGCAAGAGACTGGGCGCCTCGCGTCTCTCCGCCGTGTGCTCTTCGCGAATCGCGCGCGAGAGAGGTATGTTTGATCTTCTCCTCCCCCGCCTCCTCCACGATCCGCGCGGCGCTGCTGCTCCCGGGCGATGATCTCTCGCGCCGCGGCCGGGCTTTCCTCGTAGGTCAGGATGGTGCTGCTCCAGCCGCCGCGCGCGATCTCGGTAGACTAGGCAATGGCGGTCACACGCGGCTCGTGATTCCGAGTGAAATTTCGGGGAGGATTGGATTGCTTTGACCGGGATCGGCAGGAACAGGTCTAGGAGGTGTCACGCCAGTTTGGATTGCCGGGAGCCCTAAACCTCGCGCTGGTTCTCTGGGAAAGAACGCAAGAGAGGTCTCTAGCGACGAAAAAGAAGGCATCTGGAGAGCTCATGTGTGGAGGACTTGGTAAATTTCTTCTCTAGCGAGCAACAAAGGAAGAAGGTCGTCAATGAGAAACGTGGTCGAGATAGCGATGCAAGTGTTGCTACCATCCTGGGGAGAAATCAACGTTTCCTTTGCGGCGGCGGTGCTGGTGATCTTCATTTTTGGTGTTGTGCGGCATGTCGAACGTCTGCGAGAAGCTGCCGGGGGATTTTTTCTCTCCGCCGCGGAGGACTTTGGTGTGGAGGGAATTCGCGAGAGGGAGCTGGAGAGAACGAAAGAGGTATTTGAAATCCTATCTCCCGCTTTGGATGATTGTTTGCTTTCTTTGCCTTTCTTGGTCTTTCGTTTTCGTTTCTCTTTCTGGTACTTGTGTTTTTTTTTTTTGTTTCTCTTTGGAAAGCTTGGGATGCTGCATATGATCAAAGTAATGCTCTGGATGTTAAGCTTTGCACATGTGATATTCTTTTCTTTTCTTTGACATGCAGCATTGGGGCTTTTGCTGTAGAACTCTTCGAAAGTGGACGCGGGAAGCCAGCCTATGTACTTCGTTAAGGTATACGAGCCCCCTTCCAGGTAGTCATTGTGACAACGTAACGAGCGTCTTCATTTTCCTGCAGCTGGAACTTCTAGCGGCGAAGAATATAGCAGCTGCGAATCTAAATGGAACGTCTGATCCTTACGCGGTACTCACCTATGGTTCTCAAAAGCGTTTCAGGTGCCTACACTTATTTTTTGTTGTTTTGAGCATAAGTCGAGTGTTTTCTTCAGCTCTTTGGTTCCTGGTTCAAGAAATCCCATGTGGGGAGAAGAATTTGACTTTTATATTGATGACCTCCCAGCTCAAGTACGTGAGTTAACAATTTTTTTTTCTCTTCCACCACTGAGTTTCTATCGCTTTTTTCAGATCATAATAGCGATTTACGACTGGGATATAATCTGGAAAAGCACAGAACTTGGCTCGACAACCATCGAGATCAAAGAGGAGGGACAAACAGAAGCTATTTGGCATTCTTTGATTGGCACCTCTGGACAGGCAAAACGTTAAATTTTGTTTTAGTGGTGCTTACTACTTTTTCTCTCTTCAGGTTTGCGTTCAAACATGTACTCGCCGTGTGCCAACAGCAGGGTAGGAACTATGTTCTATTACGAAGAGAAAATGACACATACTAGCTCATCGCAGGACTGTTGCTGGAACCAATCGACGACGATTTCTAGAATCGCCGACTGGCACAGAAGTTCGTCAAAAGCCGGGGCCGCTGCAGACAATCTTTGACCTGCCTCCTGATGAAGTATGGTTTGACGGTGATTTTTGCTTCATTTTCTTAAAAAACATTGTCCGTGCAGATGGTTGAGCACAAGTTTTCATGCGCGCTGGAGAGATCATTTTTGTACCATGGGCGTATGTACGTGTCTGCTTGGCACATATGCTTTCATTCGAATGTCTTTGCTAAACAACTAAAGGTACGTCACCGGCGACATTTTTTTCCAGGCTATTTACTTTCTTTTCTAGGTCGTGTTGCCTTACGATATCGTAGAAGAGGTAAACTCTGTCACTTTGTCCATTTCATATCTATGTTCGGCTTATAGATCAAGAAAAGTCAGCACGCCTTCATCAACCCCGCGATCACCATCATTTTGAGGGCTGGTACAGGTGGTCAGGGTGTTCCTCCTCTTGCTAGTCCAGATGGTTGGTATCAAGTTTGTTTCTGCTGGGCTACAGCGATCTAAACAACATTCTTGTCTGGATATAGGTAGAGCAAAGTATAAATTTGCATCCTTTTGGAACCGGAATCATGCACACAGGGTTCTCCAACGCGCTGTGAAAAACTATCAAGGAAATGAGGAAGCCGCGAAGCAGGTCTGGCTAAGTGTAACCTCTGGCATTGCAGAGACTAATCGATTATCAATTTTCAGGATAAGTTCATGCGAGTTCACAGCACAAGGTACCAGGAACAGCAGGTCGTACCATTTGTGTCTAGTGTGGATGAGACTACTCCGATTGAAGAAACAAAAGTGGTGCAACCTTTTATCAAAGACGACGTTCTAGTTGACATTGTAGAGGTTAGTGAATTTCTATTGAAGCTGGCTGACATTATTTGTTGCAGGATATGCTGCCTTGCTCTGCCGAGCAATTTTTTGCTTCCGTACTAAGCGACAAGTCGGACTTTACGACGCGCTATCGAGCAGAGCGCGAAGACACTGAATTGCAGGTTCACTTAATTCTGTGTGCGTTTCTTAGCTAACTCGCTGCAGCTCAGATCGAACCATGGCGCAATCCGGAGGAGTACAGCGGTATTCTGCGGAAAGTTACGTATCGAGCAAAGTGTAACAGCCCAATGTGTCCTCCAGACACCGCAATGACTGACACACAGCACATCTTCTTTTCGGGCGAGAAGAAACTACTGGTGCTTTTACAAATATGCCCACGCCGGTTAGAGCTAACTCGTGATCTTGTTACTTCCAGCATTGGGAAAGCATTCAACAGGCGCATGACGTTCCATTCGGTTCCTCGTTCGAGGTAATCACTCGACTATGCGATTTTTCGTTTTTGGTTCTACTTCTTTGCACAGATCCACGCAAGATGGACAGTGGAAACGCTCTCGGAATCAAAGTGCAAGCTGAGCGTCAAAGTTGGTACGGAAACTCTCGTTGGGACGAGCTCCACTTGCTAACTCTTTGATACATTTTAGGAACTAACTTCAAGAAGCGACTGTTCATGGCGTCGAAGATTCGAAGTGGTGCTGAATCTGAGGTACGCGAAAACAAAAGTCCTAGCGTTTCCAGTCTGATTCTTCGTTTGCAGTACAAAACTGATGCAATGAAGTTCATCGAGATCATCAAGAAGGGTCTCAAGGAGACCGGTTCTACCGCCAACGATGAATCGAGTGTTTCTACTCCGGCCTTGGAGATTCCCCTCGTCGGCACAGCAAAGACTTCGTGACAGCAAAGAAAGAACAAACAATTCCTGACAGTTTTGGTAGAGAGAAAATGACGTATGGAGAGGATGATTTGATTGACAGCCGTGGATCTGGTGATCCGGAATGTCATGCCGATGCAGAGATCTTGGCCGCACGTTGACAGCGGTGGAATCCGGACGTGTAATGAGAATCCAATCGACGTGAAATATCATAAAAAGCTCTAGTCGCGAGAGAGGCATTTCATTGTTTGAGCGGCAGGGCAGGATTTTCGGACGGGCGTCTTCGAACACGCCTAGACGAAAAGCCTGGGAGCTTCGTTCGATCTCTTCTCTTGCCGCCGGAAGCTACTAATCGCTAGCGAAGATGAGGGAGTGTATCTCGATCCACATCGGTCAGGCCGGAATCCAGGTCGGCAATGCGTGCTGGGAGCTCTACTGCCTCGAGCATGGCATCCAGGTGAGAAATTTCGCGCAATCTTTTCTCGATTTGGCTGGATCTGTGCTAGATCTGGTCCTCTATGGCTTGTTTCTCGCTAGATTTGGCCCTCTATGGCTTGTTTCTTGCAAGATCTATGCTCCGCTCACCTGCATTTGGCCCTGATCCATAGATCCGGGCGGCGAATTCCTGGATCTAACGAAATATGTGGATATTTTGCAGCCGGATGGCCAGATGCCAAGCGATAAGACGGTTGGCGGCGGAGACGATGCTTTCAACACCTTCTTTAGCGAGACTGGTGCCGGCAAGCACGTCCCCCGCGCCGTGTTCGTGGATCTGGAGCCGACGGTCATCGATGAGGTTCGCACTGGTACCTACAGGCAGCTCTTCCACCCGGAGCAGCTCATCAGTGGCAAGGAAGACGCTGCGAATAACTTCGCTCGTGGTCACTACACCAGTAAGATCTAAACTTCTTTTTGCAAAGGTTGGCTAATTTCTTGTTCATCTTCTTGCTATCAGTTGGAAAGGAGATCGTAGATCTTTGCCTGGATCGCATCCGGAAGCTGGCCGATAACTGCACTGGGCTCCAGGGATTCCTGGTCTTCCACGCCGTGGGCGGTGGAACGGGATCCGGCCTGGGCTCGCTGCTGCTGGAGCGCCTGTCGGTGGACTACGGGAAGAAATCCAAGCTCGGTTTCACCGTCTACCCGTCACCCCAGGTCTCGACCTCGGTGGTGGAGCCTTACAACAGCGTGTTGTCCACACACTCGCTTCTGGAGCACACCGACGTCGCCGTGCTGCTGGACAACGAAGCTATCTACGACATCTGCCGCCGATCGCTGGACATCGAGCGCCCGACGTACACCAACTTGAACAGGCTCGTCTCTCAGGTATGAGAAAATCTTACGACACCACTCTCATGCTCGTTTCTATAACTTTTGCGATGTTGGGCTTTAGGTGATCTCGTCGCTCACGGCATCCCTGCGCTTTGATGGAGCTCTCAACGTGGACGTGACCGAGTTCCAGACCAACCTCGTCCCCTACCCGCGCATCCACTTCATGCTCTCGTCCTACGCGCCGGTCATCTCCGCCGAGAAGGCCTACCACGAGCAGCTGTCGGTGGCCGAGATCACCAACAGCGCGTTCGAGCCGTCGTCGATGATGGCCAAGTGCGACCCGCGCCACGGCAAGTACATGGCGTGCTGCCTCATGTACCGCGGCGACGTGGTTCCAAAGGACGTGAACGCGGCGGTGGCCACCATCAAGACCAAGAGGACCATCCAGTTCGTGGACTGGTGCCCGACGGGATTCAAGTGTGGGATCAACTACCAGCCGCCGACGGTGGTTCCAGGAGGAGATCTGGCCAAGGTCCAGCGCGCGGTGTGCATGATCTCGAACTCCACCAGCGTCGCCGAGGTGTTCTCCCGGATCGACCACAAGTTTGATCTCATGTACGCCAAGCGCGCGTTCGTGCACTGGTACGTGGGTGAGGGGATGGAGGAGGGGGAGTTCTCCGAGGCCCGCGAAGATCTGGCAGCGCTCGAGAAGGATTACGAGGAGGTCGGGGCCGAGTCCGCGGACGATGCCGACGATGGCGAGGAGTACTGAAAGAAAAACTCGGGGAAAAAAAGTGTGGCTTTTAAAAAATAAAGATGTGTGACAACGAAGTAAAGAAGTAAAGTTAATTTGACCTAATTCGTCATTTGTTTATGGTATAAAGTTAATTTGACCTAAGTTAGACATGTCGTACGGCATTAAATTAAATACTTCTTCCCCCTTTGTTGGAACTTTTGCCATATATTGTCCAGCAATCATGCAAGGCTGGAAGCAACTATGGACTTAGATTCTTCGCAACTGTAAAATAAGTAAGGGCAAATGCAGTCAACGCATCTTGACTGACTCGGAATAATTCGTGACTCCAACCAAGTGATTGGCATCGGCGAGCTTCTTCTTTATTGTTTTTTCGGTTTCCTTTTCCTTTTAACTTTCCAGTATCAAACGTCCTCTACAAAAGTGAGTTGAGGCAAAGGGATCAACTGAGATCATCATCCCTCCCGAGCCCAACAAAAGAATGGGTCATCATTTTTCTTGCAAAACTGTTATGGGATCTTCTTGCTTGCTTGCTTGCTTCTTGCTTCTTGCTTGTTCTTGTCTTTGCTGTGTTCGTTTATCTGCTTTATCCCTGTGTCCCGTAAAGCTAAACCCCCCATTCCCCAGCATTTCTATCTCCAGCTATCTGGGAGCTATCTCTAAGCTGACCAAAGGAATTATATTACAAAATCTCCCACCTCTTTCTCCTCGTCGTCGACGCCCCAACGAATCAGTTGCTGTAAGCCTTGCACTCGGTGTGATTGTTCTCCTCTTCGTAGACGTAGCCGTATGGATTCTTGCTGGCCCAGTTCCATTGATCCCTGGCCATTTCATCGATACCATACCTGGCCCTGCGATGCGAAGTGGGACATGAACTTGTAAGCCAAACAAAAAGGTAACAGTTCTAATGAAAGATACTTACTTCCATCCGAGTTCCTTCTCGGCCTTCTCTGTGGATGCGTAGATCTCGCTACAGTCACCTGGTCTTCTACCAGCGATTTTTAGCGGTATTTTCTGCAGCACAGGGGCCATCGACCAAGTTTGTCTTTGCATCTTTTGGTACGAAAAAAAAAGAGAGAAGCATCTCTCCAATTGTATGAGCTGTACCTTTCCACACGCTTTCTCAAATGCCGCCACCATCTCCAATACGGAAGTTCCCCGTCCCGTGCCAAGATTATAAACATCACAGGCTACATGAAAAAGAAACGAAACAGAAAGTTAGCTCACACTCGCACCAGTGAAAAAGGAAGTGACGCGAGGAGAAAAGGCAGTCTGGAAGACTGTGGCATTGCGATCTTTCCCAATTGACTTCACTCACCTCCCGTGCTCCCAGACTTGAAAAGCTTCTCAACCGCTGCAATGTGACCAGTGGCCAAATCTACGACGTGAATGTAATCACGGACCTGCCGTCAGAGGTAAGAAACCATGAGCATTCAATGTACAGAAAATAAAATGTGATAAAAAATGCATTGAGACTGACCCCTGTTCCGTCTCTCGTTGGGTAGTCGTTCCCAAACACTGTCAGCTCGGGTCTTCTTCCGACTGCTACTTGTTGAACAAACGGCATCAGATTGTTTGGGATTCCACGAGGATCTTCACCAATGTGTCCGCTGGGATGGGCTCCCACAGGATTAAAGTATCTGAGCAAGATGATTTGCCAGCCAGTGTCGGCTGCGTATAAGTCGCGGCAAATCTGTTCGATATAGAGCTGCAGAGAGCATAAGTTTTTAGCAAGAAAACAAAAGATAATGAAAGGAGAATGGCGTGAGTTCTAGAGTTTGAAGAGTGTAGAGCACGCAAACGCAAGAGGAGCATGAGTTACTCACCTTCGTTCGTCCGTATGGATTCAAAACATCCAGAGGGAAAGTCTCAGTACATGGAACAGTCTTTGGTTGTCCATACACGGTTGCCGATGACGAGAAAACAAGCTGCCAAACAAGGAAACAAATGTTTTAACGGATCGACGATTGATGGAGCAAAGAAAAGCATGCAAAACCTTCTTGCAGTTGTGCTTGGTCATGACGTCCATGAGATTGAGCGTCCCTACGAGATTGTTGCAGTAGTAGAGCAGCGGCTTTGCAACACTCTCCCCAACAGCTTTGAGGCCCGCGAAGTGTATGACTGCATCGAATCTGCGGACACAGAAAAGCAAGACTTTAAAAGGCTATCTTCCCGGGGAAAACAGAAAAACAAATAAACTCGCCTCTGTGCCAAGAACATCCTTTCCAGGGACTCTTTGTCACACAAATCCACCTGAGAATTGGGAGAAGGAAAAAAAAAAGGAAGATGATAAAAAAGCTGTGCGAATTCTTGTTTCTCCAGACCTTGTAAAAGTATAAGTTCTTCTTGTATTTCCCGGCCAAATCTCCAACTCTTCTCACCGCCTCGTCCGATGCGTTGGAGAGGTTGTCGATGATCACCACCTTGTATCCAGCGAGTAAGAGCTGGAGCGAGCAATGACTTCCAATATATCCAGCGCCGCCAGTCACCAGAATAGTTCTCGCCGAGTGACCATTGGTGACACTGGCCCAGTGATTCATCCTCGTCCCAAAGAATCCTCCTCCACCACCACCTGAGAGAGAAAGAGATCGAGCACAAAGAAACCACTGAGAAAATCGCCAAGAACACGAAGGACTCCACTCCAGCGCATTAAAAGGCATTAAAGTCTCATGCAGGAATTCAAGGCAAAGCCAAAATCAGGGCAAGCGAGCGAAGCAACGAATCCAATCCAGAATTCTTGGCAGCCAAGGAAAAGAAAAGAAAAAGAAAGAAGAAAAGAGGCTCCTCGCATCACTCGCCCAAGCCAAGAACAAGCAAGGAGACCTGATCTCGCCAAGAACTCCAATTGGAGCTCAAAATCCCCCGGATCGAAAGGAAGCGATCACAACCCATCTGGGAAAACGCGGAGAGGGACTGACCTGGTTCACGCGGCGATGGCGATGGAGGGAATTCGGGGCGAGCCACCTGTGAGCGATTCGGGGACAGGAGATCAGCTCTCCCCGTGACCGGGAGCAAATGGAGGAGGCGCCCCTCAGTAGCCAGCGTGACCGACCGCGCAAGAACAATGTGAGTGGAGTGGTGGAATCGCGCTCCTCGCTCTCACAGAGAATCGCCCTCTTCCCTTTTCCTGGCCAGGAAATAAAAAAAAGAGAGAGAAAGAGAGAAAAGGCCTCCTTGTGCTCGTCTTGTAAGTGTCGTGAAGAAGCGTTGGGTGGAGTGAGCGGGATTGGATCGCCAATTTTGGGGTCCGCGTTTTCGTTGCCCACCCTATATATTTTCTCCTCGCTCCTGTTTTTCTCTTACCCGGTATATACCCTTACGGCGTAAGAATATTCTGTTAGATCGCGTACGGGCCCGAGAAATTTGGAACGCAAGAACGAACTAACTATACGTGTGGTAATGGATGGCTGCCTCGCGTCCATTCGAGAAAGGTGGCGGGCAATGTGAGAACTTTGGTTGCCTCACGCCTCCCCTGTAGCCCTAAGGTGGCGGAGTATGATAAGTTGGTGCGTGGGATTTTTTCAATCTAATCTTAGGTGGCGGCCACATGCATGCACAGGCTGGAGTTGTAGATTCTCTTTTTGACAAAGGTGGCGGCGGGCTGGAGTTTCTGGGAGAAAATGGCGTGCAAGTAAATTTGGTGTCGATCGTTTTGACACGAAATCCCGGCGCTTGTGATAAAGATTGTGAGAAGGATGGGATTAAAAGCCAGCGTAACAGATAAGGATAACGGACCACACGCAGCGCAACATTTGATTCGACACGCTGGATTGGGATATGCTTCCGGCATATTCTTGGTTGCGTATGGACATGCGTGATCACATCCATGAGTCATCCATTCATACACATTCATCCACAATTTGGAGAAAGTGGATTTTAGGGTTTTGAGGCGGGATTAGGGTATCCAGAGGCATGGCGCAGGCGATGGAGCCCATTCGTCCCCTCTGCCGCAAGCGCCGGCTGCCGCGAGGTAATCTTAGCTGCGGGGATCAATAGATTTGACGCGCCGGCCATTCTCGTAGCTGGTTTGCCGAGATTTAGGGGGGCTGTAGCTTGAATCGCCGCCGTGGGGATCGGCGAGGGCTCTGGGGAAGGCAGGTGGGCTACTGATGGCGGATCCGCCCAGTGGCCCATCTGCCTGTGGTAGCGCACAGGGAAAGCTTGTAGATTTTCTAGTCCAGGATCGTCATTCCATAGAGGCAGTATGCTGAGCGTCCTGCGCTTGCATTTACCGTCGGACATTCCTATTGTAGGCTGCGAGCTCTCTCCCTACGTCCAACTACGGCTTCCCGATGGGACTACCACGACTGACGACGTTCCAGTAACATCTCCCATCGATGGATACTATCTTAGGTGGAAATGGTAAAAGAAAAGTGTTTTTTTTTTCCCTCTACTCTATTCACTTTTTCTTACGCATTCAATCTTCCAGGTGCCGAATCCAAACTGACAAGAGAGCATCCGTGTGTAGCGTGCATCCCTCGGAGCCTGCGACTCTTCAGTGTATAGGCTGTTTGAAAGCTAAGCTGCCAGTGAGCAAGAGCCTCCACTGCTCGTCCAAGTGCTTCTCCGATTCATGGCGTCATCACCGGGCTATGCATGCACACGCCACAAACATTGCTCGAGAGAATGGGGCCGAGGAAGACGAGTTGTTTGGACGGGGTGGGTCTGTAGGCGGGGGTGCTCCAGTGAGCAACGGTATCATAGGAGGGCCTACGAAGACACAGGACCAGAACGGAACAGAGATATGGGAAGTAGGCTCTGTGAAAACGTATACGCCGACGGAAGAAGACGTAGGACATGCTCTCAAGCTGGAGTGCGTGGTTATGTCGACGGCCACGGGCATGCCAACAGGGGGACTCTCTAACTCTCTTCTCACACAACGGGTTATTCCAGCTCCGTGTCCACCACCCAGGAGAATGGTTCAAGTGAACACCATTGACGGGCTTGAGTTGGATGGTCGGCTGGGGGCTCCAGGATCTTTCACGGTTCTGTCATACAATGTACTGGCTGATTTGTATGCCACCAGCGACATGTACAGCTATTGCCCCCAGTGGGCTCTCTCGTGGGCCTACCGACGGCAAAACCTGCTGCGCGAGATTGTGGGCTATCGAGCGGATATCCTGTGTCTGCAAGAGGTATGCTCTCACAGGACTTCTACGTATAATCTCTACATGATTGTTTCAGATTCAAAGCGACCACTTTGACGAGTTCTTTGCTCCGGAACTTGAGAAGCACGGATATTCGGCGGTTTACAAGAAAAAGACTGCAGAGGTATTGTCTAGTGCTAGGACACTCAAACTTAATGCCATGGGGTTCAGGTCTATGCTGCGGGGGTGTACACTATTGATGGTTGTGCTACATTTTATCGCAATGATCGGTTCTTACAAGTCAAAAAATACGAGGTAGATTTTTAATTTCCTAATCCAAACCATTACAAATGGTTACACATTACTGGATCAGGTGGAGTTCAATAAGGCAGCACAATCGTTTTCAGAAGCTTACATGCCCTCTGCTCAAAGAAAAGCAGCTCTCACCCGCCTTCTCAAGGTTTTCTCCGTTCGCTGTGTCATTGATACTGACTTGGCCTCTGCATTAGGATAATGTCGCTCTCATTGTGGTGCTGGAGGTCTTGGATTATCCAGACCCGTCTAAAAAGCAATTGATCTGTGTGGTAAGCTACATGCAGTGGGATCTCGACTTCCAACACCTTTTCCTTTTCAGGCCAATACTCATATTCATGCGAATCCTGAGCTGAAAGACGTGAAACTATGGCAGGTAGAGTATCCCTAATAGCAATTCGCGTGATCTGAGTTTTTCTCTTCAGGTGCAAACTCTTCTTAAAGGTCTGGAGAAGATTGCCGCAAGCGCGGAAATTCCCATGCTTGTTGCTGGTGATTTTAATTCTGTTCCTGGCAGGTCAGTCTCTACTTCTTGATTCCCGAGAGTGCCAACTTGTTTGTTTTTTGTTCTCAGCGCTCCACACTCCCTCCTGGCCACAGGAAGAGTCGAACCAACTCACCCGGAGCTTGCCATTGATCCTCTTGGAATTCTAAGACCTGCGAGCAAGTTGTGCCACCAATTGCCTCTGGTAAGAACTCGAGCTTCGTTCACTCTTGACTGGCTTGTTATATTTACAGGTAAGTGCGTACTCAGCATTATCGCGGCGTGATGGTAGCAACGAGCCCCTTTTCACAAATTGCACGAGAGATTTCCTTGGTACGCTGGACTACATATTCTACACCGGTGAGTGTTTAGATGAAGCGATTGACACAAGCAAAACGTTTTTTTCTCTGTTTGCAGCGGATTCAATAGTGGTGGATTCACTACTCGAGCTTTTGGACGAGGAGAGCTTGCGGAAAGACACAGCGCTCCCTTCTCCAGAGTGGTCGTCAGATCATATAGCGTTACTGGCGGAGTTTCGGTGCAGACCTTCCAGGCTGAGGAGGTAGCAAGGGGGAAAGCTTTTGTAAAAGAGAGATTCTTCTCTTGGAGAGCCAGGCTCGATGAGAAGGGAATGTCCAAAGTAAAAACAAGCAAAAACTAGGATCAACTGTGTTGTGTGGAAAATGGTGGTATTGGGTGTAGTACGCACGGAATACAGCGCGAGTAGCAGGAGGAATATTTGTCTACGTTGGGGTTTCAAGGTGATATTTTGAGGTAACAGTCATGTGATATATTTTCCTTGTGGTAGTGATTATAGTTTTACCAGCAAATATTTCAAGCAAAGCAGATATTATAATTGGCTTTGGCGATAATAAATAGAGATCGGCCTCAGAGACGGTTTGTATCCAAGTCGTAGAAAATAATTGGATTTTATCACTTTAAACATTTTGAGCACCTTATGTGTTCGAATCCTGTCCAGAGCAAATCTAACGGTAAAAGGTCTTTTTACCAGGTGGCCAGATCATGAGGTGGTGCAGTTAGTGAGCCACACTTGGCACCCATGCAAGAAGAGAGAAGGCCAGCAAATAGCGAAAATTAGGGCTAGATCTAGCGAGCGATGTCTCGATTGATCCATTTGACGAGGAGGTTTGTCCTGTCCGGGCAATGCCAGAGCGCGAGTAGCACGAGTTCTTTGGTCGCGTCTTCTTCTTCGTTGGAGTTTGGGTTTGGGCAGAATTGGAGCTTGGATCAGCAGCAGCAGCAGCGATGGTTTTGTGGCCAGAGCGGATCGAAAGGTGGAGGAGAACCGGATGATGATAGCAAGAAGAAAAGGTATGGCAAAGTCGGGCACAATGTTGCTGACGAGAGCTACAAGGAGAGGGTGAAGAAGAAGAAGGATGGGGATGAGGAGGAAGAAGAGAGCTTGGAGAAGACGAACTATGATATTTCAAAGAGAACTCGGCCCTCGGGTGAGGAGTGATCGAATCCAAGAGTTTGGATGTTCCACTATACTCTATCGATAATTTTTTTACTTGTGTGGTTCGATCAAAGCGAGTAGGTTTGCCATGTGTTCTTGGCGAAGAGTAGCGACGGCTTCCAAGCTCCCGTCTTGGAGGCCCGATGGAACAACACGGACGTAGCCTTCGCAGGGACCATTTGTGGGTGTGGCAAGGATTGGAGTTCCAGATCCAAAATCCATGTCGTAGAAGGGCAATCGAGCCCAGCTTGTGATGACCAAGTTGGGATCGAAGCTGATCCTCGTGAATCCGGCGCTGTCGTGCTGCTCTGATTTGGGAGCTTCTCTCAGCTGGAGAGCCACGAAATCCACCACCGATCTCAAGCGCTCGGCCTCGGACGCCCTCTCGATACTCGCGGCGATGATCGAAGCTCCAAATTCCAGTGGCTTGCCCGTGAGATCTTCCGCGCTGACCTCACAGCGCGCCCGGAACAGGGAGTGAGAGTCCACGGCGACCATTGACCGGGCAGTAGAGCACCGTGCGGCGGCCGCCGCTGACTCCCCTGGCCATGGTGATGAGCCGCCAGAGATGGACTGCCAGGCACACGAATGTGGAGCTAGATCCGCCAGCTCTTTCACTGTTTTTGAGCCGATCGAGCTCGCCTTTGCGAAAGTGGATCCGTCGAGTGATGAGAGCTTTGGATTCCTCCGGGGAGAGGACTGTGTAGTGCTTCGGCGTGAGCGCGTACTCGGGGTGCTCGAACTCCGGCATGGGTGGATCCCGGGGCATCATCAAGGTACGATCGGACGAGCGACTGTCCGAAAACTTCGCGGCTTTGCCGCTCGCGAGTGCTGCCCAGTCGGCCAGGAAGCCGGGGACCGCGTTGCAATCGGCGACGTGGTGCTGGATTCCAAGCCCCAGCGCAAATCCTCCACAGCTAAAGCTTGTGATCTGGAACGAGTAAACTTCACTGATCGAAATCTTGCTTGAATCTAGATTGTTACCTGGACAAGCTAGGTGTAAGCTTGTGAAGATTTCCATGACCATCATCGCTACCCAGAAACTCGACCAATGTTTCCGTCGCGACGGCTTCCACCCAAAAAACTCCCTCGTTGTTAAGACGAATAGCCAGATCCCCAGATTCATCTCTTCCAATCCGACCCGCGAAGCCCAACACCTTTTGGAGCGAATCTTTCAAGCGAGAAGAGGTACTCAGCTTCGAAGAGAATGCAAGGAGGAGTGGGACGTGATAGCTTGGCATCAGGGCATCCATCGGGCTGAGACGTAGCCATGGAGAATGATCGCTGCTCCCGTCGTCGCTCTGAATCTGGATCCATTCCGGCAACCGCTCAATCGTGATGACCATGATTGAGAATGAATTTGTGCTGAACAGTGGAAGAGCTATTTGTCGTGATCGAAAATGGGAATGCGACTTGATTCCTTCATTAACCATCTATGGAGTGTCCATTGCTGATCAAAGGAAAGTGTTAACAACCTTTGTTGTCATTGAAAATGGAGTAGACAAGCTTGTCCATATGAGAGTTTCTTAGAGTGGGCACTACTGCTAGACCTCCGTCACCATTGCTAGATGGCACCACTCGCACGTAACCTTCGCAAGGGCCCTCCGTGGGGGTGGCAAGAACCGGACGACCGAATCCAAAGTCGAGCTCGTAAAAGGGCAGTCGAGCCCAGCTAGTGATGATCAAGTTTGGATCCAAAGAAAAGCGGGGAATCTCTTCCGCCTGGGGAGAACTACGCTGCTGGTCCTCGTGTTGTTGCTTCAATGCAAGGAAATCCACAACCGATCGCAAATAATCCTCCTGCGATAAAGACTCTAAGCCTGCGGCAATCAGCGAGGCCAAGTCACCCAAGGGCATGGCAAGGATATCGCAGACCGTGGCGCATGCGCACCGCCTAAACACCGCATTGCCGAAGAAGTGAGCCGGGAGCGCGAGCCCACGGCGGCCGTTGACCGGGCACAGTACTATCGTCTTGGACTGGACGTTGACTTCACGGGCGGCGGTGATTGACTTCCAGAGGTATGCAGACAGGGAGACGTACGTGGAGAAGGGTTGATTGGAGCGACCTTTGTTACACTCGGACTTGAGGAGCGCGAGACGCTCTCTGGTGAAGTGGATCGTGCGGGTGACGATCGACTTGGCCTCGTCGCTGGAAAGCATTGTGATGATGTTGGTGGTGTAGTCAGAGTGGTCAAAGCTAGGGCGTGGAGGGCGGCGGGGCATCATGCAGGAGCGGTCAATGGGCTGCCCGGACAGGAGTTCCTCGATTGACCGCTCCCCCCTGGTCAACTTTGCGAGGTCGAGGAGAAATTCCGGGAGCGCGTTGCAATCGACGACACGATGGTTGACTCCAAAACCCAGTGCGATCCCACCGCAGCCGAATCGAGTGATCTACACCACAAATGTATGCCAATGGATGAAAACATCGGGAGAACATACCTGGAGTAGAAGAGGGATTCCCATGTCCACGGGATCCTGCGAAGCCATTGGCGTCAGCTCTTGGAGCTTTGCGAGATCCTGATCCGAAAAACCCTGAAGCGTTTCCTGGGTGGAAGCCTCAATCCAGAGGACGCCGCAGTCCTCGTCCTGATCGTTGAGATAGATCCCAAGCTTCCCGGACTCGTTCCTCCGGATCCGCCCAGCTAAATCTCTGTAGTGGCACAGCACCTGCTGGAGCGCGCGCTCCAAATCGGCCACAAATCCTTGAGGAACCGGGGAGGAGAATGCGAGGACCATAGGGCTGTGAATTAGTGGCATGTGGATATCGATCGGGGTGAGAGGAAACCATGTCGAGAGAGGATTCTTGATCGACGACGACACCCATCTCAAAGAGCTTCTCTCAATCATCCTAGAAGTGCCACGTCAAACTTACCAACAACTAGGATTATTAACGCTCATATCCGTCGAATATCCCAAATCTGCCACGTGGTCACTGGATGCGTCTTTGAGAATCTTTCACTGGCGCTTAAGCAGCGTAAGTAATCACCTTCCTTTGTCCATGAGAATGTTGCTATAGCAGAGCATCAATTTTACTTCCACAAGAATCATCAGCATCTCGAACAGACATACCAAGGCCTTTGAATAGTAATGTTGAGCAAAAACCACCCCGCTGAATATTATAGTTGCAAAAGTTCATGGCAACGGAAGAATGTAAGTTCAAAACTCTGTATAAAAATCATCCTACACTCCAAGAGACTTGCTCTTTTAACGTTTGGCTACGGCACCGCAATGGCTAAAGGATAGCGAGTTGATAATGAAACCCCGAGTAGACAATATGAGAGTTTCTTAAAGTAAGCACTACCACTAACCTTCGCAACCCCCCTTGGTGGGCGTGGCAAGAACTGGACGGTTGAATCCAAAGCCGAGCTCATAGCAGGGCAGTCGAGCCCAGCTAGTGATGACCAAGTTTGGATCGAGAGCAAGCGCCTGTGAACCTCTTCTGTCATCTGGGGAGAATTATGTTATTGGTACTCATGCCATTCCTTCAATTCAAGGAAATCCATAACTGGTTGCAAATAATCCTCCTGGAAGCAACAAGCCTCTGTCAATTGTCGAAGCTAAGTCAGACCGTGCTCTAAACTCTGCATTGCCGAAGAAGCGAGCCGGGAGTTTGAGTCCACGGCGGCCGTTGACCGGGCACAGGACCATCGTCTTGGACTGCTTCCAGAGGTCGGCGGCTAGGGAAACGAACGTGGAGAAGGGTTGACTGGAGCTAGGGCGTGGAGACCAGAAAAGATTTCCGCTCCTGTGATCAACTTTGTGAGGTTGAGGACACGATGGTTTCCAAAACCAGTGCGATCCCACCGCAGGCGAATCGAGTGATCCAAACGAGAAATCTATCGGCTATGGATGATGAAACATCGGGAGTACCTGCAGTAGAAGATGTTCGTGGGATTTGGCGTCAGCTCGTGGAGCTTGGCGAGGTCCTTGTCCGAAAAGCCCTGAAGCGTTTTCTGAATACAGAGGATGCCGCAGTCCTCGTCCTGATCGTTGAGATAGATCCCAAGCCTCCCGGACTGGTTCCTTCGGATCCGCCTGATACAGTGTCCGGCGCTCCAAATCGGCCACAAATCCTTGAGGAACCGGGAAGGAGAATGTGAGGACTAAAGGGCTGTGAATTAGTGGCATCTGGATATCGATCGGGGTGAGAGGTGTCGGGAGAGGATTCTTGATCGACGAAGACACCCGCTCTCATTGTCCCCTATAACTTTTCAACTTACACATGCTTCACGAGACAGCCTCACCCGACGTCCAGGTCAAACTTATCCGTCGAATATCCCACAAGCAAGTCTTTGGAGAGCTTGCCCTATTGGCATCTTAGTACCAAGAGCTCACGCGGCCCGGACGGAGTTTGACCATCCCGAGTACGCACTCACGGCAAAGCCCTACAGTTCTCCGGATCCTTTTCGGATAGACGAGCTATTTCTTCTCACAAACAGCTAACTACGAAATCCAAAAGAAAACCTCACAGCACAACAATCGTATTTTGACAATCCAATCCTACTGTCGCTGATCTGCAGCGTCTTGTTTGCCACAATGTGAATGAAAAAGCGATTGTAGTGAATCTTATCTAATCAATAAAAAATAAGACAGATATAAAAGAAAAAGACTTCTGATTCTCCGGGACATCTTAAACTCCAAAGGTTTGATATGCAGCTGAGTTGGACATACATAAGTAACAAGGTCATTGCAGGAAATGTGACAGGTGCCCTTTCAAAGCTACGAAAGGAAACTTGATTGACTAGGGATGCTGTTGAACTCTTCCAAAAGATTGTTGCTTTTTGTCTGAAATTCTTCTTCTGAAATATTTTTTATCTTGCAATAATTCTATTAATGGGTAATTTTTAATTTCAGAGTACTAACTTTTTTTGAATATAAAGTCTTCTACGTTGTGAGGTCTAAGTGTACAACTATGATGCTTATTCCATGCACTCATATTGGTGGAAATGAAAGGTAATTTTGATTATCCCTAAGATTTGGGATATTAATTTAAATTTATTATTTGCATTATCTAAATCTCCCTTTTCGTATTGCTTTTTAGGATTTTGGTTTAGATCTAGCTTTTGCATTGCTTAGATCTCCCTTTTTTTTAATTATTTTTTTTAACTTTTTCTCTTTTGCTCTTTCCTTTTCATTCATCTTCATGGTAGAGCACTAACCCTCTTCCTCCTTTGACTCTAAAGCAATAGTTGGTATAATTGTTTGATGTTATATAGTTATAGTTGAATAATCAAACTTAATTGATGGTAGTATTCACAGTGCGTGGTACAATTCTTCTTGCTCTTGTTACCAATCCTCGCATCCGACTAGAGTTTTTTCGTGAGAATCTTAAAGATGATGTGTACCATTAGTTTGATCATTTCATGGTGATTGTTACATATCATTTCTGGGATAATATTTGATGTTTACATGAGTTTCCCATGTATTTTCAAAGGTTGGTGCTGCAATGGTACAATGGTTTGAGTGTAGCCACTTGTTAGGATTGGAGTATTCTCTTAAGCATTTTCAAACATACATTTGGACATGTTGACAATTGTGATGATGCCTTTTAGCAATTGCATCATCTTTGTTAAGGGTCATCTGATCTTATGATGCAAATTAGCTTTTGTTTTCGAAGTCTTTTGTTTTATATAGAGTCAAATATGTCAAAGAAGATTAAGTTGGGAATGTTGTGGCTAACACTTTATCAAGATTTGGTAGGACTTATGCATGCATTTGCTCTAGCCACCTTTGATGATGCTTTTTGCTTAGCACAATGTTATGAGACATCATCTCATCCACTTCTTGCTGCACATCCTTCAGCTCCACTTTCTGTGTGAGATAGTTCTGTTTTAATGGAGGTTGATATTGTTGCTCCTCAAGTTCAAGGACTAAAACGAAGATGTGGTTATTGTTGAGCATGTGATGAAATTGGTCACACTTATTGATGTTGTTGGCATTTTCCAGATTGGTGACCTCTATTTCCTGGATGTAAACTTTAGTGTTAACAATGTTCTATTGGTGTTGTTGTAATGAAAGGTCTGAACACCAAGATATATCTGAGAAACGAGAAGTTGTACAAGTAATGGAAGGATCTTGTGTGAATAAGTCAGTGACCCCTCCATCTTTTTTTATGAGTATTATTAAGGGGTTCACTCAACACTGATTCATTCAGTGTTTACTTTCTAAGCTCGTTTTTATAACAATAGATATTCTATTATTCTCTTTATGTTGGATGATACAAGCTCAAGTTTATTTTCTATTGCTCAGCTTATTGCCACACATTGTCGTCTACATTTGCATTGTGTGGCAAAGCTAACAACAAGGTTCGCCTCATCCTGTTCATATGTGTGTGTACGGCCATTGTTATAAAAAATGAAAATGTGTGTAAGCAATCTCAAACTTGAGTTACAATCATTGTAGATGGTGCTGAGTCAAGTTTTTGATCTCATCCTTAGTATAGATTTGTTGTGGCACAATTATGAAAAATGTGATTTTGAGGTTTCTCCCCCTTCTCTCATACTTTTTGATATTTCTTCTATTTTTTATACCTTTTTATCTCTTTGCTTCTACCTTTACTTCAATCACTTTTGTCTCCCCTTTACTTCCTTCTAAGTTTCTATCTTGTTCTTCTCTTTCCTATTTTGATCCCTTTGATGGTCTTTATGTTGTAGTGGTTAACCAATTCATAAATGAGTATGTTGATCTTTTTGAATTTGACCTATCATCTAAGGCAAAATTACAACACATTATCCTATTTCAACTAGGAATGCTTGTCCAATCAAGGTTCTTATTTATTGTTTGTAACCCAAAGAGATCAAAATTTTACTTACAAACATTAAAAAGATGTTGGAAAAGAGAGTTATTTGGAAATCACAGAGTCTTTAGGCATGTGAATCTTATTTTGTGACGAAGTTTGATGAAGGTATTTGTTTCTACATCAACTATTGTTTGTTAAATGAAGTGACAATTCTAAATGCTTCTTCACACTATTCATCTCTTAGATTGTCTGGAGAGTCGTTAGTTCACTAAGTTAGATCTTGTTTTTGGGTAATGGCAAGTATCGATGGTCGAAGAAGATATTTCAAAGATTGCTTTTCGTACACTGTTTGGGTTATACAAGTTCTTAGCGATATCGTTTGGTTTGAACAATGTTTCAACAATTTTCGATCGGATGATGGACAAGGTTTTTTGCAATATGCCAGAAGTGATTGCTAACTTCATCAATGATGTCTTAATCCACTTGAAGGGTCATGAGAAGAACACATTTGTGATGTTCATAAGGTGTTGGATCTTCTTGTAAGCGACTAAATTTTTCCATTCTACTTTAGTCATTTAACCACACCAACCACTTGGAGGAGTCTCACTCACAACCTCCATAAGTCGTATTTCAGACTTGGGCTTGCTAGCCCCGAGAATGGCATCCCTGCCACTCAACCTTTGCATTTGATCCAAGTGCTCCACGTGTCCGATCCCATGACCGACACCCCAAGGTACCACCGACATATCAGCCCGTTACGCTAAGGCCATGCCCCTTTACCTTGGTCACACCTTTGGTCTAACACCACCTGCATCACAGTCCCATCTCTCAGGGACTGGGCCATCCGTCCATGAGTGATCATTCCAAATCCACTCCTTAGCATCCTTAAGATGCCCACAGACATGGGGAATAGCCTTCCCCAATATCCCTTTTCCGGTCTTCACCAAATCCCTTTCTGCCCATGGCCGTGTTCACCAACGCTGCCACTGGATCGAGGCCCACAGGCCCGACCACTAAGTCCCACGGTCCTTTGGGACTTCCTTACCACTCGACTGTATCCTTGGTCACTACACCAGAGGACTACTCCTCTTCCTTTCCACAGTCTAGGCCTTTGGGACAACATTTCGGAACACCGTGGCCTTACGCGGGCCTCATGGGTACTCTCCCCGCCATCCGCCTTTGGGTGCTCTAGCCATGGGCTTAGAGCGAGGTTCCGTTGAGCCACACTAGGTATCCAAGTAGGTAGTGCCACCTACACTTGGACTGGGAGCATCGGTCAGTCGATCTTCCGGGGGAACTAAAGCCGGCTTTTGAACACTTCACCAAGCTACCCCGCTTGTTGGTCCGTATTCACTCTAGTTTTGGACTTCCCAGTGGTCAATTCATCACCCAACACTGGGTATGGCCTTCCTGGGCCGAACTGGCCTTTCCTGGCCAAACTGGCTCCACTGGGCTCCAACCCCCACACTCTCCTTACTATACTTTTGGAACCCCCCCCCCCCCCCCCCCTTGGGGGACGATTGCTTTGGGCTTTCACCCAACTGCCTGTATTAGTATTTGGACTCGGACTCCATCTCGAACTCCATCTCGGACTCCATCTCGGACTCCACCTCGGACTCCAACTCGGGTCCATCTTGGACTCCATTTCGGACTCCACCTCGGACTCCAACTCGGGTCCATCTCGGACTCCACCTTGGACTCCAACTCGGGTCCATCTCGAACTCCATCTCGGACACTTCCACATGTCATGTGTTGGTCCTTTTGGGTCCGTTTTTGGAGCCTCGCTTATTGATCGCTTCATGCTCGTTCCTTGAGCACTCCGTTGGGAGTTCCACTCTTGCTCTCAACCTTTTCAAGTCGGAGCTTTTTAGTCCAAATATGTTACACTCGTTTGGTTTTCATTTCGGCCACCACCACATAGCACCCTTCCGGCTCCACTTTGGGGCCTAGGGATTTTTTGTCTCACACTTCTATAAAAAATTGGTTTAAAGTTGAAGTGGTCGAAGTGTGTGTTTAAGTCCAAAGACATGATTTATCTTGGGTACCAAATTTTCTTATGAGAATTTGCAAGTTAATTCTAACAAACTTGTGGTTATTCTAAAGTTCCATACTCCCAAGTGTGTGAAGAATGTGTAGTGTTTCCTAGGCAAGGTGTAATATCTCAATCATTTTGTTGATCATTTTTTTGATTATACCGCACCGTTATGAGCGTTGCTAAAGTTGTTAGTATTATCTTTCATCTAGTCTGAAGATTGTGAGTGGGTGTTTACAGATCTCAAAGAGTTATTAATAACTCCTTTGGTTTTGGCATATTCTGACTACACTCAATGTTTCATTTTCCGCATGGATGCTTCTGATATCAATCTTGGAGGTGTGTTGATGCAAGAGAGCCCGAGTGTATTTGGTCAATGTGATATATCAACCGTACATTACAACTAGCAGAGGTGAACTACTCCATAACAAAGAAGGAGTTTTTAGTAGTAATTTAGGGTTTCAAGAAATTTCATGCATATTTATATGGTTCTTGGACGTTATTAAAAAGTGATTATGTTGCAAGTACTTCATTATTAAAATAGAAAAACTTAATTGGTCATACTGCTCAGTGGGCTTTGAAACTTCAGATGTATGATTTTGATGTTGTTCATCACTTAGGAGTTTTATAGTTGATGCTAATACTATTTTTCAAACTCTTCTTGCTTCTTTGCTCTCTTCTCATGTTTCTGATGAACCTATTGTTCCAACATTTGTGGATTTTTTGGATGAAAATTCCGTGCCATCGGTGGTTGTTGTAATTGACATTCAATGTTCATAAAGTGTAGAGCAAAATTTATCATTTCTTGATGAGGTTTATGAGGCTCAAAAAATTGAACTGTGAATTCAAAGGCTTTGCAATGGGTTTAAAAATCTTGCATCACTTACTAATGACTTACCATTTTGGCATTTACATTCTACATATCGCTTTAAGGACGATCTTTTTATTTTTTAGGGATGAATCCTAATGATCATTTATGGTTGGTAGTGCTTTCAATTTTTATTCCATGTTTTCTTCACGTTTACTATGATTCTCTTATTTTAGGTGGGCATATGGGACACTGTCGTATGACCCAGAAGTTGTGCAAATCTTTTTATTAGACAGAGATGCGACGTGATGTCATCTAATATATGCGTAGTTACATTTGGTGCCAAACTTGTAATACTCCCTCTTATGCTGCAATATGATGGTTTGAGTCTATTCCAGTTTTTTGTCTGTTTGAGTTGGTGGCGTTTGATTTGATAGAATATTTTCCATGATTAAATACTAGTAATGAGTATGTCATTATTGCTTTTGATTATTTAACTTGTTAGGTGGAAAGCAATGCTCTTGTTAGCATATCTATAACTACTATTTGATACTTCTTCCTCAATTAAGTGGCGTTTTAGCATTCTTATCCTTAGTGGACTCTTTCAGATAATAGTCTTACATTTATGGCTGAGGCATTTCATATTTTTATGTCTTGGTTGGGGATATGCCACACTTTTATGAGTGTTTATCATCCATAGTCAGATAGTTTAGTAGAATGGCTCATTTGGACCTTTAAAAGGATGATTGCGAAGTATATGAATTTTCAGCATTCGGATTGGGATGGTTATTTGCGGTCTCTTTAGTATGCATATGTCACAAACGTGCAGAGTTTTATTAGTGCTTCACTATATAAACTTTTATATGGTCATGATATAATACTGCTAACGGAGTTGGGTTTACATTTGCAATTGTCATAGGCTACTAATACTATGTTGTAGGATCAGTATTTGACAAATATTTTTCCATTTGTCTAAACAAAGTTTGTTGAACACTTGGGCTGTGTACAAGTGGGACAACAAGAAGGCGACAATTCCCATCATCATCCACTTGCAAAATACAAAGTGGATGAATCTTATGGTACATGATTTATTTAGGGGGCTTTTTACTCAATAGAAAGGTTTATATCAAGTGTTGCGGCAAGTTGGACCATAAGTTTATAAAATTCAACATAACATCTAATAGACTAATCATTTAGAAATTGTGTATATGTAACAATTGAAACACTTTGTACAAAGGGATCAAAAACAATTAACACTATTTATAGATCCATTGATGCCTCCTCTTAATATTCTTTGAAATCCTAGCCCATCCACAAAAGGATATTAACGGTTTTCCATCATTCCAAGAAGAAGGGATGATGCAAGGTCCAAATGTATAACTATAATGCTATATATTAATATTAGCATAGTGGGATTTTGGTAGCTATTAAATTGGTTTTAATCTAAATTTTTTACTTTTATATAAAAAATAATGTTTTTAGGCTAATTGATATATACATTTCTTATATTCTCTTTCCATATTCCATGCACTCACAAAGTGTAATTGTGCAAAAAATAAAATGTTAATAAATTAAAACTGCCATTAGGCACTTTTAAACAAGGGTAATAAAAGTTACCTTTATTTACTTGACACGTCACGCGACGTTTAGCGTGGCGTCTCAAATATTTCTAGGGTTCTTGCGGGATTTTGGAGCGCAGTGACGTGATGGAGTCGGAGAAATTCGCCTTCCAGGCAGAGATCAATCAGCTGCTCAGCCTCATCGTCAACACATTCTACAGCAACAAGGAGATTTTCTTGCGGGAGGTGATCAGCAATGCCTCGGACGTACGTTTGTTTCTCGTTTTCTTTTTTGCCAGATTCAGTGATGGATTCATGCCCTCTGCCGTCAGGCGCTGGATAAGATTCGCTACCAATCGCTCATCGATAAGAACAAGCTCAAGGACGAGCCGGAACTTTTCATTCACATTGTTCCGGACAAGGCAAACAAAACCCTGTCGATCGTCGACAGTGGGATTGGATTGACAAAATACGGTACGGTTGTGCGCTGTGGTGAGCGTTTTCTTTTGGATTTCATGTTGATGATCATTTCAAGTCTCGAGTGTTCGCCTTTTTTCCTTGGTAGAAAAAAATGTGGAACTGATTTAATTCTTTCGATGTCCAGAGCTTGTCCACAATCTGGGAACGATTGCAAAATCCGGGACAAGAGACTTTGCTGCTGCTTTGGCTGCCGGAGCAGCGGACATATCGCTCATCGGACAGTTTGGTGTTGGATTTTACTCGGCTTTCCTGGTTGCCAACAGCGTCACTGTGGTAAGCAAGCACACTGACGACCAGCAGTATGTCTGGCAATCCGAAGCGGGAGGTTCTTTTACCGTGTCAAAGGACACTTCGAAAGAGAAACTTAGCCGTGGCACCAAAGTTATTTTGCATCTCAAAGACGACCAGGTAGAAACTGCGATGGTGGTGGTGGTGATGGTTCTTTTGTTTCATACAAGTGGCTCGCTATGGTTCAGCTGGAATATCTCGAAGAGAGGAGGCTGAGTGATCTTATCAAGAAACACTCAGAATTCATCAACTATCCGATTTCTCTATGGACTTCGAAGGCCTCTGGAACTTCAGGTTCCCAGAAAGGGAAGGGGAAGGAGGACACTCACGAGTGGAAAATCGTGAATAATCAGAGGCCGATTTGGATGAGAAATCCCGCGGAGATTACTCACCAGGAGTACGCTAGCTTCTACAAGATCCTCACAAACGACTGGGAGGATCACTTGGCTGTCAAACACTTCTCAGTGGAGGGGCAGCTACAGTTCAAGGCAGTGCTCTACATTCCGAAGCGAGCACCTTTCGACGTTTTCAATCCGAAGAAGAGACTGAACAATATCAAGCTTTACGTTCGAAGAGTGTTCATTATGGACGATTGCGAGGAGCTGATCCCAGAGTACCTTGGATTTGTCCGAGGCATTGTCGATTCGGAGGACTTGCCACTGAACATCTCCCGGGAAATGCTACAGCAGAACAAGATTCTTAAAGTGGTCAAGAAGAACCTGACAAGGAAGTGCTTGGAGCTCTTTGCAGAGCTTGCCGAGAACAAGGAGCAGTACCGCAAGTTCTACGACGTCTACTCCAAACATATCAAGCTTGCTATCCACGAGGACTTTCAGAACCGAGCGAAGCTGGCCGAGCTCCTGCGATATTACTCGACCAAGAGCGGGGACGAGTTGACCAGCTTGAGAGACTACGTGACTCGAATGAGGCCCGGGCAGAAGGAGATATATTACATCACGGGAGAGAGCAAGACCGCCGTGCAAAACTCTCCGTTCCTGGAGAAGCTGAAGAAGAAGGGGCACGAGATCATCTTCATGGTTGATGCTATAGACGAGTACGCCGTTAACCAACTTAAGGAATACGACGGCAAAAGGCTGGTCTCTATCACCAAGGAGGGCCTCATGATGGAAGAGACTGAGGAGGACAAGAAAGCCAAGGAGCAAAAGAAAGCACAGTACGAGCGCCTATGTAAAGTTATGAAGAACATACTTGGAGAAGAGGTGGAGAGAGTAGTCGTCTCCGACCGCATCGTGAGCTCTCCATGTTGCCTTGTGACGGGCGAATACGGGTGGACAGCAAACATGGAACGTATCATGAAGGCGCAAGCCTTACGAGATGCGAGCATGTCCAACTACATGACCAGCAAGAAGACGCTGGAAATCAATACCGACAACTCGATCATGAACGCGCTGAGGATCAGAGCAGACAGAAACGAGAAGGATACTGCAGTGAGGGACGTGGTGCTACTGCTTTTTGAGACGACGCTCTTGACATCTGGATTCAGCCTTGAAGATCCAACTGCATTTGGAGCCAGAATCAGTCGCATGCTAAAGCTGGGACTCAACCTTCACGATGCGACGACAGTTCCTGAGAAGCGTGCCGAGCATGCTCCTAGTGGAAGCAGCAGCCACAAAATGGAGGAGGTCGACTAAGAAAAATTACGGGTCAGTGTCTGCAGGACAAAGAATAAGCTACACTGTTATTACGTGGTTACTACATCGACTTGAGTCACTCCAAGTCTGGTTCGCTTGAACGGGTGCGGTTCTATCTCCGACTACTGGTGCTTATTCTTCGTTCTCTTTATGGTCGTCTCCAGGAACTTGTCCTCCCTGTAAGCGAAGTACATCGACAGACAGGCTCCTGGTCCGAGTATAGGCACTCCAAGCAGTATACAAAGGGCAGCTGTAGTTCCGTCCTCTACAGCCGTCAAGTACACCATCGCAGCAAAAAGGACGAGGCAGTCTATCAAAAGGAAGAAGCTGCACCAAAGGTCTCCTGGGTGGTGCCACAAGAGTTGAAGTGCTTTGGACGGAATTTCTGGATCGTCCAGCACGAGCAGGATCGCAACAATGTGCCAGACGGCTGCTTTACCAGCTTGCATGAAGTGAAGATGGACCACGGCCTTGTGTCCACTGGCTGGATCGGAGTCTTTGGTGGTGGTGATGGGGAGCCAGAATATTGGACAAACTATGGGTGCGAATTGAAAGAGGAAGATGGCGAGGTCTTTGTTCACATTTTTCAGAGGCAGCACCATGGCTACGGAAATAATCTCAAAGAATAGGAGAGCAAACTGGATAAGTACTGCACGGTGGGAAGATATTGTTTTATCACAAGCATGTCGAGGAGATCTCTCAGCTGCGTTCGAAAGGATATAGATGGGGAGCCAGAGGGCCGGAACGACAACAGAAATGCCACCAACTTGGAAGAGAAAGGCGTAGATTGGTGTGAGGCTGAGGAGCCAGGCGTGTCCATATCGTGAAGCTTCTACAGCTATGAAAGCAAAGGTGGATATGGCGACGGAAAGCAAGTAGCCAGAGATCCAGAGTCCGAGGCTACTGTCCAGGGCGGTCTTGAAGAAAAATACCAGAACACAGATAAATCTGTCGATGGCGTGGTTGCCAAACCTGTCGACAAAGAAAATAGTGAGCAGCCAAGAACATGACATCCACTGACCTGAAAGGGTACGTCACCGAATCCGGGCAGCCAGCAGCTATGGAAGACATGGAGACTTCTGCTTGCTCAAAGATCAACTTTGCTGTCCACAAGCCAAGGATGACGAGCGGAGCTGCGGTAGCTACCTTCTTGCTCATCACCGCCATAGCCTCCAGGTAGAAATGAATTTCTATATAGGCTGTACAGTATCAGGTATATGGCTGTGACAAAAAGAGTTGTCAAACAGTCGGAGCTACGGACTTCGCTGCTGAAGCTGGATCCCGTGCGCCCGCAAGCTTCGCTCCTCGATCTATAAACGAGGATGACCAACAAGAAGCTATCAAGTAAAAGCAGCACACCTCCAAAGACGCGATTCTCTCAAGAAGTTGCTTACACTCCCGGACAGATGCTTTCTCGAGTGCTACGGTCTGTGCGAGGTCCTGTGCTAAAAGGCTTTGCTCTTGAGCCTGCGGAAGAGAGGCCAACGCACAATTCTTCGCAACTTTGGGAGCAACGACAAACCTTTGGAAGCAAGTGATAAGTGGATGCTTCGACGGATTCCAAGATAAGGCTTGCGTGCTGAAGTGCTCCGTAAATTATTAGAGCATCGCCCTGCAAAGACAACATTCACAAGTTCGTCTGATAAGATTTACTTTGCTGCGTACCTTTGCACCCCGACACAGAGGAACTCGCAGCACATCGGCATTTAACGCTCCAACCATTTCATCCAGTGTAGACGAGAGCTTGTCTTCCAGCCGGGACCATTCTTCAAGGCCTTTCTCCTGCAAGTTTACTCACGACTAAGGACCAAGGCAAACTCCGCTGCTTACATGGGATTCAAGGACCGACGCAAGCTTAAGGCTCTCTGTGGCTTTGTCCAACTTTATCTGATCCATCGCAACGACGGTACGAAGGTCACAGATACGAGCCCAGGCATTGAACAGCAATCTCTGTACTATAAAGGATTTAGCACAAGTCGAACGCAGAGGTCGTACCTTAGCGGCTGCTTCCTGGGAGCTGAGAGCAGCGTGAGCGCGAGCATTAACAAATCGCCACTGAAGGTGGCGGTTGTGAAGAACTTTGAGAAGTTGAGCCTCGTCTTGCTCTGCGGCTGCTCGTTTTACGGGGCTTCCGTGAGAGGAAGATGGTCTCGAGCTTGGTGGGCTTGGCAGTGTTCTTGATGGAGATGGAAACGTCCCTGGAGATGGAGTTCTAAATGGAGATCGTGGACGAACAGGGAACTCTTCACAGCTCGGTGTTGTTTTTGTCAGCGGTGTAGAATCAGAAGCAGCTGGTTCGTGGTGGTGTAGATTTTCGTCGACTTCGTTTCCAGTGATGGTGGAGCTCAGGAGTTTCCTGTGTGAAGGTTTCTTCTTCGTGGTGAAGTTCCCTCCTGACTCCGACCATCTCTGTACCACATATTGAGGTGATCCAAGGCTTCCATTGACGGACATGGACATGCATTTGGGATTGGAGTATGCTTTGGTTGCTGCTGGCGCATGAGTTCGAGAAGAAGATGGTGCGGGCGACTTTCGGGAAGAAGTTTTATTTTTGGTCGAAGATAAGTTGACGCTCTTGCAGATCGGCATTGCCCCCGGCTTGTTACAAGCAAATACCGCTTTCGTTGACGTCGTGGATTGCTCGAAGAGGTTATCCCGAGGCTTCTCATTCTCGGCTTGCTCCAGATTTTTCCTGCTACTTCGCACAGCTTTCTCGTCGACCTTGCTGCTCTCTTCTTTGTTGAGCGAAGGCCACAGACCGTCCGGCCGAGAGGAAGCTCTTTGCTGGCTTGAAGATGACGATGGAGAAGACAGGCTGCCGAGATCAATCGATGAAGTTCCAACCGGTGACAAGGAAGTTTTCCTAGAAGCAAGTTTGTACCTGGAAGCAACTTCCCGAACTCGAGACCTTCGGAGCTGCGTTGAACCGGTGTTCTCCTCGAGCGAAGGAGCAAACGGCACTCGGCCATTGTCTAGAGCTCGATCCTGCTGCCGTTTACTGGTACTTTGAAGCATTGCTTCTTCGGAATTCAGCTCAACCCATGGACGGATTCCTCTACGCCGAAGCTCTTCTAAACGTTCTCTATTCTACTATGGGGGAGATACATACCGCTGCCGCAGGAAGGGTGATGGTTTTCGCAGTGCTGAGGCCCCGATTTTCTACACACTTCATGGCCTGCCTCAACAAACCTTGCCACCAAACATCGCCAGAAATTTCCCCTCGCACTCATCACAACAACAACAACAACGAAAGAGAGAAGACACGAGATATACTTGAGCTCCAAGGTAACTTAAGTCGGTACTCGGCAGGCTCAAATCAGAAACCACTGTTTACGGGAGGAATGCTTCCGCGAGTTGCGCACGAATACACATCCGCGATGCACCAACCAGTCCTGGAGAAAAGATAAAGAAAGAAAGCATGAAGAAAGGGAAAAGAAGGAAAGTTTGGATTATCTTGGAGCCAACAACCATTTTCCTCTGCTGGTGGCCGATACTTGTCGATTTGCGAAGAGCTCGGATAGCGATGTTCCGTTGGAGTTCCTCTCCTCATGGGCAGCTCAGCACAAGATACATGCTTCGCTGCTTCTTCCCCGTTCTTAAAGAAGACGAGCAAGCTTGCAGCAGCTGTCTCGCGCAACATGGCAAACCGTCCGAGAAACGAACGCTGGAACGAACAAAGGCTGGAACAAACAAAGGCAGCAACGAGAAATGAATTCGCAAAACAGATTTCAAGTGCTTTCCGACAAGGAACTTCTTTGTGCTGGCTGGCTGGCTGGCTGGCTGACTGCTGCGAAGGTGAGGAGGAAGATCGAATTTATACAGTACGACAGCCGTAAGAAATCCGTGTTCCCTGTCCGGAGCTTTGCCAACTTTCCTGACCGGCGTGGAGAGATCGGGTCAGGTCATGCCTGGAATATGTAAGTTAAAAAAATGGAGCGGATGCTTTCGTTCCGTTTGCATGCCAAGAAGGTGGTGGTGCGATGGTGGTGGCGGTCCCAGGCAACCAACCATGCTCCCTTTGTCTTTAAAGAAGGGAAGAAGACCGCTCTACAGAGGAAACAGGATTTTCTGCCATAGACTCGGTACGTGTTCCCTTTTATCGTTATTGTTTTTCGAGGCAGGATCTTACGCTGCCGCTGTTCTTTCGTGCTGTGCAGATCCGCCAGCAGAAAAAATGAGGCGCTCGCAGAATTTCTCGACGCTTGTTGTTGCTTTCCTGCTGCTCGTCGTCGGCATTGGCGAGTTCATGACATGCGCTTCCGCTTTCAACGTGCCGATGATGTTCGTGTTTGGCGACTCGTTTGTGGACTCCGGAAACAACAACCATCTCAACACAACTGCTCGAGCAAACCATCAGCCTTACGGCATAAACTTTGAGGAGAGGCGTGCCACCGGAAGATGGTCCGATGGAAGGATTGTAACGGACTACCTGGGTAAGTTTTCTTCTTATTGCAAAGTAGACAAGGAAATGGATGGAAATCTTATCCCGTCTTCTCGTGGCAGCGGATTACATCGGCCTGTCGTATCCTCCGTGTTTTTTGGACTCCGTCAACATCACTCGAGGTGCAAACTTCGGCTCGGCTGGCTCTGGAATCCTCAACATTACCCATATCGTAAGTTCACTGGAAAAAAAAATTAATGGAGCTTACTTACATGATCGCTTTGAACAGGGAGGGGAAGTTCTAACGTTCACGGACCAAGTAAACGGCTTCGACACGTACGTTACGAACCTGAACCAGATGCTCGGAAGAACGCTGTCCGAGTACTTGGTGTCCAGATCCATCTTCTACATAAACATCGGCAACAACGACGTGAATGACTACCTTTTGGATCACAATGCCACAGCGCTTCCCTTCGGCTTTCGTGCCAGCCTCCTGTACCAAATGCAAACCAAGATCCAGGTTTGTCGTTGATTCAAATAAGATTGCTTCCAACTTCTGACTATTTCTTTCCAGCAACTCTACCGAGCCGGGGCTCGCAAGATGATCGTCACGTCGAACTACGCTCTCGGCTGCGCGCCAATGTACCAGATTTACGGGAGGTGCAACCCGGTCGGCCTGAACGCCGCCAGGTACTACAACCAGGGCCTGTTTGATCTCCTCCAGACTCTCCAGCGCACGCTCAGAGGCCTCGTCATTGTCTACGCCAACGCCTTCCAAGTCATGATGGACGTCCACCAGCAGCCACTTTTCTACGGTAAGAAAGTCGTGGTTCTATCGATCTCTGTGGAGGAAGAGCTGAGAAACTTGGTTGGTTTTCCCAGGAATGCGCAATGTCACACACCCGTGCTGTCCGAACTTCAGCCGACCCCAGAACCGCTGGTGCTACTCGTCCGATACGTTCTGCCAGCAGCCGTCGGGATACTTGTTCTGGGACACGGCTCACCCGACCGATGCCTTCAACCGCATCGCCGCTCAGAGGTTCTGGCAGGGAGACTTAAGATACGCGTTCCCGATGAACGTCCGGACCCTGGCCAATCTCTAAGTTCAAGAGCTGCTACTGCTACTGCTAGTTCTAAGCACTCCTTTCCATTTGTTTGATAGAGTTTAAAAAGGAGATAAAATAAAAAGATGTCAGTCGCGGAGTTCTCTTCGATCTCGCTTTTCTCAGAGTTTTCTTCTTCGTCTCAGATGAGGAATTTCTCCACCAATCTCGTGAGCGACGCCGCGGAGAAGGGCAGCGGCTGGATTGCGCAGAGGTAGCGCGTTTTTTTCGTGTTTCTTGCCTAAGAATCCACGACATGATCTAGGAAATGGGATGCATTGGTCGTGGGAGGTGGTCACAACGGGCTCACGGCGGCGGCCTATCTCGCGAGAGCTGGACTGGCGGTGGCGGTGCTGGAGCGGAGGCATGTCCTTGGCGGCGCTGCTGTCACTGAGGAGATTGTTCCCGGATTTAAGTTTTCTCGCTGTAGCTACCTCCAAAGCTTGCTTCGTCCATCTGTGATCAAGTTGGTTCTTTCTTTCTCGCTTTTCTCGATTCTCTAGAGTTGGTTTTTATGTCTTTCTTTTCCCAGGGAGCTGGAGCTTCACAAGCATGGCATGAAGCTTCTGCCAAGGAACCCTTCGTCGTTTACACCCAGTTTGGATGGGAGTTATCTGCTCATGGGACCGGATGCTGGTTTGAATCACAGCGAGATCTCTAAGTTTTCAAAGAAGGACGCTGATGCATATCCAAGGTGGTATAGAAACTGTCGAGATAGCTAACATCGTTTCCATGAAAGCTCGCAGGTATGAGCAACAGCTCGAGAAGTTCAGTTCCTTCATTGCGCCTCTCGTGGATACGGTTCCACCCGAGGTGTCGAGCAAAGCATCCTTGACAAGCCATGTCTCTCGGCTTAAAGTTCTTGCTGGCATTGTCAACCGGAGCTTTGGAATGAGCCAAGCAGACATGGTGTAAGGTTTTCATGCGGGTTTATGTTCAGAGTTGTCTGTTCTTTCCTGACAGTGCTTTCATGGAACTCCTGCTCGCTCCAGCCTCTAGAGTTCTCGACAACTGGTTCGAGGTAAAATCACAATGATTTGAAGTGATTTCATGTTTTCTTTCTTCAGTCAGATCTGCTCAAAGCAACGCTTGCTACAGATGCCATCATCGGTACCATGGTGAGATGAAACTTACCTCTAGAAGTTGGATCATTTCCACACTCTTTGATGCCACAGGGAAGTGTTGACACCCCTGGAAGCGGCTACGTTCTTCTTCACCACGTAATGGGAGAAACCGAGGGAGCTCGTGGAATCTGGTCGTAAGTTGTCGAATTCATCCTTGTCTTTGGAGTCTAATCCTAGAGTTCCTGGAGAAACACTCTAGATATGTTCAAGGTGGGATGGGATCTATCTCGATGGCCATAGCAGCAGCAGCAAAAGAAGCAGGAGCAACTCTGGTGACCAATGCCAAGGTTTGTTCGTTTGCTTTCTCTTTCTACTTGTTTTGTAGGGTGATCCTTTCTCACTCAGGCAGGGATGGAAACTTTAAGGTTGACAAGTTTATTGTGGAGGCAAGCAGCGGTGATAGCGCATCTGTGACAGGAGTAAGAACTCTCTATTTCATTTCAAACTCCAACTGCAAGAGCTTTGTTTTGCCAGGTGACTCTGGAAGATGGCACACACATTGAAGCCAAACGAGTTCTCTCAAATGCAACAGCGGCGACAACGTTCTTGGTATGTCGACCCGATGATGGTTGAAATGAAACCAAACACTTTTTTTTTTTTTTTTGTACAGAAAATGGTTCCGAGTGGTGTACTTCGTGAGGACTTCCTCAACGAGATCAGTAAGATTGACTACCAATCGGTAAGTCTTAACAACTTATTCCTGCGTTGCTTGTCAAACGTAGAAAATCCAGGGGACAACGAAGCTGAATCTGGCTGTGAGTGAGTTACCACGCTTTCGAGCATGCAGCGGCAAAGGCCAAGAAGATCCTGGGCCGGAACACCGTGGAACGATACATCTTGGAGCTGACAAGTAAGAACTTTGTCTCTAGAAATTCTCAAAATTGCCTGTTCTGTAGCATGCAGGACCTTCTAGCAGCACATAAGGACGCCTGTAATGGTTACTCATCAACCAGACCAGTAATTGAGATGACCATACCATCTGCGTTAGATGGAACCATATCCCCACCTGGTACCCATCAAATAAAACTCTTCACTGGCTATACTTTTTTTACACAGGAAAGCATGTCATCAACATGTTCGTGCAATACACGCCTTATCATCTCAAGGACGAAGGCTGGGAAGACCCCAAAACCAGAGTACGTGACAAACTCTTGGAAGTCTCATATCTGCTAAGTTCTGTATGAAACAGGAAAGCTTCGCAAACCGATGCTTCGATCTGGTTGAGGAGTACGCACCTGGATTTAAATCCTCTATCATTGACTTTGAGATGCTGGCTCCACCCGACTTGGAACGCATTTTTGGATTGACAGGAGGGAACGTCTTTCACGGTGCCATGAGCTTGGACTCGCTCTTTCTTCTACGACCTGTTAAAGGCTGGTAAGTTATATGCTTTGAGGAAACCGCAACTTACTTTTAACTCATCACAGGTCTGGATACAAAACTCCTCTCGACGGTCTTTACCTCTGCGGCTCTGGTGCCCATCCTGGTGGAGGTGTCATGGCCGCGGCTGGACGCAACGCTGCAAGAGTTGTGTTAGAAGAACTTGGGAAGAAACTTACCTGAGCAAGCCTGTTGATTTTGATTTCGAGAGCTAACAAAGAATGCTACTTCGACTTGGCAATTGGCCTCGTTGACGAGATGAATTTACATTCAAAAAGCATGGTACTCAGAAGGTTGAGAACCTGGCCAGCTTCTTACGCAAATAGTAAAGCTTGGCTCGTCTCACTTTTTTCTTTTGTAGCACGGTTATCTCTTTGATGTTGGGGGAGTATCTGCAAAGAGATGAATCATGATATCACACACTACTAGGAAACAGGTTAAAAACTTACAGAGGAAAGACCATCTCAACGCCAACACCAGCAAAGATTCTCCTGATTGTGAACGTCGTGTTCACTCCATTGTTCCTGCGGCATATCACAATCCCTCGAAGGAGAGACACCCTGCGTTTTGTTTCTGGAACTTCCTGCAGTAGAAGTTGAAGATCCAATCACTTGAAAAAAAGAAGAAGAAAAAGAAGAGAGAGACGACTTACGAGTCTGATCTGCACTACATATCCTGGTCTGAGGTCTGGAATGTCTCTATCCTTTGTGGCTTCCTCAATTGCCTGCTTGTGAAGTGCCTGCTCGAAGAAAAAGAGGAGAACAAAAAGATAGCAGGAAAAAAACCGAGGGAATGATAAGAGTGAATGATCGAACTGGAAGAACTTACCCACCTCTAGAATGTGAACCAGCGATTTCTTCTTCACCTTTGGTTGCCTCAAGCTCTTCTTTACTTCTTCGGTATCTTCAGCTCCTTCCTCCGCTTCCACATCAATGACCTCGGCTACCTCCGAAGTTGTCGAGTCTCCCTCGGTGTCGGACGCTCCCACCTCCGAATCCGGAGTAGTCGCAATCGTTCTAACCATGCCTGCCGCCGCTAGTCTCTGGCTCTTGACGATGGAAGAAGCGCCACTCCTCGGTGTTGGTGCCGACTGTAGCATTAATCTACGATGGTTGTACGAGCAAAACTTCCATGTCCTGGAGCCCAGCACTGCCGAGGAGGAGGAATGTGTAGTAGCAGCACCACTACGCCTATCTTGAAACTCTTGCAGCTTGCTACCCAGCGAAAGACTGGAAATCTAGAGCGGCAAAGAGAGACGATGAGGAGCGCTTCTACGAGCCCAATACATTCTCGTACCTGGTGGACGCAGCATGCCGACGCCATCGCCACAACCTTATCCACACATTAACGCAAGAACCCCTAAACCCTGGAAACACTTGGCCACTGTGATACCTGGTTGTAAATTTTCTTTTTCGTTTGCTTTCTTCTTACATGCGCGCTCTCTATCAGGTGCGAGGCCAAGGTCCTCCAGCCATGACGTCTTCCACGTCCGAAATCTCGCGCGGACAGTTTGTCAAGTTTTCGCAGCCATCGGAAGTCACAATCTGCAAGCCAAACATATTTCAGTGTTTGGAGAGAAAAGTCGTAAATCCAATGGTACCACATCGTCTTCGAGTCGCACTCCACCAAAGCCTCTAAACTTGTCGATGGCTTCTCTGTTTAGGAACCTGGAGAGAACCGGGTCTTCCAGAGCTGGGTCCAGCACCGCGTCTATAAAGTAGCAGCCTGGCTCCACGGTGATCAGCTTCATACCACAAAAGCAGTCGTGTTCAGATTTGAGAAACGAACTATATAGTCTCTCACCATGCCAGCTTCCAAAGTTCGAACTGTTCGTAAGGACACAAGACCTCGTTCATTGATCCTTGACATGCCCTGGCAAACAAAAAAGAGCACGAAGATTAGATTCTTTGTCTTCGTTTTCACAGACACTAGATACCTGCGGGTAGCCACCTGGATCATGAGTATCCAATCCAAGAAAATGACCGAGACCGTGCGGCATAAACACCGCTCCCAGCCTGTTTTCCATCATATCTTCTACATTGCTGCATAGAGCGATTCGAGCATCTACATGAGAAACGAAAAAGAAGAACACCTTCATACCCTTTTAGACAGCCTGCAGTTTTCAGTGCTTCCAAGATCTTCGTCTCAGCAAGCCTACAAAGAAGCACATCTCCAGTTACAAAAAGAAACTCATGAGCCATAACACATGGAGAGTTTTTACTTGTGCATCGCTACCCAACTGATTCCAGGCTTCATTTTGGAGATAACAGCCTTCTGAGCCTCCAGGACTCCCTGCGAGATTACAATTTTAGTCACAATAAATGGATTTAAGCAATATCGTACTGTATAGATCAATCGTTGTTTTTCTGTAAACTTCCCGTTCACAGGAAATGAGCATGTTATATCCGAACCGTAAAAATGGTATTCAGCACCCATGTCTAGAAGCGCCATAGCTCCATCACTTGCAATCTACAAAAATAACCATTCCAAAAGCAACCATGTGGTTTCCACAACAAAGTTACAAACCTGGTCATTAGGGGCTGCTGCATGTCCATAATGTAAAACAGCACTGTATAAAAAAACAAGAAAAGTATTGAGAGAGAATGAAAGAACTTCTTGCCTGTTCTCGCCAGTGGCACATATGCATGTATAGGAGCACTCTCGACAGCCGCCTTCCATGTAACAGTAATGCTGAAAGGTACTCTCAAGCTGGTACTCCTTTAAACCGGGCTGAGCCGAGCGCATTACCTTCAGTAAAACGAGACGGAAAAGGAGTTCTTGGTCTTTACCAGGAAAGAAGAAAACAAACCTTGACATGAGCCGCAGAGCTAACTTCATTGACATATCGCAAGAGCTCGAGTTCTAGTTCCGACTTGATAACACGGCATTCGCTTAAAACAGGATGTAAAACTTTGGTGTCCTGCTCGAATCCTTCTATTCCCTGGACGACAGAGCTCAATAAGAAGCCTTGGTACTTGACTTACTTGGAACGTCGCAGGCTTGCAGTATCTATTGCTATCCGTGTTAAGACCATGCAGCAAGTAGAGCGAAGCGTCAAATTTTCGAAGGACAGAAACCATCTCATCGACGTAGTAAGCAGCATCCACCCCGTATTTCTCCTGTGATAAACCTTGCTTTAAGAAAAGAAAAAGAAAAAGAGAAAGGAAGCACAATGTTTCTTAAAGGACGATCACCTTGAAGAAAGATGGAGGGTGAATTTCTCCAAGCCAGACAGCATAATCTGGATCCAACCGAGGAACAAATAAAATCGACTGGCCGGTGGCAATGTCCTGGAGCAAACAAATCAGTACGAAACGAAGAGAATTAAATGAGCATGAACATACAATGGCAGCATAAAATCCCGGTTCTCTGACTCCAAACAAGTACGCAAAAAAACTCTCTTGCCTGTAAATTCTCACATGCTATCTCAATCTTTGATCGAGCATAGCAAGGTACATGCATACCTGAAGAGCTCGAGGTGATCAGTGCAATCTCTGTAGCGCTCTTCTCCCCCCTAAATCACGCTTCGATCATCAGAACAATCAAAGAAACGAAAATCTAACCTGGAGAAGAACTACACCAGCAAGGCGCTGGCCGATCGATTCGAGCTTCTCCGCCATCGCGTTTTGCAGCTTCTTCCGATTGTGGACGTGCATTTCTCGCAGCATAGAGAAAGAAGGCGGCCTGTGCCGCGCCATAGCTACAAACAAACCCAAAAGACCTTAAAAGAACTTAAAAAATGTTTTTTAAGTAAAAAGAAAAATAATTAACAGAAGCGTCGCCTGAGAGATTCGAACTCTCGCGGGGAAACCCCATGTACTTAGCAGGCACACGCCTTAACCACTCGGCCAAAGCGACGACCACGTGACAGGAATCTCTAAGCGCGCCACTAGTCAAATGAGCCAGCCGCCAGATTAGTCGGCGATTTAGGGCTCGACGCGGTTTCCAGGCGGCGGTGGGGCGGAGCGGCGGTGGCGACACGGAGGAGCGGTGGCCCAATTGGAGTACGGGTGAGCTCAGATCACTTAGCAGTTCCAGCGGGCAATCCCATCGCCACTGCGTCGACGGCGTCTAGGTTTTGGAATCGGTGCGATGGCGCTGCATCCATTCGCGGAGGCGAATCCGCAGCAGCCGACGCCCATCGCCGCGTGCTTGCCGCAGCTGATGAAGGAGGATCTCCAGCACGCGCATCACCACCACCACCACCATCTCCACGAGCTGGAGCGCATGTCCAAGATCCCCATCAACGGCAAGTCCGCGTGGACGGACGCCGCCACCGACGTGCTCATCGATGTGTTTGAGGAGAAGTGGAACAGCTTGCGGCGGGGCAATCTCAAGGCCAAGAACTGGGACGAGGTCGGGGCGGAGCTGGGCAATCGGTGCGGGGTGCCCAAGACGGGGGACCAGTGCCGCCACAAGATCGAGAAGCTGAGGGGCAAGTTTCGGCAGGAGAAGGTGGTGGCGGTGCTCGGGCAGTCGAAATGGCCATGGTATGATCGCCTCAACATGATGTTTGGCGGCGGCGGCGGCGCCGCTGCTGGTGGTGGAGGCAACAATGCCAATGACAAAGCCCCGGCCGACGCGAAGAGCAGCCAGGAACACTCAGCGTTTCATCGACACCAACACAACTCTCACATTGTTGACGAGGATGGTGCTACTGCAACCACGACTGCTCCAGCAGTGGGATTTGGAGTCGTGGTGAGCAATCACCAGCACCAGCATCATCAGCAGCAGCAGCAACACCAGCATCACGGACTGGAGCTGATCGAAGCCCGGAGCGTTCATGGCATGGGCGACGACGAGAGGAACGACACCTCCTACACATCGCAGTCTGGGAAGAGCACGGACAGGGACGAGACGGCGTCGCCGAGATCAAAGTCTGGCGGCGGCGGCAGCCGGAAGCGCGGGCGGGAGAGCTCGTCCTCGGACCTGGGAGCGGCGCTCAAGTACCTGAGCGAGACGCTGATCAAGATCGAGGAGTGCAAGGTGGAGCTGCAGAGGGACAACGAGAGGGTGCGGATGGAGATGGAGGCGCGGCGGGCGCAGATGCACGAGGTGGAGCTCAAGCGGACGGAGATGCTGATCCAGATGGAGCTCAAGCGGACGGAGATGCTGTGCGAGCTGGAGCTGCGGCGGACCAAGATGCAAATGGATTTGTTCGAGAATTTGGCAGGCAGAGCGAGCTCTCGACCCAAGCGGAGTACGTAGGAAGGAGTATCTATCTTTTGTCCAAAGATGATGGAAGTGAAACAAATCATGATCTCATGATCTCTCAATGACCAAACAATGTCGTATGCAGTGGAACTTTGTTGTTGGCAACTCTAATGACTATATGTTACATTGAATCTCCTTGGCTCGCAAACAAGGAGTGCGACTTGACAACAAAGAGTATTTACGGTCGTGCGTCCACATTGGAATGAAAGCCGAGTAAAAATCGTGCTGCCAACTTTCTGTGTGTTCACGTTGTTCTGCGTCTTAAAAGCTAGGCTTCGCTTCACCTAAAAGTTTAGATCGGGGTGAAAGGGGATCTAGCGATGGCTGGCGAGGAAGAACAAAAGAGTGTAGTGGTGGAGGAGAAAAAGGAGGAGGAGGAGCTATCGCCGATCATCCTCCAGGAATGCGGCTACTACGACGTGGAGCAGCTCCACAAGGCGACGGGGCTGCTGCTCCTGACGCTGGCGGCGGCGTGCGTGGAGAAGACGATTGGAGATCCGTTCAATCAGCCGGGCTCGGTGGTGGGCGACTTGAAGAGGGAGCTGATCGAGAGCCTGGAGAGCCAGAGCCAGCAGTACGCGGGCGCGGCGCTGGGGAGCCTGAGCGATCGCGTCCAGGCCCCAAAACCCATGAAGATCTTGCAGGGGTTCCTGGATGGATTCGTGCGCTCCAAGGCCAATCTCCTGGCGCGCGTCTCCAGCCGGATCCTCAGCAACGACAAGAAGGAGGACAAGATCGAGGAGTTCGTGGGCGAGCTGGATCGATCGGGCGCCTGGATGGTGGGGCGGCGCGAGATGCTGGCCAGATCGCTGCTGCGGCGCATCGACCGGAGCATGGTGGCGCACTGCGAGATGAGGTTTGGGTCGAGCGAGGAGCTGGCGGCGCACAAGGCGCGCTGCGCGCTCCGCCCCACCACGTGTACCAACGAGGGCTGTACGGACGTCTACTCGGCGGTCCAGGGCGGCGGGCACGACGCCAGGTGTGCGTTCAAGGTGCTGACGTGCGAACAGGGGTGTGGCCAGAGCGTGGCCAGGGCTGACATGGACAGGCACTGCGTGAGCGTGTGCCCCATGAAGATGGTGACGTGTCCGTTCCACCACGTTGGCTGCGTGGACCGGCTGCCACAGGGGACGGTGGAGGTACACTGCGCGGGGAATGTGAGCAGCCATTTGCTCGCGGTGCTTCATGTTCTTCAGAGGCTTGAGGTTGGGATCGCATCGCAGTCACAGAGGATCTCCAATCTAGAGAAGGTACTTATTCCTCTTTTATCCTTGGAATCTTTTAAGATCTAGATTTCAAACTTTTTTCTTTTAGGCGCTGTCTAAAGCCCAAGTTCCCATGGATGGCGATGCTGCCAAATTGGAGCTTGAGAAGATTAAGGAAGAATCAAGAACCCTAGAAATCCCAGCAGTAGACGTTTCCAAGCTCACTGCGAACCATTGATCATTCTTCTTTTAGAATTGCAAGACGCGGGAATGTCAAACAATTTCTCGAATATTCTACGGGAATAAACGAATCTATCTGAGCTAAAGCCCTAGGTTTTGACAGGGGATCCCCTAGGGCTTGGGAGGGCGCTATGAGTGACAAGGTATGGCCTCTGATCGATCTTCCGGCGCCAAATGCAGACGCTTAGCTCGGATGTACGCGCAGGATGAGGATGGCGGTGAGAATGGATCGCAAAATCCAGTGTTCAAAGTGCCCGCCGAACGGAAATCTAGGCAAGCGAAGAGGAATGAGGTGGCCAGGAGGAGCTCGGACGATGGCTCTCACAGCACTAGAAATTACCGTGTGCCAAATCCTCAAGACACCCCATCCCATCCAGGTTGGTTTTCGTCTTTGTTTCTTCACGGCTTTATAGGCGCTTTGTACAGGCGGCGTGAATGAGGATGCTGCGGCTGCTATTGCCGAGCGCCCAAACAGGAGGAGATTAGCATCGGTGTGTGGCCTTTTCTTTTGTTCTCTTTCTTTTACTCAAATGTTTCTCGCGTGTTTCAGGAGATTGGATTCTACAGTACTGGTGGCCCAAAACCACCAAGAGATCGTCCTAGCTCATCAGAGAAAGAGAGCGGCACAGATAGAAGACAGAAGCGTGAGTCATCTCCTGGGAGATGGAATGACGGTATGTTATCTCTGTGTTCGCTTGCCTCTTCTTCACTTAAGGCATATATGTTTCAGGGAAATCATCTTGGGATGACGGCAGATGGGAATGGGATGACACGCCCCGGCGGGAGACAACCCCTCGGCACGAACACACCCCGTACATTCCATCCTCTCCTTCAGAGTCTCGCTATGCGTCTCCTTGGTATGGAGATTCATCAGGTTGGTGTTGTCAGCTTGTTTTATTTCCTCAATCGTTCTCATTTGATTGCTGTAGGCACAACTCCTTCTCCATGGGACATTGCGTCGCCTTCACCCGCTCCTGTTCGAGCAAGTGGTGCCCCTCGTGACAGAGGCCAAAAGTCGCACAGCCTGAAGTTTCGTTCTCATGTTACAGCACCGCAGTATGAGGTAACTGAAGCTTGTTATGAGGGGCTGGTTCTGACTGCTGTTGCGTAGGAGGAGTACAAAGGTTCGGAGGATGGTAGCAACGGGTACGATGGAACAGGCGATGGACAAATGGATGCAGTACTTGACCGTGCCTGGTATTTCAACATTCTTTTCTTGTGTTTTTCTGACATTCTTCTGTGCAGGTATGATAGAGAAGAAGATGGTACCGCTGTGGATATCGACGATAGTACATCCTTGTTCATGGGTGATGAAGCCACTTTCAAAAAGCGAGAAACTGAAATGGCCAAACGATTGGTATGTATCTAGAGGACTTTATTTATCAGTTAAGAACTTTAATTTCTGGCGCAGACGCGGCGGGACGGAAGCAAGATGAGTCTTGCTCAGAGTCAGAAAATGTCTCAATTAAGTGCGGATAATGCGCAGTGGGAAGACAGGCAGCTTATGCGTTCCGGCGCTGTGCGTGGCACCGAAGTGCAAACAGATTTTGATGATGAAGATGAGAGTCGTGTAATATTACTTGTGCATGGTAAGTACAGTACAGGAGGTTTGTTTATGTTCATGGCTAAAAGCATGCATTTTTTCTCAGATACTCGGCCGCCGTTCCTTGACGGCAGGCTTGTATATACGAAACAGGCTGATCCGGTGCTGCCAGTTAAAGATCCAACCTCTGACATGGCGATCATAGCACGAAAAGGGTCCGTTTTAGTGCGAGAATCGCGCGAAAAGCAAAATATGCAGAAGTATCAACAGCGCTTCTGGGAACTCTCAGGATCAAGGCTTGGGGATATCCTGGGTGTAAAAAAGTCTGACGAAGAATTAGCGACGGAGAAGGAAGAAGAAAAAGTTGGTGAAGAGAGCGAAGTCGACTATCGCGAGAATGCCAAGTTTGCAAAGCATATGAAGAAGGGTGAGGCGGCAAGTGATTTTGCAAAGTCGAAAACTATATCAGAGCAGCGACAGTACCTGCCTATTTTTTCTGTTCGAGACGAGCTTCTTCAGGTATGCTATTATGACCCAGAAAAACGCTTTTACTGAGTTACATTTTTGCAGGTGATACGGGAGAATCAGGTTATTGTTGTGGTCGGAGAAACTGGGTCTGGTAAAACAACTCAAATGACGCAGGTAAGTTGCAGTAATTTCGTTCAAACTAAAGACTCTTCTCATAGATTAACTTGGTGCATGCAGTACCTTCACGAAGCGGAGTATTCTACGTATGGGATGGTGGGATGCACGCAGCCGAGGCGTGTTGCGGCTATGAGTGTTGCGAAACGTGTTAGCGAAGAAATGGACTGCGAACTTGGCGATAAGGTTGGATATGCTATTCGTTTTGAAGATGTTACCGGTTCAAATACGATCATCAAGGTGAGCTTGTAACATGTACCAGTGCCGTATCTTACGATTGCGCTGCAGTACATGACGGACGGTGTGCTGTTGCGTGAGACGTTACGTGAACCTGACCTCGATCAATACAGGTACGTCCTTGAACTTTGTTCTCGAGATTGACATTAATCTGATGGGTAATGGGAACAGTGTGATTATAATGGATGAGGCTCATGAGCGAAGTCTCAATACGGACGTTCTTTTTGGAATTTTGAAGCAGGTGGTTGCACGACGTCGAGATTTCAAGCTTATTGTGACGTCTGCAACGCTTAATGCACAGAAGTTTTCGAACTTTTTTGGAAGGTTTGTAGGCTGCTAAGTTTGCTGTTACTCACCATTAAAACATTTGGTTTTGCAGTGTTCCAGTATTTTACATTCCCGGTCGAACATTTCCTGTCAACGTTTTATATAGCAAGACTCCTTGTGAAGACTACGTTGATGCAGCTGTAAAACAAGCGATGGCCATACACCTGACGTCCCCTCCAGGAGACATACTGATATTCTTAACCGGACAAGACGAGATATACACCGCCGGTACCGCCTTAAAGGAAAGAATGGAACAGCTGGATGCAACTTCACAGAGACCTGCAGCGCCATTACTGGTGTTGCCCATCTACTCGCAGATGCCATCGGATTTGCAAGCGAAGATATTCCAGAAAGCCGAGGAAGGAGTGAGGAAGTGTGTTGTGGCCACAAACATTGCCGAGACATCTTTGACAGTGGACGGTATTTTGTACGTTATCGATTCCGGGTACAGCAAGATTAAGTTCTACAATCCTCGCATGGGTATGGACGCACTTCAGGTGTTTCCTATCAGCCGGGCAGCAGCTGATCAACGGTCTGGACGAGCCGGAAGAACAGGGCCCGGGACTTGCTACAGGTTGTATACTGAGACTGCTTATCTCAACGAGATGCTGCCAAACCCGGTACCCGAGATCCAGCGGACCAACCTTGGAAATGTGGTGCTGTTATTGAAGTCGCTCAACATAGATAACCTCCTCGACTTCGACTTCATGGATCCGCCGCCGCAGGAGAACATCTTAAACTCCATGTACCAGCTGTGGATACTTGGCGCTCTAGACAACGTTGGGAGGCTTACTACTCTGGGGAGAAAGATGGTGGAGTTCCCGCTGGATCCTCCGCTTGCCAAGATGCTTCTGATGGGAGACGAGCTGCAGTGCCTCAGCGAGGTCCTGATCATCGTCTCCATGCTGTCAGTACCGTCGGTTTTCAACAGGCCCAAGGAGCGGGCAGAAGAGAGTGATGCCGCTCGCGAGAAGTTTTTCGTGCCGGAGAGCGACCACCTGACGCTGCTCAACATCTACCTGCGGGCAAAAGAAAACAAGTTCGGGACAAAATGGTGCAACGATCACTACCTCCAGAGGAAAGGCCTGCTCAAGGCCCGTGAGGTCCGCTCCCAGCTCCTTGACATCCTCGAGAAGCAGAAGATCGCACTCTCGTCGTGCGGCCACGAGTGGGACGACATCCGAAAGGCGATATGCTCGGCCTACTTCCACAACGCAGGACGCCTTAAAGGAGTGGGGGAGTACGTGAATTGCCGGAACGGGATGCCGTGCCACCTCCACCCGAGCAGCGCTCTCTACGGGCTGGGCTACACTCCCGAGTACGTGGTGTACCACGAGCTCATCCTGACGACCAAGGAGTACATGCAGTGCGTGACGGCGGTGGAGCCGACTTGGCTGGCGGAGCTGGGGCCGATGTTCTTCTCGGTCAAGGACTCCAACACGTCGCGGCTGGAGCAGTATAAGAGGCAGCGAGTGGAGAAGACGGTGATGGAGCAGGAAATGGAAACGCTGCGGAAGAACGAGGCGGAGGTGACGGCCAAGGTGAAGGACACCGAGAAGGCTGCCCGGCTTGCCCGAGAGAGACAGGCCATCACCACGCCGGGAATGCGTGTGCCCGGCACTCCATCTCGGACTCCCAAGCGCCTCGGATTGTGACTATGATAAACTAGTATAATCCCCTCCCTCGTTTTTGACTAACTATTCTACGTTTTGATAAACCCTAAACCCGTCATTCTAGTCTAGGGCATGAAGCGCGGTCGGGGCGCGGTGGAAGGCGGGGCGATCTTCGTTTCCTGGTAGGGATTTCCTCGCATCTATGCTCGCCGCCATTGTCTCGTCGGCGCTCCGGGATTCCCCCAGCTTGAGACGTCTCTCGATCCGGCCCGCTACATGGCCTGCTGGGGCGCGGGCGCCGGCATGGGGCTCGATGCTCGCTCGGTCGTTCGATGGCACCAGGCACACATTTTGCTCCGGCAGCGGTGGCGGCAAGGGCGGTAGCGACGGTAGCAGTAAGAATGGGAGCAATAGTAGTAGCAAAGAGTCCAGCGAAGCTGACAGCGCTAGTAGCACTGAAGAAGCTGCTATCCCCGACAAAGTCGTGTCTTCTAAGTCAAGTGAGGGATCATCCGGAGGAAAAGGAGAAGGTGGTAGCAAGACTGAAGGCAAAGGGGAAAAAGAAGGTGGCGGCGGCGGTGGTGGTGGTGGTCGGAGGAAACCGAGCCTATTCCAGAGGATTTTGAAAGGGTCTGGAGGTGATAAGTCGAACAAAGCCAGCGCGGAAGCCACAGAAGCTACGGTCGTCAAGGAAGCCAAGGAGGCAAAAGAAGGGAAGGATGGGAAAGACGGAAAAGATTTGAAGGAAAAAGAAGATCAGGAAGGTGCTGAAGAGTCCGCACAGTCGGGGGCTATTGTTCCTGCTGGGCCGAGACCCGAGAACTTTCCCAAGGTAACTTTGGTCGTTTAAAAAACACGTTTGCCATTCGTCTCTTCCAGGTTTTAGCATTACCACTGACGAGAAGGCCTTTGTTCCCTGGATTCTATGCTCCCATTCACATCAAGGTAATGTATTTAATCGACTAGTTTGAAAAGTCACCAACTCTTATCAAGTGCCACAGGATCCCAAGCTTGCGGACTCATTGGTAGAGCTTCGAGCAAGAGGAACGCCGTATGTTGGAGCATTTCTTCTCAAGGATGCGAAGGAGAGCGTTGTGGTTGAAAGTGAAAATGCCCGCGAGACGAGTGAAGCAGCTGGCGAGAAAAGTGAAGAGAAGACTGGGGAGAAGAGTGAGGAGGTCAAGGATTCGGATTTGAAGGGAGAAGCTCTATACAAAAGATTGCATGAGTATGGAACGTTTGCACAGGTTAGTCATCAACCTACAACACCGCCGCCTTTGACTCAAGTTTGAAACAGGTGCTCAACGTCATAAGAAGCGTCAATTCGGATGGTCCTGCTCAAGTTTTTCTTATGGGCCATCGCCGCTTACGACTCACTGGAATGGTAATAGATATTATTCCTCGTTAAAAATGTTCTGAAAATATGTGATGCAGCTATCCGATGATCCTTTGACAGTTTCGGTTGAGCATCTCAAGGTTCGTTCTAGGTGTGATTTGATCGCTTGCTAAAGTATTCTTGTGGTATCAGGATAAATCTTATGATGAGACATCAGATATTATAAAAGCAACTTTTATGGAGGTTGTCGCCTCTTTGCGTGATCTAATGCGATACAATCCTTTGTACAAAGAAACTATTCAAGTCTTCGTGCAGGTCCGTGTGCTTTTTCAGCTCTTTCAATTCATGACGTTATTCAGAACAACGTTTTTGAATGCAGAATATGGGAAATTCGCATATCAATGCTGCCCGACTGGCTGACTTTGGCTCTGCGCTCACTACAGCTGATGAACCTCTGCTACAGGAAGTGTTGGAGCAACTAGATGTAAGAATTTCTGATTGACATAGCGTTTCTAAAAGGCTGTTCTTGTTTTGTGCTATAGGTGGAGAAGCGACTCAATTTAGCTCTTGTACTTTTAAAGAAAGAGCTTGAGCTTGCAAAGCTACAGGTATGCTAATTATGACTATTCTCGTTCTTAAAGCTTTCCCAGGCGACTATTGCGAAAAACGTGGAGGAAAAAATAAGCGGTGATCAACGCCGGTTTTTCTTAATGGAGCAACTGAAAGCTATTAAGAAGGTAGCTTAATGAGCTTAATAATTTAAGCTTCTGAATTTCTGGTGTAGGAGCTGGGAATTGAAGCAGATGATAAAACAGCGCTTACTGGTAAATTTGTTTCTCTAGTTTTAATCCCGTTTCGACTTCTTCTCTTTCACGTATACAGTAAAGTTTAAAGAGAGATTGGAGCCACATAGAAAGCAGTGTCCGGAGCACGTTTTGCAAGTCATCGACGAGGAACTCTCTAAATTGCAAGGCCTTGAGTCCAGTTCGAGCGAGTTCAATGTTACAAGAAACTATCTGGACTGGTTGACAGCACTACCCTGGGGACAATACAGGTTCTTTCTTTTCTTCTATCACTCGGTCATTGATTCCAATTTTTCCTTGCAGCAAGGAAAACTTTGACGTACGGCAGGCTCAAACTGTTCTAGACGAGGATCATTATGGCTTATCCGATGTAAAAGAAAGGATACTTGAGTTTATCGCTGTTGGCAAGCTGAAGGGCACCGCTGTTGGTAAATTTTGCCAGTATGAATTTTTGTTTTGGTGCCAATGCGTACAATTGATTTGGTTTTTCTTCTTTTCTTTTCAGGAAAGATAATATGCCTTTCAGGACCCCCTGGAGTAGGGAAAACAAGCATAGGGAAATCAATTGCTAAGGCGCTCGATCGAAAATTCTTTCGCTTCTCAGTTGGTGGCCTTAGTGATGTTGCTGAGATTAAGGTGATTATTGCAGCTATCATTACATTTGGTTTCTACTATTTTATTATTTTCAGGGGCATCGCAGAACTTACGTTGGAGCCATGCCTGGTAAAATGGTTCAGTGCCTGAAGTCGACAGGAACTGCTAACCCTTTGGTGCTGATCGATGAGATTGATAAGGTGAAGGATCTTGAACAGTTAGTTTAACAATTCGTTCTGACGTTGTCATTGCAGCTTGGTCGGGGTCATGCAGGAGATCCAGCTAGTGCATTATTGGAACTTCTAGATCCGGAGCAGAATGCTAATTTTCTTGACCATTACCTTGACGTGCCCATAGATTTGTCAAAAGTGAGCTCTCTGTTTTTTCACAACTTTCAGCTAATGCTCGTTTCCTTGTAGGTTTTGTTCGTTTGCACTGCAAATTTGGTTGAGAACATTCCCGCACCTCTACTTGATCGCATGGAAGTTATACGGTTGGTCGGCTATATTACTGATGAGAAAATGCACATTGCCCGTGACTATCTCGAACGCCAAGCTCGAGAAAATTGTGGGATAAAAAAAGAACAGGTAGAATCGCCTTCAATATTAACAGGTCTCCTCAAATGTTGTTGCAGGTTGAGCTTAGTGACAGTGCTATGCACAGTCTTATAGAAACTTATTGTCGCGAGGCTGGCGTTAGAAATCTGCAGAAGCATATTGATAAGATTTATCGCAAGGTTGTATTGGTGAATTCCTTTGGAATCCTAACAGCTTTCATTTACAGATAGCGCTGAAACTAGTCCGACGTGAGCTTGATACTCCCAAGGAGGAGGAAATGAAACAGAATAACCTGGTTACGGTTGCCGAAACGAAAAGCAATGCCGAGGTATTTTTCGTACCTCATATTCTATGGTATTGAACGTTGCTTGCAGAATGACGGTGCCATCAAACTTGTGGAAGACGACTCCAATAGCATAGAGGAAGCAGAACTCAAAGAAACGCCGGTTCTGAATGAAAAGCTGGAGATACTTGCGGACGAGCTTTTGCCCGATGCAACATCTGAGAAGGAGGATATGGCCATTAAGCTAACCGACTCAGCCGTCCAGGAGGGTGAAACGCTTGAGGCCGAGACCATGCTACCGTCAGAGAAAGAAAAGGTGGATATTGCTCAGAAGTTGCCGTTGGAGAAACCACCGTGTTCAGAGCCGGAAGAAAAATTGACGGGCGTGAAGGCTTCTACTGCATCGGAAACAGACAACAAGGTACCGGATGAGTCTGCGTCGTCAGAAACCAAAGAAAAGGAGGAGGCAGAAGAGAAAAAGGTGGCAGAAGAACAGATAAAAATCAACGACACCAATCTTCACGAGTTCGTGGGAAGTCCCGTGTTCGTAAGCGACCGCTTCTACGACAAGACACCGATTGGAGTCGTCATGGGTCTGGCCTGGACAGCAATGGGAGGCTCCACGCTCTATGTGGAGACGAGTGTGATTGAGGAGGGTGAAGGTAAAGGCGGGCTCCAACTCACTGGTCAGCTTGGGGATGTGATGAAGGAGAGCGCCTCAATAGCACACACATTTGCGCGGAAGTACCTGCGAGAGATTGATCCGCAAAACCAGTTTTTTACAAACAGCAAACTACATCTCCACGTACCGGCCGGTGCTACGCCAAAAGACGGGCCAAGCGCCGGGTGCACTATGATCACCTCGATGCTGTCGCTGGCTCTCAGCAAGCCTGTCAACGACGATGTAGCAATGACTGGGGAAGTGACATTGACTGGCCGAGTTCTTGCCATTGGCGGGGTAAGCAGATGAGTTTTTCCTTTTCTCTTCTTGACAATACTGACTGTTGGAACTTGGAACAGGTAAAAGAGAAAACTGTGGCATCCAGGAGGAGCGCTGTGAAGACGATCATTTTTCCCAAGGCCAACAAGCGGGACTACGACGAGCTCTTGCCGCACGTAAAAGAAGGCCTCGACGTCCATTTCGTGGACAAGTATGAGGAGATATTCCAGATTGCCTTTGTGGCGAGCGGCATCAAGAGCCAGGTTGATATGTTCTCGGCCTCGCTCAAGAAGGAGGCGGCCTCTGCGGTGTAGCGAGAAAGAAGAATCCGGTTTCTTTCCATTTTGTCACCCAAGAGCTAAGGTTACAGGCACAGAACACAGCATATTCGCATTTTGTACTCGCTGCACAGCTTATGTTATCAAGTCGGAGCTATTTGACAATTCGATCGCGATCGTGGCCTTGCAGTGTCAAAATCGGGCACGTTACGTAGACTGGTCGCCATCTTGAGAAATGGACCATCGTGTCACGTGTGGAGACCTGAGATTTGATATATATAAACTGTAGCGTTTCTTTCTACTGCTGGCTCTTGGAGAAGATGAAGATGGCTAATAAATTTCCTGTCGCCTTGTGTTGCATGCTCTTGTGCTCTCTCGCGGCTGCTGCCACGCCTGGATCTCGTCCGCTGGTGGGCGAGCTCATCGGCACCAAGTTGTCGCTGCGCATCGGCACTCCACCCAAAACCCAGCTCCTGCAGCTCGATCTGGACGCTCGCGTGTCCTCCATCAACTGCGGCGCCTCTCCCAGATCCTCGTACCAGGTTAGTCTCAACGCCACCGATGGCTCCAATCCCACTGGTCCCGTGACAATCCCCGGGGTCCCATTCAAATGCGGGCCACCAGTGGCTGCGCTGGGGAGAGGGAGCCAGGCGCTTCCAGCTCGATTGTCACCCCGGAACAAGAAGATCGTCACCTATTGCCTCTCCCAGCAGGGATCCTCGCCGATCTTCTTCGGCGCGCAGGACATCAACTTCATGCCCAACAAGCGCCCCATCTCTCCGCTGCTGCAGTACACCCCCCTCGTCTCCCCGCCCGCCCGCCATAGCTACGCCATCCGGGTCAACTCGGTCAGGGTCAATGGTCAACGGCTCCCGGCGGTCAAGCCCGCCGCCTGGGCGCTGAGCAGCACGGAGCCGTACACCCGCCTCGTCACACCTGCCTACGTGGCGATCCGCGACGCCTTCCGCAATTTGACCGTCCCGCGCGTCGCGCCCGTTGCCCCGTTTGACACGTGCTTTAACGCGAGTGGGCTCGGGTCCACGCGCGTGGGGCCCCCCGTGCCGCCAGTGGAGCTCCAGCTGGAGGGAAATGCCACGTGGACGCTGTTTGGCGCCAACACCATGGTGTTTTTGAAAGATTCCACGGTGGCCTGCCTCGCGTTTGTGGACGCCGGCCCATCATCGCCTGGTCTTTCTGTGGTTGGAACGTTCCAGCAGATGCACAATCTGGTGCGCTTGGATCTGGAGAAGCAGCGGTTTGGATTCACCGGAATCCTCTTCTTCTACCAGACCACTTGCTCCAATTTTAACACCACCTTGGCCGCCCAAAACAGTGCCTCTGGTTTGATTTTTTGATGTCATTGATCGACTGAGGCGCGGCGCCCACTTGGAATAAATCAAAAACACTAGAAACAAAAATCTGGTGATCATTTTGCCACGTGGCGGCGATCCAGCGGCGTCCCGCCAAAACCAGCCGCTGATCATTTCAAAATCCCGATTTCTCAGCCATTCGAAAGATCCCAGAAGCACCACGGCGGCGCTCTGTCGGCCCACCGACACGTTTGCCGCGCCGTGGCCGTCAAACCGGCACCAGGTGGCAGCCATCCAGCGGTCGAGCTCGAAAGGCCTTGCGCGCGGTGTCCTCTTTAAAACCCCCCTCTTGAGCGGTGGGGATTCTTCTCGAAGCTTTTTGCGAGGGCGGCAAAGCTTTTCAAGTGTCTCTCTCTCGGGCAGCAGTCGCCAACAAGAGCTCCATTCCATCCAGGTATCGAGCACTCGGATAGCGAGCGCTAGGGAGAGCAGCAGCGAGCGAGGAAGAGTATGGCGCCTATTCCATCGGGCTGTGCTCCAGTGTCCACCGTCTATCGCCAGAAGTCGTGGGACGAGGAGTTTGTGAGGAGGCTACGCAGTGAGGGGGGGAACAGCTTCAGCAACAGCAAATGCAGCAGCGGCGCAGCGATTCCAGAATCGGGCGGTGGCAATCATCACGATCAGCTGGGCGATCACGAGGATGGCTGCAAGACACCCAAGTCGCGGCAATACAGGTTGCCCGAGGATGCTCTCGTGTGCCCACCGGCGCCCAAGAAGCCACACTTGCAAAGACGGTTTTTGCCGCCAGCCGCCGCCTACTTTACTTCGCCCGAGCTGGATCTCTTCTTCAACCAGCTCGAGATCATTGCCAAGTGAGCGTGGGCTTCGGGAGCGAGCGCGCAGGACAGAAGAAAATTGAAATTTTGAGAGGGGGGAAGTAAGTAGTACATCATCCAGTGTTGTAGATATATACGATTCCTACCTTGGCCGATGCAGAGAAGCACTATAAGTAGATAGATTGAAGTTTTTCCAGCAGCCATCCTTCGAAAAACGCAAGTGGTAGTGTAGTTGTAGTTTTGGCTTGATTTTCTCACAGAACTATGGTATGTACAAAGAGATGCTCTGAGGAATTAATGAGAAACTAAGAACTTTCTAGCTTCATCTTGGCCAACAAAAGCCTCGACTCGCTGGCCCAGTCGGTATCGTTCACGGCACGAATCGTGATCCTCTGTCGCTTCTCGCCCAGGTACTCAGTTTGAGCAACGCTGACACGGAAAACGTAGGACGACCACACCACTTTGCTCAGCTGCGATGAGTACTGCCTCTGATCATCATCCTGTCACCACAAGTTCAGCACCAGCGTTTCTAGAACGACAAGCTCATCTGTCCCATGCTTACTTGCGACTTGATTGTGGCTAGCTCGTCGGCACTCACGCCCAAAATCTGTTCGGCTTGATCATTGAAGAACGAAACCCATGCATCACCGCTATGATCAGTTAGCTTGGCCAGCATTATGTATCTGCCATGCGGAAAGATTGCTGTGTCAGACATTCCCGAGTCAAAAAACGATGGAACTCACCGACGACTGGCTGTATCGAAGTGTCGCTGACAGGCCTCGCACCAGAATCGAGAGCTGTCCTCGCTAACTTTGCGATTGCATGTACTGCACGCTGTGTACCACATGGTTTGATCCGGCTTGATGTAGCTGATGCAAGCGCGGACAGTGAAGTATGCGGCCTAGCATAAGCACCATCCATCACCATTATAGCACCATAGATTATCATTCTTTTCTTTTACCTTTCCTTCGCCAACAGATGGGGCAGTGATGTCTGAGATATCCGCACGGTTGTCGTTCGCCGAGCCTGCTCTTTGACTCAAACCAGCACCCACCGACGTCAAGGTTGCATCTTTCCCGCTCTCGTCATACCTACAACCAATTCGATGAGTAGGACCTTCTTCTTCGTGCTTCGATAAACAGTGTGCGCCACTCACCAGGATCGAAGTTCTCGGGCCTCGGGAATGTCGGGATTTATCCACACCATACTGTTGGGAGACGTCGACAGAGATACACCTGCTGAAACCTTGAGAACTACGAAAGATATGCTTAAGACGAAGTTTACCTTGAAAGTCATTAGCACGCACCGATCGGATTACTACTACGGGCGCATCAGGGAGCATTTCTAGCAGCTTAGCTCCGTCCTCCACTGCAAGACTGCTCCAGAGGCTTACGGCAACCGTTTTTTGACTGTGAATCGAAAACATCCCACTTCTCTCAACCAAAACACTGACTTTAACTGCGAACAGTACCTTTGGTCGACAAGAACGATTTCTCGCTTTGCAAATTCTGTGTTGTCAACCTTTCGCCTTACACTCATTGTCGAAGAAACCGATTGCACTATTCCAATAGCATCTGCGAAAAAAAACTGTTGTTCGAAAGGACAAATCATGCACGCCACACGTACCAAAAAGCTCTCTCTTGTTAACATACGCCGCCAAGTCCTCAATCTTCACGAAGTTGTACTTAACCAGAGGAATCACACCAGGCTTTCCATCAGGCTCAGTCACCTCCTCTACCCCTGAGCTTGCATTCAAGGTCATCTCGTAGTCGTTCTTGACAGCGGAAAACTGCCTGTTAGCCATGCGGAGATTTCCATTCGAAACGTAGTAGACCTGATAAAGAAAAGAAGCTACACCGTCAGCATGCTTTCAGCAGGGGAATTACTCGCCTTTCCCAGCTCAAACATCGGGTAAAACTTTTCAGCCGCCTCCTTGAACATGGTAGCTTGAATCTGTGTTCCCTGAAAGAGAGCATTCCACAGTAAAACCGTCACGGACGAAAAAGCGCAAGACGAAAAAAAAACTGACATCTTCGTCTGTCAATTCGACGTTGAAAACGCTTCCCTCGCCTCTGGCATTGCGATACGTCCGCAGTGGACCTTTGCTCGTAACTCTCACCTTGATTGTCCAACTACCTTGGTAAGGGGTTAAAGACACCAGGGGGTATACTCTCCTCGACACACCCATCCTGGCAGCTGGTGCGGCTCTGGCATTCATGTCGCAAGAAATTCAATGAAAACCACATGGTACCACAAGCCAGAGCTACCTTCCGTGCTCCTCTTGAACGATCTGAGCGGCCGACTTAACTGGTGCCGAAAGAAACTTCGGCTTTTCATCGCACTGGGTCTTCTGTGCGGACGATGATGATTCACTACCAACCTCACGATCCAGTGCCCCACTGACGACTTCGCAATCGGTGACGATGAGAGCTCTGGATGGTTGACAATACGAGCATGAGCATCACGCAAAGAAAAGAAAGAAGAAGAAAAAAATCAAAATGTGCGCATACTTGTTTGGGAGATTTGGAATCACGCTAGTGGTATGAGAGAGAACACGGATGAGACCCAAGTGTTGGATCTTCCCTGCCTCTACCTCCGCCGACATATGGGTCGGAAGCATAGCCTTCGCTTTCATAGATCCATCGGACAGCATGCAACTGCACAAAAGAAAACCCCCAAAAGTTCAGCACGAAGATTGTGGAGCGGCAAAGCAAAAGCGTACGTGTAGCGGCCGTTGGCAATAGACTTGACATCCAACACCTGATCACGAACAAAGCAAAGAGGAGTGAAAAAAACTGGATTTAGACAATCGATTTGATCACACACCTGAAGCACCACGGGAGTAGCGGGAGAATCGCTGAGCAAAAGAGAAACTCCGCGAGCAGTCACTTGATCCGCCATCGCCCTGCTGGAAGTGTGCTTGCTATGCTACGAGGCACGAGAAGCAACCTAAATGCCTGGCTCCTTGCCCGCCAAAACATGAAAAAGAGCGGGAGGAATTCAAAGGAGCGCGCCAAAAAGCATTTCAAGAGCTCAAGAACACTGCGGTGTTGCATTTCGCAATTGCGTTATCATTTCCGAGATTGTGGAACCGGCAGTGCCATGGAAGCCCAACGAAGCGCAGCTGCAAATCGCCTCCTCCACGTACAAAAGAATGTCTGGAAGCATTTGGTGGTGAGGCGCTTGATCCTGCGTCTGCTGCTCCACCGCCACCAGCTTGGATGGATCATCGTTCCCAGGTTTGAGCGCCACCACTCTCCTCGCGGTGTCGCGCACAATCTCGTCGCCCTCCTCGAGCCGAAAGATTTGGTACTCGCTGCGCTCCGAGAGCTCTTCCAGATAAGTCCCTGTCCAATTTGCGCGTGGCAAATCCGTCATGACAAACACCGGAATGGCGCCACCACCTTCGTCTGGAACAAGGGATTCCAGCCGCAATCTCAGGCTGTCAAACGTCTTGCTCCAGTGATTCTTGAACTGCCCGTCTAGCAGCCGGAGTTGCGCACAGAAAAACTCCCGCTTGTTCATCCGGCTCCGGATATAAGCCCGTCCAGCGTCGGTTACCACCCGCGACAGTGGAAAGTGTTGGCTCGCCTGGAACACCCGGTCGAAAGCCGCGTTCCCGGACGCACCACTGAGATCGACGTGGGTCTGCGCGCCTTGATACTCCCCGGAGAAGAGGCTCCCAAACACCAAGAGCTTGGAATCGCCAGCCACGGTTCCGTCACCAAGGCTTTGGAGGATGTCGCGCTTGACTCGCCGCGCGCCGCTGAATTTCTTCGTCTTGAGCTTGACGGGCTGCTCGAGCAAACGTCGTTTCGGACTGGTCGCTGCGTACGTCCACACTGTGTCTGCACAGCTCTCGTCCACGCAGTGCACGCAATCACTGCCAACACAGTGCGCGTGGTTGAGCATCGCGATGCATCGATCGAAGCCTCCCTTGCTTGGGCATGGAGTGGCAGTACCTGCGCATGGCGGCTCGACTCGATTTGCTCCACACCACAGGAGAGCAAACACTCGGAAGTCGATCGTCGTCACCAAGCTCTGGCTCACGGCCGAGATGTTGACGACGTCGGCGATGGAGTAGTACCTACAGGTGGTGGATCACTTCCAATCCAAAGAACAGGCGAAGCACTCACCTGGATTGCGCGACGAGATCAGAGAAGTGGGACAATGCAGCTACCCTGAGGTGGCGAGGCTCCACGATCCGGAACTTAGGGCAGCTGCCGAGGCTGAGCGCATGGTGATCGGTGACGGGGGGAAGAATGAGGATCCTACCCAGGATGGCCGCCACGCGCACAGCATTCCGGAGCTCGCCTACCTGATTGCTGAAGCCGCTGTGTGGCGCGTACCACATATACTTCCCTGGAATGGGAATGCCAGCGGCCCCGGACAGTGACGGCGCAGCGATGATCCACACGCCATAGACGATAAGCAGCGGGACAAGGAGGAGGAAGAGGAGAGCGCTGTTGCTGCCATAGCCTACGCCTCCTCTCTCCCTCCGCCACTTTGCCATCGACGTCACAGCAGTGGTCAGACCACTCTAGAGGAGGCGAGTTCGATACCCGTCAACGCTGCTATGTCGTGTCGTGTAAGTCGGTGGTACGGTGCCATTGACAAAACATTGCAGGTCCGCCTTTTTCTTTTCTCTTTCGATCTGATTGCTCAAGTTGTGTGTTTGTGCTCAGTTGTGTGAGAGGAGAGCGAGAGTGAGAGAGAGAGGACGCGAAAGAGCAGCAAAGAAGAAGAAGTTGCAATTTTCTTCCTTTTTGTGGGTACGCTGTTGTTCCAGGCATGAGTATTAAGGCTAGCTAGCTGGCCAGCACCAGACTCACTATAGATACATTTGTCGGCCAACTTAGCAAATCTTCCGGAGCGGGGTTAAGTTATGGGTCTCCATCGCATACACAGTACAAACATACGGCTTGAATCTAGCCTATACTCTACCTTTCTTTCTGATGAGCGTATGCCGTATTGCCGCTGCACTGTAGCTAGCGCTGTTTTGGATCTTCTTTCTAACGAGGCGGGCCCGAATCGGTGGCTCGATTCTTCCACCAGCTCGCGACTGCCTACCAGACTTCGAATCTACAATACACCACAAAGAAAATGGAGAGAAGCACTTGGAAGCCGTGTGCTACGGAGCGAGCGGTAGGCCGCGAGGCTCCGTCAGAGCCGACGACTTGGCTCGAAATTTATAAATCCACCAGATGCGACTCAAGTTCCAACCGACCACACGAAGCTTGACGCTTAGGACTTCACACCAGTTTTTCCATTTTCTAGTTTTTCTTGGTGGTTCAAGCTGATGGAGTTCAAGTTGATTCAAAGAGAGTTGGAATCGATCTGTACGGCCCGTGCTACTTTGCTTCATGGTGGTCCTGTTGTGTTTTGATTTCATGGACACACGTCCGAGTCTAAAAGTAGCTCTTTGAACTGACTGCTGTTGTTGGCCAGTGTCCGTTGTCGCGTCCGGTCCTCTAAGTCTCGCCGACAGTAATCCACGGCCTGCAACCTGCTTAGTTTTGCCAATCTTTCAAGCACAATGTGATCGAGTCGATCGAGAGCATGCAGAGAGCCTTTGCTCCTGAGAAAATCTCACTTACATTGCCCCTGTAACGGAGAGAGAGAGAGAGTTGGAGTCTTCATGACATGACAAGCTACCTGAAGGTAGCAAACCAATAAAAAGGCGTTGGGGGAAAGCTTCACATCACCACCGTCCCATTTAAGAAAGGATGGATCCCCCTCTCCTCTCCTCTCCTCTCCCTCGAGTCGATCTCTGATCCCCCGTTTGCACAGTAGTGCAGTCCAACCCCCCAACGCGTACTCTGTGCTGTATCTAGAGTTTACCAAGAGTTTTACAACTTTACCACACAGGCTGAGCGCGTATACATGTATCCATCTATATCAATTGGTTCAAGCGTGGAGCCCCCCCATGGAAAGAAAAGAAAAAGTTGCTTCTTTGTAGCCATCCTAATGGTTTAAAGAAGAGCCTGTTGCAACAAACCAGAGATTTGAGCATGTAATCAAATCCCACACTTTTGTTATCGTTAGCCCAAGCAACAAGAACGACGACCGTCGGTAGGTCACGGGGAATCTCCACTCAAGCTGGCAATCACACAAACTTCTAATAACAAAAATACAAAAATAATGTACGCTGTGTAGTTGTGATAGGATGAGCCAAGGCATTATATGTTGTAATACGTTGTTGAACGTACGAGAATGGAAGAACACGAAACGTGGGCCTCGGGCTCATGCCACTCTCAGTCTGGTTTCGTTTGTTCGTTTGTTAGGCGAGTCGTTTTAAAGCGCTTGGGCGAGATGGCGTTGGAGTGTCAGCGTCGTCTCTCCTGCGCCTGCCTGCTTTGACATCCAAGCAAGCGCTGATCAAGTAGTAGAGTCCAGCTTGATCAAATACTTGTTGTATTATGCATGGTGAATCCTACGCTGGTAAGTTTGTAAACTAAGAAAAGCCAGCTGGGTTAAGTCGGCTTGGCTGGTTGAATCCAGCTTTGCTATTCTTTTCCTGTGGATTTGAGCGTCTGAATCGCGATTCTCCGTCCGGGGGTCTCTGGGTCACTCACGAGCCAGATTTATTGGCATAGTTTCCTCTCTTCTTCCTTGATCGCCCGCCCGATGTTGCTCTTGCCGCGATTCGATCCGGAATGGTAGGTAAGTGTGTCAAAACTGTGGTGGCCTGGCCTGCTGCTGCTGCTGTGCTTCCGCTGCAGTGGTGGTGGTGTTGCCGACGAGCTATCAAAGTCTGGTAATGGGGCCACCGGCACCAACCTTGTGCCATGGGGAGAGGGTTAAACTATGGCGGGATTAACAATGTAGATTAATTGCTCCATGCTAACAACAACTCGGTCCAAAAAGCTGCCTGCTGCGCACACTACTAGTATACATTTCTTCGTCCACGGACAACAGCACCCCTCTTTCCTCCATCAAACCCTCTCCTCCCTCTCGCGCTCTCTCTCTCTCTCTCTCTCTCTCTTCTCTCTGCAAATTTAGGCCTCTTCTTTCGATCGCAGGTTCACGGGAGAAAGAAGAAAAGAAGAAGAAGAGGAAGAAGAAGAGGAAGAAGAGAGGGAGGCCTAGCTAGCTAGCACGCACTATTTGCATTTGGAGTGGACGAGCACTTTCCCTCACTCACATTCACACATTGCAGCTTTTCATCAGCTCCCGATCAGCTTTCCTTTGGCTTGTGTCTCACTCGACTCGACTCGACTCCACTCTTTGGCGACAAGGCCGGCTGACCGAGGCCGCTGTCCGTCGTCAGGCAACTGGATCTGTGCCGCTGCCGCAGCGTGCGAAGTTGGGGACCGGGAATATCCGTCGCCAAGGGCACTGTGACGAAGTCCCTCCAAGGATTTGCATTCTTCATGCAGCAGCTAGCCAAATGTACGTGATCCTTGGCTCCAGGCAGGGGGTTGAGATTCAGATTGGGGGTCCAAGAATGAATTGGTGGTATAGCAGCATAGCTAGTTACTAGAACATCGATTCGCTCGCGTCTGCTCAGCTCAATTTTGGGTTGAGCCAGACAAGCTATAGTACTTCTCTGGGCCGCAATGCAGCTTGCATAAGCCAACAGATCGGGAGCTCCCTCTCTCTAGTGGTAGCTGCTGGCTAGAGAGAATTAAGCACCCAGCAGCAGAGGCTAGACACCATCTTGGTGTTTGCATCCGCAATGGATCAGGCTGCGCACGCGCAGGCAGAGGGGCTGCTGCCCGAGACAATGCAGGGCGTGCAGGGGGAACCGAGCATGATCGACCAGATCAATGCGATGTGGCTCCAGATTCGAGCGCCATACATTGCCCCGGCATTGCAGGTGGGCGTCAACATCTGCCTGGTGATGCTGCTCATGCTCTTCGTGGAGCGGCTCTACATGGCGCTGGTGATGGTGCTGGTCAAGCTGTCGGGCAAGAGGCCCGAGAACAAGTATAAGTGGGAGCCCATCAAGGACGACCTCGAGTCGGGCAATTCGGCCTATCCCATGGTGCTGGTCCAGGTGCCCATGTACAACGAGCGCGAGGTGATCTATTCGATGCCTAGCCCACCCTCTCGCTGTGGCTAACGAAGTTTAGCTTGGTTTTTTGGTCTGGATTCTCCTCCCAGGTGTACCAGCTCTCAATTGGCGCTGCTTGTGGCCTCTCGTGGCCTTCGGACCGCATTATTGTGCAAATCCTGGACGATTCGACCGACCTCACCATCAAGGTTTGCCTAGAGCTTCCACCTCTTGGAACTATGTGGATGGATGTGATTGGATGTTTTACACGCAGAATCTGGTGGAGCTCGAGTGCCAGAGATGGGCGAGCAAAGGGGTGAACATCAAGTATGAGATCCGGGACAACAGGAATGGCTACAAGGCGGGGGCGCTCAAGGAGGGCATGAAGCGCAGCTATGTCAAGGACTGCGACTATGTGGCCATCTTCGACGCGGATTTCCAGCCCGAGCCCGATTTCTTGTGGCGGACCATCCCCTACCTGGTGCACAACGCCGACATTGGTCTCGTTCAAGCCCGCTGGAAATTCGGTACGTTGGTCTCACCCGGCTGGCTGGCTGATTGATTGATTGATTTTATCTGGGCGATGCATTTTCCATTCTCCCCTGGGATGATCATCCGCTGATTTTGTGTGTCTTGCTGTCTTGATCCAGGAATTAGTTAGTTGACCCGAGAGGACTGTGTGTGAGGCGAGAGATAGTAGTGTCTCTTTTGCTGCCTGGTTTGATTTGCGGGAAGATAGATTTGCCTCGCCGACACGCGGCACAGGGGTAAAGCACAAGAGAGATTTACCACCCGGGAAGCTTCTCCTTGGCTATAAAGTGGCGCCAGTCTGTGCCACACGCACCACGTGGCCTCGTCCCAGTCGTCAAGTCCTCTGGATTCTGGCCACGTAGCACGGGTGTCGGCCCCTCAACTCAATTACTCTCTCCCTGACAACGCGACGACGACGACGATTCCTCGAGTTCTTGCGCGTTGCATTTGCGCGCCAATTGCTCATTTTTAGGGCTCATTAACATCGGCTCCCTGCAAGAACTATGCCGCATGATGCATGCATGCCTTGGGTTGCTTGAATCCCCCTCTTTCTCTTTCTCCCACCACTCACACACAGTCTCAGGCGCGGCCAGCAGGCAGCCCCTTGAATGATCTGATATTGACGTTATTCTTTTTTTTTTCTCTCTTTCAATGTGGAGCAGTGAATGCCGACGAGTGCATGATGACACGGATGCAGGAGATGTCGCTGAGTTACCATTTTACCGTGGAGCAATCTGTGGGATCCGCAACCTATGCTTTCTTTGGATTCAATGGTAGGTAATAAGCTAGCTACAGGGTCACGCTTACGAAACGCTTGCTGTTTGCTACAACAGGCACTGCTGGAGTTTGGCGCATTGCGGCCATTAGTGAAGCTGGAGGGTGGAACAGTCGGACCACGGTTGAGGACATGGACTTGGCAGTCCGTGCGGGGCTCAGAGGCTGGAAGTTCGTTTATCTAGATGACCTGTCGGTACGTTTAGTACCTTTTCCTTGCTTAGAGTAAGTAATATGGTTTCTCTGTTTCTCAGGTGAAGAACGAGCTTCCCAGTACATTTAAGGCCTATCGTTATCAGCAGCACAGATGGTCATGTGGGCCGGCTAACCTCTTTCGGAAGATGATTCCGGGGGTTTTGGCTGCTAAGGTACGTACGCGCATAACGCAAACGGCAGGCTTTTAGTTTTTCTTTCTCACCACTGGGGCACGTTGTTGATTTTGCAGAAAGTAAGCATGCTCAAGAAGTTCAGCATTCTTTATTCTTTCTTTCTGGTGCGGAAGATTGTAGCACACCTTGTCACATTCATATTCTTCTGCGTCGTGGTGCCAACATGCGTGCTGGTGCCCGAGGTCAACTTACCAAAGTGGGGCTCCATTTATCTTCCGTCGATGATAACGCTGCTAAACTGCATGGCAACTCCAAAGTGAGTGTTATCCCCTTATACATCTGATTCTTAATGTTGCTTCCCTACAGGTCACTCCCCTTCCTAGTCTTCTGGGTCCTGTTTGAGAACGTCATGTCCATGCACAGAACCAAAGCGACGTTCACCGGGTTGCTGGACATCGGCCGTGTCAACGAGTGGATTGTGACGGAGAAGCTCGGGGACGCCCTCAAGATAAAGTTTGCAAAACTAAAGCAAAAACCAAAGCAGAAGATCGGAGAAAGGCAAGCATACATATCTCAGCGATTTCATGTGTTTCATGTGCTAGCTGCAGGTTGTTCGTCCAGGAGCTGATCGTCGGCCTGTACATCTTCTTTTGCGCGTCTTACGATTTGGCCTTCGGGCGCGACCGTTACTACATCTATCTCTACTTGCAAGCAGTCGCATTCTTCATCATGGGCTTTGGGTACATTGGCACTTACGTTCCCAACACTTAGAAAAGCAAAGGCAGCAACGCGGTTTTGGTGGGGTGAGGAGATTTGCCTCTCGTTTTCGGTTCCTCCTTTTTTTTTTCTTTGTGGCTGGTAAGCGTTAGTTCCACTGTACTTTACAAGTCGGGATTGTAGCTATAGGCTAGGAGAGATTGAGTAGAGAGTTTGACTCATCACATCGTCGTCGTCATCAACAGCAGTGCTTCTTCATGACACTGGCAGATCATCTGAGAATTGCAAGAAAAGGGAGGCGGTTGATCAAACAAAATCAGTGTATATAGCCGGCCAGACACAGAACCGGGGGAGGAGGCAGTGATAATAAACATGAAAGGAACAGCAAACACCATCTGAAGGTATATGCGTGGCAAGCGAGCGAGCGAGCTGTGTATATAGGAGGGTCGGGAGAGACAGCGGAGCGGACAGAAGAAAATAATTTTGACAACACCATTTTCATGATAAACATCTCCAATAAACTGGCGCAAGCACCAATTTGCTTGCTTCGTTTGAACTTTTAAGTGGTAGCAGGCTCTCTCGATCGAGAACATCACACAAGAAATGGTATCACGTACGTACAAGTGCGGGTTCGGAATCTACAGCTTCAGTACAGGCTGCCTCCACAGCTAAAGTTTTTGCTTTCCCTGGACAAGGATCTGTTCCAAAATTCTTCCAGAATATCTCGAAGGAACAGCTCTGTCTACCAATGCAAGCCTGCGCAAGGAATAGTTATAGTTGCTATGTGCAAACAAAGGACAGGCTTTCTTTATTACCTTCTCCACAATGGTTTCAGATTCCAAAGCGTGGCAGCTCCCTTTTTGGAAGGCCCCACATCGACCCTTCGGATTTCCAAAGCTGGCGAAGAAAATGGAGGAAATGAATTGGCCTGGAGAGCAGCTTAGCCCGAGCTCTGGCAGAGATGAGAATTGTGCAACAGGTGGCAAGCTGTACTCTGAAACTTGAGCGCACACTCTGTCGACTACTCTTGATGCAAATGAGACACCGCTAACGTTCCCTCCAATCTCTTCCAGTAAAACCAGTGTATTCTTCTCGTTTACCAGCCACTCTCGTGGAACGTGATACCTTGTAAACAAAGAGAGGAGAAAGTGAGCTGGCAAGTTTCAACAACAAAAATCGACAACCAATCGACGTACCACTCTTGCGATGGAAGGCCACAGCTAGAAAGGCATTTTGAGCTATAATATGTTCCACGGTAATCACATCTGTCTGAACACCCGGTCGAGGGGGCAGTGATGACGGGCCAGAACCTGCCCAGGCTGTGTCCATTCACCCAAGCTTGGCCTTTGCCCATGCTACCCAGATGGATGGCAACAGGATCATCACCGTCGGGTATGTTGAAGTTTGCCTGGAAATGTGAACTTTTCTGTAATGGCGAAACCGAGCATGGAAATTGTTGTACCTTGTACCACACCAAAGGCTGAAAAAAAGGTAATGAGGTTGTCGAGGACCATGTTATCGCATCATGCTCTCCGTTTAGACCAACCTGCACTTCGTAAATTGTAGTTATATGTTGGAGCAAACCTTAGCTTAGCAAACCTGATGTAGCCACAGTGCTGAAGTCAAGTTACGTGTCCCCGTTGAAAGCCCTTGTATCCAAATAGACCCGGTGATGCCTGCTCCGTGGGTTTCCAAGTGAGCGCCGTAGTTCTACATGCAAAGTACTACTTATGTCACATGGTAGCTGGCTAGCAACTATACTTTCCACCTGTAAGCCCACAGTTGCACTGAGAATCGCCAGATGATTAACTCCTGCTTTCAGATGAATAGGCTGTTGGACTCTTGCATATAGTCCACCAGATTTCAGGGTACTGGTGCTTCCTGCTTCATGAATGAGACTGTGAAGTTCGAGAAACTACAGCCAACCTGCAAACTCTCCGTTGACAAAAATGTGTACCATATCTCGCATGCTCGTGATTACAAGAACAGGATCTCCTCCCTTTAGCTCCTGATCCAAGATTTCAAACCTAGCACGGAACAAGAGCTTCGAAAAAGTGGACGTGAAAGAAGCACTTTGTACCTCGTAGAGTACCACATGTAATCTGTAGAATCATTTGTCGTACTTATTTGCTCAAGCAATGCATGAGCGAGAATCTTGTTGATTCCAGAACCTCCGACAGGCTCTTGAAACCATTCCCAAGCCAGTTGCTCGACCAATCCAGGAGTATATGAGCCAGATACCTCTTCAATTAAAGAAGGTTTCTGCACAGCTACCATTTTCGTTACAGACGTTTGAGCTGAAACCTGCAAAAGTGATCCAATGAGCATAATAAACACTAGAAAACCTTCCGAGAAACCTGCGCAGTGTTGAACACCACGTTGCGACAGTCGGGAAGAATACTGACAGACCATGGAGGCAAATTATAAACTTTTCCACCAAACTTGACAGAGGCACTGGAGGTGTCAATGTTGGCCAAGAATGCTGCGCACGGGGTGGCTAAGTTTGAGAAATTTGCTTCAAGGCTGCCATCCGAGTAGACGTGAGCCTGTACCATCTGGAATTATGGAAACTCCGGTACAATGGAGATGGTTATACCTCCTGCATGCGGCCCAAGGTGTAATAGACTGGATCATTCGAGGTCAATGCAGTCTCGCAAAGCTTAAGGGCCGCATGTAACTCCTTTAGGTGACCCCACTTTGGCTGTCTAAGCATTCCTGTAAGGAATAAGAAGTAAGCATTTCCTCGAAGAGTAGTAGGCATGCATGTACCAAACTCATCAAGTGGCGCATCGTAGTCGTAACTAGTGGTAATGAAGGGGCCTCCAGATGTTCGACCAAAGTTAGTACCTCCGAAGTACTGGCATCTCTCTGGCATGAGTAAACGTTGCTCAAGATCGTGCAGCGTACGTACCATATAGTAGTTTTGAGCAACACCTCCTCTCTGGAAGAAACGGGCCACCGCAAAGGCCACGTCTTCAACAGTTCTATAGGGAGCAGCCTCGCCCCATGATTGATACCTGGAAAGGAGACATCAGATGGCGGATACATAACACGAGAATGAAGAACAACAAACCAGCCACTCCAGTTTTCCGTCCACATTGCTGGCTTGTCTCTGGAGTTCGGCTTCCAGCCATCACAATAATACCCGTTGCATGTGTTTATCTTCAGCACAAACAGAAAAGAGTCTGTGAGTGCCACAAAAGAATGCAGAGTGACCACCACTCACAATGTAATCCGGAGCATCGGGCTGCTTGCACATTATCCAGGGGACACCTGTTTCTAAGTCTTTGGCCATTCGTGCTGCCCAAAGCATATAAGTCTTTCCATTGATTCCATAAGACCCTTGAACATTCCCATATTCATTCTCAATCTGCCAGCCCGAATATCAAAGGTTTTAGCATCAAGAAAAGAAGTGCCAGTCACCTGAGAGAATAGAACTGGACCGCCCTGGGATGCAAACAGTTGCTCCGATTTCACCATGTCCACAATCTTCCTCACAAACTCCTCCATCTTGTCCTGCACACAGCCACCACGCGACTTGTTATTCAGAGGCACGGCTTTCGTTGACAGGCAACGTCGTCAACCTCGAAAGCTCTATTGTGTGTTCTAAACTGAATGCCAGGCAATTTCAGCAGCCAAGCCGGGAAGCCGCTGCAGGAAAAGAAGAGAAGACAAACAGGATTAGCTAGAAAGCAAGAGAGCTTGAAGCGTACCCGAAGTTCCATTCCGCACAGACATAAGGTCCGATTCTGAGGTTGACGTAGAGGCCAGCTTGGTGCACCAGCTTGAGGAAGCGGATGAGGTCGTAGCGGCCTTGGAAATTATACTGTCACAAGCACATGTCGAGTTGATGAATGCTTTGTTTCCACTTACGATTCCGGGCGAGGGCTCATGACCATCCCAGAAGACGTACGTGTCGATCATGTCGAGACCGCCCTCCTTGGCGTTGCGGATCAGGGCCGGCCACATCTGCAAGCACGAGAGCGCATGAACAAAAGGAGCTCGCGCTTGAGAATGTAGAGAACCTGGGGAGAAGCGCGGGGGTAGTGAATGCATCCGGAGATGAGAATTCTACGCTGCCCGCCGATGATGATAGCTCTGTGGTCGTAAGAGATGTTGGTGGCGCTGGCCCCCGCCAAGAGCAGCGGCAACGCGAGGAGGAGCAGCAGGAATCTGGCCATGGCCGGTCCCCTTTAGGAAGGGTATAGTGTGCAGTAATTAGAAGCTAGGTCTATGGAAAGGCGATGGCGAGGAGGGCGGCAACGCTGCTGGTGCCTGTACGAGGGATGAGCGGGCTGCCGTTTTTCGGGCCGGACACACTGGAAGGTTTGTTTGAGAAGTTCTTGGCTCCCAAGTCTTCCAAGAAGCGGCAGGACGACGATTTGGTGGCGGAGAGGGCACGGCTGACGAGCACGCGCAGGGAGGCAATCGAGCTCTACCGCGACATCTTTCGCGCGTCGAGGGCATTCGCGTGGCCCAACGAGGACGGCATTCTGTGGCGGGACCTGTTGCGCGCGAGCGCGAGGCAGGAGTTTGAGCAAGCGCGGCACGAGAGGGACCCGGAGGTGATCGCCAAGCTGCTCGTCACCGGCAGGGACGCGGTGGAGGCGGCGGTGGACAAGTTGGTGGACAAGCACAAGGCGGCCATGGCGCGAGATCGGGTCTCAGGCGAGAGAGGCGAGTAGCGCAAGGATTATGGAGCATGAGTTGCAGCAGCAGCAGCAGCAGCAGCGCGGGGTGAAACGCAAGCTGCGGGTGCTGCAAGAGGAGAGCTGCGCACTTCTGGAGGAGCTCGAGTCCACCCAGTCCGAGGTCAAGGCACTGCAGCAGGAGAAGATGGAGCTGCTGGACAGGCTGCTGGTGCTGGAGGGATTGGCCCACAATCCATACCCTCCCTTCATTCGTCGCTCGCAGCAGCACTAGGTAGGATGGCGTAGGCGCACTATTCCCATAAGATCAAGGTGGTATCAAAAGATATGCGCCCTGGCTGCCCTAGTCGTCGGCGCTATCGGGGCCGTTGCCTGGCCCAGCCGAAGCACAGCCGTCGGATCCGCGCAGGACTGACTGAAAATAAATAAAAATCGCTGTTTGCGCTTTCCTCTCTCCTCCTAGGTCTTTCTCTCACTCCCTTGCTCTTGCGCTGTTCATCTTCGCTCCGCTCCCATGGCTGCCAATCCCAAGGTCTTCTTCGACATCGCCATCGGCGGTAGCCCCGCCGGGCGCATCGTGATGGAGCTGTACGCAGACACTGTGCCCAAGACGGCGGAGAACTTCCGCGCGCTGTGCACGGGTGAGAAGGGTATCGGCAAGAGCGGCAAGCCGCTGCACTACAAGGGCTCCAAGTTCCACCGCGTCATCCCCGACTTCATGTGCCAGGGCGGCGACTTCACGGCCGGGAACGGCACGGGCGGCGAGTCCATCTACGGCATGAAGTTCGCGGACGAGAACTTCAACAAGAAGCACACGGGCGCGGGCGTGCTGTCCATGGCCAACGCCGGGGCCAACACCAACGGATCCCAGTTCTTCCTCTGCACCGTGCCCTGCTCCTGGCTCGATGGCAAGCACGTCGTCTTCGGCCAGGTTGTGGAGGGGCTCAACATCGTCAAGGACATCGAGAAGGTGGGCAGCTCCTCGGGCAAGACGAGCAAGCCCGTGGTGATTGCCGACTGTGGCCAGCTCTCTTAGATCTATCTGCAGCGAGCGAGCTGCTTGACTTGATTGTTGTGTCCTTTCTATGCTAGCTGCTCTATCTCTCTCTCTCTCTTTTGCATATCTCTTGCTTGTTTGTTGGTTCGAGCTCTGGAATGAAAAACGAAAAAAAAGGATTAAAGCTCCCAATCTCTCTCTCACAAGCTTAGGTCGTTTGATTGACTATGGCATCGTCCTCGCGTTGCCCTCTGCTGGATTGCGGCAGCAGAGCGTGGCCGCGGGCAACCTGTAGCCCGGAACGGCAAGCGCATGGCTCAGGTGAGCAGGCTAGAGCCTTCCTTTGCTCCTCGCAAGTAAGCCTATCATTGGTTGCAGCAAGGACGTTGGTTTATGCCAGGAAGAAATCGGGATTTGCAGAGCTGCTGCTCCAGAAAAGGTTGGGTGCAAGTTGCAAGTTGCAGCGCATTGTTTGTAATCCATCCGTGTGGTTCGTTTTCTCCAGGCAAGGCGAACAGCCGCATGGCAAGCACTTGAAGTTGAAGCCTGGAAGAGTGTCCCCTCCGCTCAGCGTTCCCGCAGACATCCCCAGGCCACCGTATGTTGGTTCAGCCGCAGCGCCTGCTTTCAACATGGAGCCGCAAGTCCACGACGAGAGTGGTGTGGCGAGAATGCGAGCCGCAGGGGAGCTAGCTGCCCGAGTTCGCGACTTTGCTGGTAGCCTCATCAAGGTACGAAAGGCTCGAACGCAAAGTGTTTCGGCGCTTTGACTGCCTTTGTGGTGCAGCCAGGTGTAACGACGGACGAGATCGACAAGGCAGTGCACAAGATGATTGTTGAAGCGGGTGCATATCCATCGCCTCTCGGATACGGTGGGTTTCCGAAGAGCGTGTGCACGTCCGTGAACGAATGCATCTGCCACGGTATACCCGATTCTCGTCCGCTTCAGGTAACACAAGTTAAGTCCCAGACTAAGTAAGAATCCTCGACCACACCAGGACGGCGACATTATAAACATCGACGTGACTGTCTATCTGAATGTATGTAAGCCACAGAGGTGCCAAATCTCACACGGTTTTCTTTCAGGGATATCACGGGGACACATCCGCAACTTTCCTTTGCGGCACCGTCAGTGACGAGGCCAAGCGGCTGGTAGAGGTGCGGAGAAAGAGAAACTTTTGTGTGGCTGGTTGCTGAGTTTTGTGCATAGCCAGGTGACTCGCGAGGCCCTGGACAAGGCAATCGCAGTTTGTGGCCCAGGTGTGGAATTCAAAAAGATCGGGAGGACCATCCAGTGAGGCCTTTCTTTTGCTTTGTTATCGTGTTTTCATCCTTTTTGTCTCTTGCTTTTGTCGCTCGCCACCAGTGATGTTGCTGATAAGTTCAAGTACGGGGTGGTGAAGCGATTTGTTGGGCATGGAATCGGCACCATATTCCATTGCGCTCCCTCCATCCTGCATTTCCGTAAGGAAGGAGAGTGTCGCAATCCAGCTCTAACACCGAAGCGTTGGTACCTGGCTTTACAGGAAATAATGAACCTGGTCGCATGCAGATTGGTCAAACGTTCACGATTGGTAAGAGTGCTCACGTTGATCTCGTTTCCCCTCCGACTCTCTTGTTCCAGAGCCAATGCTGACAATGGGGAAGCCGGACGACCTGATCTGGCCGGACAACTGGACCGCGGTGACGGTCGACGGCAGCCTTTCTGCGCAGTTCGAGCACACCCTGCTCGTCACAGGGGACGGTGTCCAGGTATTGACGCGAGCACCATAATGTCGAGGCGAGATAGATAATACACAAGATTACACGATTCGTAGCTAGTGGAGAAAGACACCAAGGAAGATGGAAAGGACGAACCATCCCAGGAAGAAGTAGCCCACCTTTCTGATTGCATCCATGTCCTCCTCGTCCTGCATTGCACGATTTGTAAAGAGCTGGCGGGAAAGTCAGGACGCTGGCATACCACGGGTGGATCCGGGAGGCTGTACTTCTGGGTGATGTCCGCCTCGTAAGGCCAGACGTAGCGTTTGTTCTTGTTCTTCTCCTGGAGAATGCTCCAGTCATACAGCCTCCGCTGCCGCTCCGAGGTTAATACGTCAAAGGATTGCTACAACACGAGCCCTGCATTGTGTGAGTGTAGTGCTGGTGAGCGACGACGTGTGGCTCACCTGGAGCTGTTGCAGCTGATCGCGAATTGCATCGTCGCTCCAGCCGTCTTCCTTGAGAGCCATCACTTCGTCCACTCGCTCCTTGAAAGCAGCAGCAATCTGAAACGGGCAATGCACGAGTTAGCTATCGGAACGCAAGGCTCGGTTACCTGAGACGTGGGTGCTTGCCACGGGACTTGGAGGCGTGCATAGTGGTCCACGTCTGTAATCGGCCCTGCGTTCCTAACAAGCGCCAAAGCTCAAGCTCCACGCTACGTAGCAAGCGTTTGTACCTTTGCTGGCCAGCACCTTCTTGAAGTTGGTCATGGTGAGCAGGGGATCCTTCGTCCTGGGCGGCGGCGCTGCCAGGCTCTTGTCCACCGGGGCCCTTTCAATCGCCTCGCTCGCATCGCTTGCCCTGGCGCACATCCGCCTCCGCCTCACCAGGAGCAATCGCGTGCACAGCAGCGAGCCGGCAACCGCCATGGCCGCGAGCAAGCCACACCACACAACACACAAAAAATGGGAGGAGAGGAGGTTTAGGGTTTAGGGTTACTTGGGGATGGCGGACGAGGAGGCCGCGCACAAGCAGCACAGGGCATCCAGGGCGGGGGCGTCTGCCGGTGCCAGCAAGCTCAAGAAGAAGAAGAAGAATGATCGCGGCCCCTCCACCAAGCAGTCCAATCCCAAGGTCAGTAGAACGCATTGCTGCGCGCTTGCTTGACATGCCGCTGCCTCTCCCAGGCCTTCACATTCCGATCTGCCGTGAGAGCAAAGCGGCAGCAGGCGGTCTCGGCGGAGCGGCAGCAGCGCAAGCTCCATGTCCCAATCCTGGACCGCGCCACTGGCGAGCCGCCCCCATTCGTCATTGTGGTGCAAGGCCCCCCACAGGTGACTCTGATAACTTTGCACACTCACTTCGCTCATACTTTCTCCAGGTTGGAAAGTCTTTGCTCGTACAGTGTCTCGTCAAGCACTACACCAAGCACAGCCTCTCCAACATCAGTGGCCCGATCACTATCATCGCTGGTGTGACTTTTGCTCTCGTTTCGTCGCGCCACTCCGGCTCACGGTGTGTCTTTGTCTTGGTCCAGGAAAACACCGGCGTCTGCAGTTTATCGAGTGTGCCAACGATCTCAATGCGATGATCGACGCTGCCAAGTTTGCGGACCTTGTTCTACTACTCATCGATGGCAGCTATGGTTTCGAGATGGTGAGCCTGCGAGTTCAAGCCCCTAGGCTGGCTAACATTATTTGATGCAGGAAACCTTCGAGTTTCTCAACTTACTACAAGTTCATGGCTTTCCTAAAGTTATGGGCGTGTTGACGCACTTAGACAAGTTCAAGGATGTCAAGGCGTTGAGAAAGACGAAAAAGCAGTTGAAGAGCAGATTTTGGACGGAGATTTACGATGGTGCGAAACTCTTTTACCTCTCAGGGCTTATTCATGGAAAGTTAGTCTTTTTCTTTTGGTCATTTTCAGTGGGGAGCACTAAACGTTTTGTTTTGTTTTGCTCTTTCTAGGTACTCTAAGCGTGAGATCCATAATCTTGCGAGGTTCATATCTGTGGCGAAGTTCCGGCCATTACAGTGGAGGACTACTCACCCCTACATGATTGCTGACCGTTTTGAAGATGTTACAGCCCCAGAAGATGTTGACGCGAATCCAAAGTGCGACAGGAATGTAACTATCTATGGCTATCTCCGTGGAACCAATTTGAAGAAAACCATGAAGGTGTCAATGTTTTGCCTGGAAAGTAATTTTTACTGACACATTTATTTGATGCAGGTCCATATAGCTGGTGTTGGAGATTGTAGTATGTCCGCTGTTACTCTACTGCCGGACCCATGTCCTCTGCCTTCTGCAGCAAAGAAACGTGGCCTTCGCGAAAAGGAAAAGCTTTTGTACGCACCCATGGCAGATGTTGGAGACATGCTGTACGACAAGGATGCTGTTTATATAAACATTAGCGACCATCAAGTGCAGTTTTCTAAAAACTGTGAGGATGCAGAAAAAACACAAGGTAAGAACCATGCCTTTACTTCCTTTACTGACGAGTGAAGGCACCAGGAAAAGATGGAGACGTAGGCGAGACGATGGTGAAGTCACTGCAACAATCAAAGTATTCAATTGATGAAAAGCTGCAGCAAAGCTTTATCCAATTTTTCAAAAGTAGCGCCATTCAAAGCGCCTCTGACTCGGAAGCGGATGAATCTGATGAATCTGGGCCTGAAAAAGATGATGCGATGGCTACTGTTTCAGAAGATGGGAGACTGAGAAGACGCGTCATGTTTCCAAATGAGGCCGATGAAGAGGGCGCCGCCGAGGTTTGCTTTGCATAATTTGACCAATCCACGTTTTACGTAGCGTCATTCAGGGACCTGAGGACGTGAACAATGGGGATAGTAGCGAAGACGATATTACAGGAGAGGAAAATGGTGACGAAGAACGTATGGTACATGGAGAAGGAGAAGGAGAAGAAGAAGAAGAAGGCGAAGGAGAAGGAGAAGAAGAAGAAGAAGGAGAAGGAGAAGGAGAAGAAGGAAAAGAAGAACAAGAAAATGAAGAGAACGAAGATGGTAAGCGTTGTTATCCAAAGTAGGGACTGCTGACAAGATTTCTGTGGCTAAACAGTGGAGATGGGAAATGCTTTGCAATGGAAACAAGGCTTGATGAACCGCGTTGGAGCATCCAAAAGCAACGTAAATCTGATGCAAGTTGTGTATGGGCATGTGGAGGCTTCATCAAAAGATAAAGACTTCCAAGAAGATATCTCAGATAGCGACGAGGAACTGTTTAAGCCAAAACGGCAGCGGCACCAGGCTTCCAAGGTTCCTTTTTCCGTTTTTAATCTCTCTTTTTTTGGACTTAAAGCTTTCCTCTCTTCAGGACACGGTAGCTGCTAATGCCCAGAACTTAGACTTGGAGGATTGTTCAAGGCTCACATTAGAAGTGGACGACTGGCATAACCAAGAAGTTATTGAAGCTATTCGTGACCGGTTCGTGACGGGTGACTGGAACAAGGCGTCACAACGACAAAAGGGTGAGGTGGAGGAAGATGATCTGGTGTACGGCGACTTTGAAGATTTGGAGACTGGTGAACAACACGTTGCCGCAGAAAATCACGAGGATGCTGAACGGAGGCTGAAGAAACTTGCTCTCAGAGCTGCATTTGATGCTAAATATCCTTTTCTGTCTCATTTCTGCATTGATATTGTGTCATTTCCTGACTTCGAAGCACATATGATGGGTCAGCCAGCTTAGACGAGGAGAACAAGGAGGTGGAAGGTCCGAAGGAAAAGGATCACTTTGACAAGGTTCGGTATCCTAAGTTATCGATTGTAGTGTTAACTGAGTTTATCATGTGCAGCTGAAAGAAGATATGGAGTTGCAAAAGCAAAGAAACGCTGCGGAGCTGCAGGATATTGATGCCACCACACGTATAGAGATGGAGGGGTTTTCTGTGGGAACGTATTTGAGAGTAGAGTTCCGCGGAATGCCTTATGAGCTCGTGCATCATTTTGATGCTCGGCATCCAATTCTTGTCGGCGGCATCAGCAAATCTGAAGAGAGCGCCGGGTTTATGCAGGTAAAGGGAAAACGCTTTTAAGTCTTTGGTTCAAGTATTCTATTCGTGCAGGTCCGATTGAAAAAACATAGGTGGCACAAGAAGGTGTTGAAGAATCGGGATCCTTTGGTTGTGTCTGCTGGGTGGCGGCGATATCAGACGCTACCAGTGTATTCCCTTGAAGACCGGAATGGACGTCATCGGATGCTGAAGTACACACCAGAACACATGCACTGTATTGCAACCTTTTGGGGACCCCTTGCGCCTCCAAACACTGGCATTGTCACCTTTCAGAACCTCTCAAACTCCCAGGTACATACATACAAATACATATACAATCTTGATTTTTACTTCGTGCTTTCATTTTGCAGCCATTATTTCGTATAACTGGGACGGGAGTTGTCTTAGAATGGGACCAGTCCGTGCAAATTGTCAAGAAGCTGAAGCTCGTTGGTTATCCTTACAAAATCTACAAGAAAACAGCCTTCATCCGTGATATGTTTACATCGGAGTTGGAAGTCGCTCGGTTTGAGGGTGCCTCCGTGCGGACTGTAAGTGGAATTCGTGGCCAGATCAAGAAGGTAAGAAATTTAAGTTTGCTGGTTCCAGAATGTAACGTTGTTTCAACCAGGCGGTTAAAGCTGGAAGCGGCAAGGAAGGTTCCGTGAGGTGTACCTTTGAAGACAAGATTTTGATGAGTGACATCGTGTTTTTGCGGACGTGGACGAAAGTTGATATTCCCCGGTTTTTTAATCCAGTGACGACGCTACTGCAGTCACGAGATACCGTGTGGAAGGGTATGAAAACGGTTGCTGAACTTCGAAGCGAGCAAAATGTGTCCGTTCCCGTAAACAAAAACTCTCTCTACAGAGTAAGTGTTGGTATAATCTTTCGTACTGTGGTTTCATCTGGCCCTTACATGTGTTGCAGCCGACTGAGAGGCAACCCCGACGTTTTAATCCACTTCAAATTCCGAAGGCTCTGCAAGCTGCACTCCCTTTCAAATCCAAGCCGAAGCTTTCAGCCAAACGTAAAAAACCACTCTTGGAGTCAGCGCGTGCTGTGGTGCTAGAACCGAACGAGCGGAAGGTTGTGTCTTTGGTGCAACAGCTCACAACCATTCAAAATGACAAGGTAAGTCTTACAATCGTCCCACAAGTTTCAAGACGTTCAACGTCTCGGTTGTAGGCAAAGAAAAGGAAGCTGGAACAACGGAAGAAGAAGGAGGCCTACACTGCTCAAAAGGCAAAGGAGGAGGAAGAGAGCAAGAAAAGAAGGCGAGAAGAGATTCGCGAGCGACACAGGTCCCAAGCCGTTCCTGGAAGGCCTTTGAACAAGAAGCCCAGGCGAAACGTGTAAACCACAAATACTCTTGTATTTTCCCGCCAGCAGAGAGCGAGGGTTTTTGGTTTTCGGTGGCTGCAAGATGAAGGCGGGCACCGTGCAGATTGCCTGGCACGGCTGTGACCCAGTGCTCTCTGCCGACTTCCACCCGGTCTCTGGTTTGCTCGCCACTTGTGGCGCCGACAAGGATATCAAAGTATCAGTCATTTCTCTTTGCTCTCTCGCTCAAGCTCTCGGCTTCCTGTTTGCAGCTCTGGTTACTCGCGTCTGTGGATGGCAAGGCTCTTACCAAAGTCACATTTGAGGCGAGCTTGTCGCACCATTCAGCTGCTGTCAATGCTGTCCGCTTCTCACCCTCTGGTGGGTCTTAGGTCCTTTTTCTTCTCTCTATCTCTCTCCGGTTAACTCCCTACGCAGGTGACGCCCTTGCATCCGGTGCCGGCGGTAAGCTTTCCTTGTAACTCTTTCCCTTTGCTAACTGGAGATCCGTTATAGAAGGAGAGCTCGCGTTGTGGAGGCTCACAGAAAACAAGGATGGTGCTGCGGTGTGGAAGGTGGTCAAGGCATTACGGTAGGCTTTGCTTTTTTTCATCACGTGATGCAGAGCGAGCCTCCAGGTCCCACTTGAACGACGTGCACGACTTGGGCTGGTCAGCCGATGGATTGATGCTTGCGTCTGGATCTGTGGACAACTCCTGCGTTGTCTGGGACATGACCAAGTGTACGTACTGAGGCTTGATTATGTTGTTTGCTAGCTCCGCTGCTTGCAGATGAACCCCTGCAAGTTATCAAGGATCACGCACACTACGTACAAGGGGTTGCGTGGGATCCGATTGGCTACTACCTGGCGTCCATGAGCTCGGACAGGACATGCAGGATATATTCCCGATCACAAACACCGGGGACAAAGGCGTTTACTTGTCAACGTGTTATTTCGAAAGCGGATTTTCCCACTGGGGACAGCAGCGGAGATGACATCAAGGTGGGCGTGTTGGTTTGATAATGAGATGTTGGACTTCCCTGGCTACCTTGCAGAAATGCCACTTGTTCGCGGATGAGAGCATGCCATCCTTTTTCCGCAGGCTGGCATGGTCCCCCGACGGCTCCTTTTTACTTGTTCCTGCGGGTGAAACTGCTGTTTGTCACATTAGACCTGTTTTGATGTTTTGCCTTTTGTTTCCAGGTCTTCACAAGGCCAGCGTCAACGCAGCATTCGCTTTTTCAAGGAGAGACTTGTCCAGGTGACTTAGATTCATGTGTCTTGGGATTTTCGCACTGAGACCTGCAGCAACAATATCTAGGCCAGCTCTTCATTTCCCTGGAGCTAGTAAAGCGGTGGTGGCCACGTCCTTCTGCCCCGTCAAGTTTGCTCTCGAGGGAAACACTGGTTGGTTTCTTGTGCCATCATCTCATAATGTCATTGTCTTTTGTTCAGAGAACCGCGTTTTCAATCTACCGCACCGGCTTGTCTTTGCTATAGCGACACTCAACTCTGTTGCTATCTATAACACGCAGATGCTCAACCCGACAGCCTTTCTAGGAGGCATTCACTACCGTGCCATCACCGATCTTGCCTGGTAAACTCTTCTGGCTTCGTTCCCTCCTACAACCGGGCTCTCACCCCCGCCGCAGGTCTTATGACGCCAAGTTCCTGGTTGTCTCGTCACAGGATGGCTACTGCACTGTGGTGGAGTTCGAGGAAGGGGAGCTTGGGCGGGCCGTGACAGGTATGTGTATTTCAAAGTGGAACGCCTCGTTTCATGAGTTTGCATTAGCAGGCAAGGCGGTGGGGGAAGGAGCGCTTTCGCAAGGCCAAGGGCCATTTATAACATGAACATGACAAGAGGACCAAGCAGCAGGCGACAGCAGTGGGTGTGTGGAGTTTTTTAATCTTTACTTTATCTTCTATAGCGTTTTTTTGCACTGGATTCGCGAGGAGCAGTGTGAGCGCGATGGCATCAGTCACGTGGCGCTGCGCCCTGCATGGCATGCATGTATGCATGCATGGACGATTCAGCTTCCGGCGCGATGAAGAACTTCGTCGCGGGTCGCGGAGAGATAAAATAAAATATAAAGCTCTCTATAGAGATGATCTCGAATCGAGCACAGGATCAAGCGCAAAGTCGTGGGGAAAGGGTACGGTAATCCTGCCATGCGTCTGATTGCGATTGAAGCAGGGGAAACAAAAGTCCGGCCGTCTCGACCTGCGGGGATTAAAGATATCGTTGCTACATTATACATTGAGCATGGGCGAGAGAGGAGCATGTGAAAGCGACAAAAGGGCTTCCAAAGGCTCAGGCTGGCCACTGGCCACACACTCGAGCCCTGACCACGGCCGCTCGCGCTCTTCATTGTATGACGAGGTACATTTTCATTCTTCTCTGCTTCCCTTTCATTTGGACGCTGGCTCGTTTCGCTTGTGAATGCGTCAAGGCGTGACTGCTTGTGCGCTTGTGTGCGCACGCCCCTGGATGGATGGCGAGTAGCTTCCTCTTCCTCGAGCGAGCGAGCGTGAAATGAGGAGCAAGTGATTGTAACGAGGGCGAGGGCGCGATTGCAATGGCCGGGGAGCGCAAGGTGCTGCTGGTGTCGGCTGGAGCCAGCCACACCGTAGCCCTCCTGTGTAAGCAAGCAAGCATCTCTCGTGTCTAGATTGTCACGCTGTGGGCTGCAGCCGGCCAAGTGGTGTGCTCGTTTGGGCGGGGCGAGGACGGGCAGCTGGGTCACGGAGATGCGGAGGATCGGCTCTTGCCGCGGATCATCGGTGCGCTCAACGACTGCGAGATCTCGCTTGTGGCGTGCGGCGCGGATCACACCACCGCCTACTCTGCAACCAGGCTCACCATCTACAGCTGGGGCTGGTACTGCTACCGTCTTGTCTCTCTCGTCACACACGCCTCTCACTCGTCTTCTTGTCATGGCTCATACATACCAGGGGCGACTTTGGGAGGCTCGGCCATGGCAACTCGAGCGATCTCTTCGTACCCCATCCAATCAAGGCGCTGCAGGGCCTCGAGATCAGGCAAATCGCTTGCGGCGACAGCCATTGCCTGGCGGTGACCGCGGATGGAGAAGTCTACAGGTGCATTTCCTCTCGTGCATTCCTGCTCGTGCTTTTATCAACCGCTCTGTCTACCTGCGTAGCTGGGGCCGGAACCAGAATGGTCAGCTCGGGCTGGGAGATACCGACGACTCGCTCGTCCCGCACAAGCTACTAGCTTTCGAGGTATGTCATACGTATACCTTTGCTTGACGTTCGTGGGCATGTGCATGCGCGCAGGGGGTGTCCGTCAAGATGCTCGCAGCAGGGGCGGAGCACACGGCAGCTGTGACCGATAGCGGCAAGCTCTACGGCTGGGGGTGGGGGCGCTACGGAAATCTAGGCCTGGGCGATCGGGGCGACCGGATGCTACCGGCTGAAGTGCCTGCTGTTGGGGTCATTCTCTTCTTAGAGCCCGATTGATGCACATTGTATATGGTCTGACTTGGTGGTGACAGGATGAAAAGATGTGCATGGTGGCGTGCGGGTGGAGGCACACCATCGCCGTGTCCCAGTCCGGCAAGCTCTACACGTATGGGTGGAGCAAGTATGGGCAGCTCGGGCATGGCGACTATGCGGACCATCTCTTACCACACCAGGTGGCAGCCCTGGCGGAGTTCAACATCACACAGGTTGGCGAGCATGTTACATGTCGTTCATTGCCCGCGCTTGTGCTGCGTGTAGGTGTCTGGAGGCTGGAGGCACACCGTTGCTCTAACGGAAGCGGGCAAGCTTTACGGATGGGGGTGGAACAAGGCAAGTCATAGCACTTAGTTGCAATGGCTGACCAGGCAAAGTGTGGCCACATGCAGTTTGGTCAAGTTGGTAGCGGGGATGTTGATGATCACACCAGCCCGCAATTGATTTCCATTCCAGGACAGCACCAGGTACCTCTGCATCCATTTTCGGTGTGCTAACCGACGCCAGCGTTGTGGTTGCAGAGAGTGGTGCAAGTCTCGTGTGGTTGGAGACACACCGTCGCGGTGACTGACAAGAACAATGTGTATTCCTGGGGGCGAGGAACAAGCGGGCAATTGGGACACGGAGATGCTGTGGACAGGTAAGGAACTTACAACCTTTGTAAAGTCCGGCGGCCGCTTACAACATCGCACCTACGAGTTGCAGAAGCGCACCTAAAGGCATCCAAGCTCTGAGTGCCGACGGCTCGGCCTGTGAGGGCCTGGAGAAATCACCGGAGCCGGCTGTAACCGGTACTTTGCTAGAGATCTCCTCTCCTTTTTCATCTTCTTTTGTTGGCTGGCAGGAAGTGGCGTTGCAAATTGGATATCGCCATCCGAGAGATATGCTGTGGTTCCAGATGAAGCTGTGAGACTCTCTCTGGTTTTCAGTTGAATTGATCTTACTATTCTTTCGTGTTTTGTACAGGTGTTGGTGGGGCAGATGGGAGATGCCAGTGTCCCAGACACGGACATAAAGCGCATTAGAACAGACTAGAATGTATAGGTGGTAGTTGTAGTTTTTCTTCTCGTTGTGTTTCCTTTGAAGCAAACAAACATGCTGCTGTAAATTAAACACTTAATTTCTCTCTCTGCTTACTTCTTGACTGCGGCTATGGCGGCTGTGGCCTCACTCGCGTCATTCTCGAGTGTTACATCAAGCAGGACTTTAGCCACACCCGGGTTGCTGCTTCGGAAATGCAATCGGAACTCCGAGCTCTGTGTCGCCGCTCCCCAACACCCACTTGGGTTGCTGCGAGCATCCTCTCAAGGTAACACTAGGTAACATACATAATTCAAGATGAGCAAGATGAGCGCAGACAATGTTCCTGCGGAGATCCGCGACGACCCCAAATTCGTCGCTATAAACGACGATGATCCAAGCTACGGGCCTACAGTAAGTACGCCATTGTTTTGCCTTGACATATCAAGTCCAACAGCCGTCTGTTGAAAGGCAATGCTCTTGGTGGGATTTGACAATCACGAGATTCCCAAGGTATGCGCGGCAGCCTCTTTCTCCTGTCGATGGATGGATGGATCGAGATCGATTGTGATCAGGTGATCGAATACCTCAAGGGCATGGGTGCGGAGGCCATCGTCAAGGTGATTGTGTGCTGCGAGGACATGCTGCGCGAGACGCTGTGGGAGTGCATGCAGCGTCCATCCAACGTGAGCAACCCCCCTCCTGGTACCGCAGGCAGGATGCCGCGCATTTGCTTCATGTCGGGCATGACGGGCCAAGAGGTGGTGACCATTGTGCAAAGCTTCCCCGGAATAGGTGCGCATTCCTACTTTAAGCCCGTCAACTTACACGCTGTCGCCAGGGTTGGAGGACACCGCATTCGCGGCGCTGGTGCCAAAAACCGCTGGCCAGAGCCTGGAGCAAGTCATGGAAGAGGTTATCGGAGATCACGAGAGACTGGTAAGTCGAAAACGGAAAAGGATCGATTTAACTCGCGGCCATACAATCTTTCTCGGTTCTATACATCACAGAAGAAACATTGACACTGAGGACGATCACACCTTGGGAGGAGGAGGCGGGTAGCCGGGCTGGCCGGGTGGAGGAATTGGGTAGCCGACCGCTGCTGGAGCTTGCATGCTTCTACCCCTTTTCCCGCAGTAGTAGCACAAGAGCGCCAACAAAAGGATGAAGATGGCCACGATGGGCAGCGGGATCACATACACATACCGACCCATAATCGCAGAAAGAGCAAAAATCCCTAGCTAGGAACAAGAGGAGATCCACCGACCTTGCTTAAAAAGAAGGGAAAAAGAGAGTAAGCTTCGTAAGAAGATCCGACTTGCCGGAATCGAACCAGCGACCTAAGGATAGCTGTGAGCACTACAGTCCTCCGCTCTACCAACTGAGCTAAAGTCGGGCGTTGGGACATGCGCCATTACATAACCTGTTATGTATGCAAATTCTCCACCTTGCCCTAAAGTCTGGCGCTTCTTCCTTGGGGTGAGACATGGAGGCGCCCATTCCTCCTCCGGCTGCCGCCGGGGAGACGAGCAACAACGGCAGGCGGAAGAGGCGGCGGCAGGCGAGGGATGTGCTCCTGGAGGAAGCCATCGACGAGGCTGGGAGCCGGCTGGCGGGCCGAGGTAAGAGCATCCGAGCCCTCCGGCAGCAGGCCAAGAACCGGAGCTACGACGAGACTCTCATCGACCAGATGTTTGAGAAGCAGCTGGGAGCGCTCAGGAAGAAGAAGCGGCCCGTGGACGTGGACAAAGAGGTGGATGTGGAGGCGATGATTGGAGCTGCAATAGGCTTCCCCAGGGAGTCGCTGACGGAGGAGGAGATTGAGGCGGGCGTGGTGGCGACGCTGGGTGGCGAGGAGCAGGCCAACTACGTGATTGTGCGCAACCACATCCTTGCGCGCTGGCGGGACAATGTCAACGCGTGGCTGAGCGAGCAGAGGGTGATGGAGTCGATCCGGAGCCAGCACAAGAGCCTCGTCTCCGCGGCCTACACCTTCCTGCTGTCGTATGGCTACATCAACTTCGGGGTGGCTCCGGCCATGCGGGCCGCCATCCCTGCCGAGGCCACCAGGTGCTCCGTCGTCATCGTCGGCGCGGGCCTCGCCGGCCTGGCTGCGGCCCGCCAGCTTCGAGCCTTCGGTCACAAGGTGGTGGTGGTGGAAGGCAGGCACCGACCCGGGGGCAGGGTGTACACCAAGAGGATGGAAGGCGGAGGCCAGGTTGCGGCGGCGGACCTGGGTGGCAGCGTCGTCACCGGCATGCATGGCAACCCGCTCGGGGTGATTGCAAGGCAGCTGGGCCTCCCCCTTCACAAGATTCGCGACAAGTGCCCGCTCTACCAGCCCGGCGGTGCTCCCGTCAACGAGGATGCCGACCTCAAGGTGGAAGGCCAGTTCAACAAGCTGCTGGACCTGGCCAGCAAGTGGAGGGAAGAGATGGACAAGGTGTCGGACAGCATTGCGCTGGGGACGACGCTGGAGCACCTGAGGCACCAGGGGGACGTGGCCCGTGACCCGCAGGAGAGGCAGCTCTTTGACTGGCACCTTGCCAACCTTGAGTACGCCAACGCCGGGCTGCTCTCCAATCTCTCGCTCGCCTACTGGGACCAGGACGATCCGTATGAGATGGGTGGCGACCACTGCTTCGTGCCGGGTGGGAACGTGAGGCTGGTTGCGGCCCTTGCGGAAGACGTGCCCGTGTTCTACGGCAAGACCGTCCACACCATCCGCTACGGCAGCAGTGGCGTCCAAGTCCTCACCGCGGACCAGATCTTCGAGGCGGACATGGCCCTGTGCACCGTGCCTTTGGGAGTGCTCAAGAAGAGGTCCGTCACCTTTGAGCCGGAGCTCCCTCCCAGGAAGTACGAGGCGGTGGACAGGCTTGGCTTCGGTCTGCTGAACAAGGTGGCCATGCTCTTCCCGGTTGCCTTCTGGGGATCCGAGCTCGACACTTTCGGGCAGCTGACCGACACGCCTGCCAGGAGGGGCGAGTTTTTCCTCTTCTACAGCTACGCGGCTGTGTCCGGTGGCCCTCTTCTCATTGCCCTGGTGGCTGGCGAGGCTGCAATCAACTTCGAGCGAATGCCGCCCCTGGAAGCTATCCAGCGTGTTCTGGGAGTGCTTCGAGGTACGGAAGGTGTTGTTTCGAGCTCTGACCCATGCACGGGTACTTTTCTGCAGGTATCTATCAACCCCGCGGGGTGGTGGTTCCGGATCCGATTCAGACGGTGTGCACGCGCTGGGGGAGCGATCCTCTTTGCTTCGGGTCATACTCCAACGTAGCCGTGGGTGCGTCCGGGGAAGACTACGACATACTGGCGGAGAGCGTCGGAGGCCGCTTATTTTTCGCAGGTGAAGCCACTACCCGACGCTACCCAGCCACCATGCATGGAGCCTTTCTGAGTGGCTTGAGGGAAGCTGGTAACATTGCAGCTCAGGCTGCGGCCAGGGGCTCACCAGCCCAGGTGCCACGCAAGGACATCCAATCGTATGCCACGGTGTTGTCGGACATCTTCAGGGAGCCCGACGTCGACTTCGGCAACTTTGCGGTGGTGTACGATCCCAGCTCGCAGGATCCGAGCTCTTGCGCTTTGCTGCGGGTGGTGATTGGAAACAAAACCAAGGCGAGGCCGGGAGATAGCACGGAGCAGCCCAAGCCGCAACCCCCGCCGCTCCACCTCTACACCATGATCACGCGTCAGCAGGCGCTGGAGCTGCGGGAAGTTCGCGGGGGTGACAAAAAGCGACTCCTCTACCTATGCAGCAGGGTAGGCGTCAAGCTGGTGGGGAGAAGGGGCCTTGGCAGCCGGGGAGACGCCATCATCGCTGCGCTCAAGTGGTCTCGCTCCACCAAGGATCCAGCAGCGGCGCAGGTACAAGTGCTTGGTGACGCTTTGGTTTCTTGTGATTAACTCTCTTCAATCTCTTCAATCTCTAGGTGGCGGCTAATGGGAGCAAAACAACTTCCACCACCCCAGCAGCAGCATCAGGAACAGCAGCAGCAGCACCAGCCAATGGAAGCTGACGGAGTTGCGTTTCGTTCAACCGAGCCACGAAATTTTGGTGGCTTGTAATACACCATTAGACAGCGTGAGTGCAATAAAAATGAAATTCTTTTTTGGATACAGATCCAGAGTTAGCTAGGTATGGCCGGCGACACAATCACCTCTTTGGCGGACAGGTGTGTTGTTGCATCGCATTGCTTGCGCTCGAACTTACAGCGCGCAGGTTCAACACCCAGCACACGAGCGCCCTTGGGATTGAGCTGTTTGGTCACCCGCTGCTCATATCTCAGGTGGGTATTGGTGGACAAGTCTGAAGGTAGAAAACGCAGTCCGTCCTTGGACAGGATCCAAATTCCAAGCACGTTGGAACAACCGTGTGGGACTCGTCGGTGGTGTTTGCCAAATTCCTGGTTGGTTGGTCTAGAATGCTTCGGCCTCTGATTAGACCATGTGTTCCGTTGTGTGTGTGATTTTCAGGAAAAGAATTGCAATCGCGGGCAGCTGAATGGCGTCCAGATGGCTGGGAAGCGCGCTATTGAGCTGGGAGCCGGGTGTGGTGTTGCAGGACTAGGTGAATTTCCGAATCGATGCCTCTTAAGTTGTAACGGTTGGGTGTTGGCAGCAATGGCACTCATGGGCTGCAATGTGGTGTTAACTGATCAGGTGGAGGTGTTGCCGCTCCTGCTCAAAAACGTGGAAAGAAATGTGGCTAGGATCAAGCTGGCTTCGGTCACGAGCACAAGCGAGTCCGTTGGTCTCGGTGATAAAGCCAAATACTTCTTCGTTCCTCCTTTCTCATGCATTATGTGTCAGGAAATGTCAGCGTTGCCGAACTAGATTGGGGAAACAGCTGCCACATAGCTGCATTGGAACCACCATTCGACTTTATTATTGGCACCGATGTTGTAAGTGGTTGATCCATCTCAAGTCACCCTTTTTGCTGCCGCCACCTTTTTCCAGGTGTATGCCGCCCAGCACCTGGAGCCTCTGCTCACGACGATTCTCTCCCTTTGTGGACCAAGGGCTACAGTCGTGGTAAGTAAGCCTTCCATCATTTGCTATCCTGGACAGCTATTTATTTGTCCATGAGCAGCTGGCTTATGAATTTCGTTCGCCCGAGTTGACTGAGAGGCTTCAGGCCATGTGCAAAGAGCACTTCGAGATAAAGACCATCTCCAAGAAGAAGGTTCTGTCGTCTCACCGTAGTCGGATGACCAACCTCTCTATTTTGTTTTGCAGATGGATGCCTGTTTCCAGCACCCAAACATCCAGCTTCTTGTCATGTCAAGGCGCAGGCTGCATAACACAGCGTAGGAGGGGATATGCAGCGGATGGAGCTGCACGATGGTGGCCGTCAAGCCTACCACGCCGAGTATGACCAACTTCAGAGGAGGCTCAAGAGAATAGACGATGAGCAAGACCCGGCTGCAGCCTTGACGGTACTACTCAAGCGGTGTCGCCAGGTGGAGCATGGCAAGCTTATTCACGCCCACATTGCCACCAGTGAGGTCTACAAGCGCGACAAGCTTCTCCTCAACATGCTCGTGGAGATGTATGGCAAGTGCGGCAGTATAGCGGAGGCTTGCTGTGTCTTCGACTGCATGTCTGTGAGAAACGTGCACTCGTGGACGATTATGCTGGTGGCACTGGCGGAGAATGGAGAGTGCAAGCAGGCTGTGAGACTGTTCCGGGAGATGCTCCTGGAAGGTGTCAAGCCCAACGCCTTCACGCTGACCAGCGCCTTGACTGCCTGCGGCCACGCTGGGGATGCAGACGAGGGCCACAGGATTGACGGAATGATCGCGTGCACCCAGCTCCGGGTGGACGTTGCCGTGTGCAACGCTCTCATCAGCATGTATGGAAAATGCGGGTGGCTTGACCAAGCCAAGGCTGTCTTTCACTCCATGCCATGCAAGAACGACATCTCGTGGACTGCAATGATCGATGCCTACTGCCAGCGGAGGGAGTGGGCACGAGCACTGGAATGCTTCCACGGCATGGATCTCGAAGGGGTGAGGGCGTGCGAGATGAGCCTCTTAGCCGCGCTGGAAGCTGTGCGTGGGGTGGAGCGGCTAGAGCAGGGGGAGCACATCCACGCACGCATCGTCGAGCAGGGATGGGGATCGGATCCATTCCTTTGCACGGCACTGGTGGCTTTGTACTCGAGGTGCGGCGCCACAGAGGGAGCGAGAGCAGTGTTTCGAAAGATGGACAGCCTAGAGGTTGAGTCGTGGAACGCCATCATGTCGGCAGCAGGGGGAGGGGAGGCCCTGGAACTGTTTAGTAGAATGCTGCAGCTGGGCGTCAAGCCGGTGGCTATAAGTGTGGTGGCAGCGATGGAGGCGTGTGGCAAAGTGTGTGATGGTGCCCGCACAAGAAAGCTCGAGGAGGCGATTGTGTGGGACGCGTTTGACGCTAACCCTGTGGTTACCTCGGCGCTCATGGATGCGTATGCCAAGTGCGGGCGGCTGGACGATGCTCGGCGGGTGTTCGACACGTACCGCTGCATGGGCATGTGCTCTTGCGTGGATGTGGTGGCATGGAGCACCTTGATCGCTGCTTATGCTGAGAGTGGAGACAGCGAGTACGCGCTGTGGCTGCTGTACACAATGGAGCTGCATGGTATCCAACCCAACGCCGTCACCCTACTCAGCATTCTCTTCGCTTGCAGCCATGCTGGGTGGGTGGAGCATGGATGCCACTTGTTGGCATCAATGTGGAGGGATCGCGGCTTGTACCCTTCGTCACAGCACTACAGCTGCGTGGTGGACATGCTTGGACGTGCTGGATGGTTGCTTGATGCCGAGCGTCTGGTTTGCTCTATGCCAATCCAGCCCGATTCTGTGGCTCTCACAAGCCTGCTAGGAGCTTACACGCTCCATGGTGGATTACGTCTAAGCCCATACTTTCAGCAGATCATGGGTTATGCGACATTGCCTCATAATACTGACAGTTCACGGAAGGAACGGATTACAATCGAATCTCAGCTTCATTGAAGGCCGTGCATCTCAAGATTGATCCTCGAGCAGCTCCAGCGGATCGGGACATGAAGGAGGAGAGCTCCTCAGCCATGGCAAGGTATGAACAAACTAAATTTTCTTCTGGAAGCTGAAAAGGCTGTTGCTTACATAGCGTAACCTCTATTCATGAATAAGTGAAGCGTTAGGGATAGGTGCTTGCTGGCATTCCAATCCAAGTATTCAAGTTCAATCACTTGTTATTACAATTTCCAGAAAGATTTGAACTCACCATCTGTATCCCAAATCTGCCATGTGGCATGTCTGTGGCTATAATAGGGGAGGCCAGGTGGTAAATCCAAAGCTACCCAACTTGTTCATTGGCCAGACAGACTGTGGAGTGTGTTTGAGTGTGTTTGAAGAGGAGAGGACGACTTAGGACCTTTCAAATGAGCGAACTGGCTGGGTGGGGGCTCTAAGGTAAGCAAGGTGTAATTGCCTTTGAATTGCTACTATAACAATTTTTTATTGATTAGATCTGCTCAAAGTTACTATACTGCCACCAACAAGCCATTTCTTCCTCCCCTCAAACTTTTGGACACTCTGAAGATTTAACTCTTCAAAAACACTCTTAGATTCAAGATCACTATCCCATTGTTAGTAACTAGTTGTGGATGCTCACACATGGTCTAAAGCCACTGTGTTGCCATTGGCAGGCTATCAGATCTCTTTGGAAACACTCTCCATTCTAAGTTATATAATAATATTTCAAGAAAGGGTGACACCCTTCTATTTTTATCTCTAGCATCTCTTTACGGTGGGGTTCCATGCGTCCCCTTGAGAAAGTGGGGAAACCTTGTGCCATACACCCCACTAGTGATATGACATGGAAGGGGGGAACCTAGTGACATGGAATTTTTTGTCTTGGAAGTTGATCTTCCCTTCTACTAGCTTTTACTTGAATGTTAATTCTTTCATCCATCAGTATTCTTCATTCAAATTCCCTATTACCCATTCTAACTTCATTTTAGCTCATTCTAACCATTCTCTCTTGTTGGACATACAAATCCTTCTCATCTTGCATCTTGGGAATCTTTGCTACTTCTTACATCCACTTCATCCATCTCCCTTAGAATTGTAACTTCTTGTTCACTCACCTTGGGTATGCATAGTCCAGGTCCAAGCTATGTGATATTTCCCTTGAAACTCTACTTCTAAGGTACATATACTTTTTTGCTCCAACTTTGGAATCTTTGTGATCCCTATAATCTCCAATCCACTTTAACTCCTTGATAACTAAACTTCCACTAATCCCAAAGAAGAATTCTCAAAGGCTAACCTCCTTCCTCATTGTCTTCTCAGTCTACCACCATGAATATTGCATCAAACCCCTCACTTGGGGGGAGTCCTGTGATGACATCCATCATAAAACAT